ACTTCCCTGGATGGGGCCAGTATTAACCAATCGTCTATATAGGTCAATATTCTTACCCCGGCACGTCTGATCGGCTCCAGAGCCGCTTCCACACATTTGGAAAAAGTGCGAGGCGCGAGAGCGTACCCGAAAGGGAGACGGCAATACTCGTAATTCCTCTCTCCCACTGCGAAGCGCAGAAATCTCCTGTGTTCTGGCACTATGGGTACGTGGAAGTATGCGTCTGTCAGGTCTATGGATGTCATCCAGTCTCCTTCCCTGACACACTCGAGGAGCTGCCTTGTGGACAGCATCCGAAACTGCCGTTTGGAAATGCACTCGTTTAACACGCGCAGATCCAGAATGGGACGCACCCCGCCTGATTTCTTTGGCACCAGAAAGTAAGGGGAGTACAGCCCCCTGGTGGCGTCCTGCGGGTCTACCTCCACTGCTGCGCCTCGACTCAGCAGGGAGGAGACCTCTGCTTCCAGTGCCTCTGTCGATCCCCGTACCTGAGAGCGTACTGCCCGTACGCCTCGGAATGGTGGTGGCTTTCGGAAAAATTGCAGAGCGTAACCTCTGCGCAGAGTTTTCTCCAGCCAAACATCTGACAGTAAGCCCTGCTCCTTCCAGATGTCGTAGAAATCTGTGAGGGGCGGAACGGGAGCTGGAACACGAGACGTCATGGCCCCGCCCCCTCCTGGTGTTCCTAGCAGGGAGGGGGGGTGGCTGAAAGGGCCGGGGGGGCCCCTGCGTCACACCGTGAGCGCCGAGGGCGGTCACGTGTTCTGCAGGTCCGACGTCATAAGTACGGGACTGCTCACCACACGTGACCCGGCTGCTGCTGCGCCCCCCCCTGGCTCTTGCCTCATGGAGGGGGGGGCGAGCCCCTGCATCGGGAAACCCCGTGTTAGCATTGTAGCTCTGCTCATCACGCGTGACACGGCTGCTGCGCCCCCCCTTGGCTCTTGCCTCATGGAGGGGGGGAAGAGCCCCTGGATTAGGAAACCCCGTGTTAGCAATGTAGCTCTGCTCATCACGCGTGACACGGCTGCTGCGCCCCCCCTTGGCTCTTGCCTCATGGAGGGGGGGGAGAGCCCCTGGATTGGGAAACCCCGTGTTAGCCTTGTAGCTCAGAGATGCTAACACGCTAGCGCCCGGAGCACACACATTAGCACTTATCAGATCCCTCCGCCTGCCCTCTCTCCGGGAGGGCAAAACATGAACCCGTGAATCGGAGCTCGTGGTCTGCACAGCGCGCTGCACGCCCTTCTCTGGGGGCTGCAGGCCTGGCGGAGCCACGTTATATGCTCGAGAAGTAACACAAACAGAATTCAAATCATTTGACATGTTACATACCCCCAAATGAGACTCAGACAGCGAGTACTGGTGAAATGCCGGACGGCCTTTATTGAAAGAGTTTTTACCACCCCGACCTCCTCTACCGTAGGGAGGCCGTCGATGGGTGTGTTGGTCCCGCGAACCTCCCGTGTGCCTGTCTGGGCCCGGGGGTCTCGCCGCTGGGGAACGATGGACCACGGAGCGTGGATATGGTCCGGGGCGCTTGCCAGGCGAGCGCTCCCTGCCTCTGTCTCGGCTCCGCGCTGGTGGGCGGGCCTCGCGTCTCGTAGCTAGGTGTTTTGCTAGGCTAGCCGAGTCCTTAGCCGCGCTGTCCAGCCTCGTCATCAGCGTCTGCATCTCCGGACCGAAGAGCGACGTCTGGGAGATGGGCAGGTCCAGCAGCTGCCTCTTCTCCGCCTCTCTGAGGTTCACCGCCCCCAGCCAGAGGTGTCTGGCCCCGACCTGGGCTGCTGCCATAGAGCGGCCGCCATCGACAGCTAGCGCTTGGCACATGCGCAAGATCGCTGCTGAAGTGGTCCTCGCCTGGGCTAAGGTGTCTCCACTGAGTGCCTGGTCAGAGGAGAGAGACCTATCCAGGGCCCCGGTGATGAAAGCCATGTTGTTCGCCACCGCGACGACCTGAGCCGCATTGGCGTAACATCTGTCATGCATAGCCAGAGACATCCTATCCCGCTCGGAGGGAAGGAGAGGTCTGGTGCTGGGCCACACGGATGAGGAGGGGTGCAGGGCCGCCCGAACCGAGTCCTCGATGTCCGGGACCCCGCCTGTCCAGGACCAGTCCTGCACGTTGCAGTACATGCCATACCCCAAAGCGGGCCTCTTGGCCGCTAGGGGTTTTGGCCACTCACGTGTCGCGTAATGGACGATCGGGTCCATACGCGGGCACAACGTGGGCTGGGCTCTCCTCCTCCCTCGAGGGGCTGCGTACCCAGAGGTGAAGTCCTCCACCCTCTGGTTCGGTTGCGGTGGCAGGGGGGCATCCATGATGGCCGCCGCCGTGGCGTAGAGCCCAGGCATGTGGTCCAGCGGGAAGCGGTCCGGCTCCGGGTTGGACACCACCTCGTCCAGCGTGAGGAGAGAGCCGACCTCCGACACCTCTCCGTCCTCGCAGTCACCCCACTCCGCGGGCACAGGTGGAATGTCGAGGGGGGCCCAGTCAATCTCAGACTCCTCGTCCTTAGAGGAGTCCGGACGGGGCGCTGTAGCGGCGAAGAACGCGCGCCTGCGTTCACTCTCCTCCCTGGGGAGAGCGACACACGAGGCGCAGGTGGCGCTCAACGCCGCATGGCCCGCACCCAGGCACATGAAGCAGCTGGAGTGCTGGTCCTTGCGTTGGAGCTTGCCCCGACAGGTCGAGCAACGACGACGTCCGACGCCGGATGGCGAAGGGGAACTCGGACGTGCATCAGAAGACATCTTTCTTTCTCAGGTAACGAATGTAGATCTCAAACGGCGCCAGAGTGAAAGAGGGGGTGCGGCCTTGTGCAGGGGCATTTATAGAGGAAGGTGGCTGGTGATTGGAGCAAATTATTTTGATCTCTCTGGCGTCTGTGACCTGGGGGTCACGTGATATCCCACTAGCGAAGTCCTAAGGGACGTAGCACCATGACGTAGAACTCAAACATGAATTGTTAATTAATTATATATATTGTACATCACACACTGCCATGCATCTCAATTCAAATACATATCTTCATATATACAGTATATACACATAGATTACTTATATACACGTGTGTGTGTGTATATATATATATATATACTGTGTATATATATATACACACACACACACACACGCATCTATACATAGTACATCGTATTAACAGGAGTTTTATTCAGATTATTGAAGCTGCGTGCTGTATCGAGCATTCTGTATGGTCAGAATCTATAAAGTACATTTCTTATTGAAATAATCATGTACTGTAACTGTGACCTATATAAATGAACAGATGGTCCTGCCCAAAGTTCAACTGGAAGATTATTCCAGTCATATGGGGCTTTAAGACAAAATGCATTTTTGCCAATTATCTAATGGCAATTTAATCTAATCTGACGGCCATTGTGATTGCGATGCAATTTTGATGTCATGCAAGTATAAAAAGGCAAAATAGTAAAAAAGAAGCATCAAGAGACTTTAATAAATGAAGCGTTTAGGGTTCCTTCTACACACATGTTTTTAGAGTTCTAACCGCACCGGCATTTCTAGTAGAAATGTTGAAGTAGTTTTGGAGTTAGACCATAAGGCTTCTTCCCAACAAGAAGACCAAAGAATATTTAATTGTTCAAATCTGAATATGTTCCTTAAATTCAAGTGATTGCTTGCTCATCTTTTGTCCCCCTTTTGTTTGAATGAACTTTATGATTTCAGTCTTTGTGATTTACTAGTTGCAATTTTACTTTGATTGCAGTTAATCTTGGAAACATGGAATGGAATGCCTAATTTATAATTAGTCGATGACATTATTCTAAATAATTGTGAAGTCATGTTGAATAAAAAACCCACTTGATCCATATAATTAGATACATGTTTGGAATCCAAGATAACGAGACATTAATATTTTCCTGTGACAGAAACAAACACATCCATATCTTTCGCTTGTACACGGCTGGCCAGAATGGTAAAGACCTGTAAATAGAAGAAAAAATGCACAAAAACCTGTAAACCTGCATTTTCTTTACTGAATTTGGACTATTACCACGGCAACACAGTTATAGATAACCCATTTATCTCAGACACTTTCACGTTGGGTCAATATAATGGATGTGTGGACTTTGACATTTTCAATGCATTTTTTCCTGAAATCGTCTGTTTTTTTCCCAGTAGTGTGACATCACTTACATTCTAATCTGGTTTTGTAATGCTATGATATAGAGACATTCATATACACTCCAGCGCAGTGCAGGTTTTTTAACTATCAAGATGATTGTTTTAATGTTCTGACTGTGTTTTACAAAGTGATAAATGTGACCCCCGCTGACCAGTGCAAAGTTCTGTTCTTGCAGATATGTGTATCTCATTTTCTATGGCTGCCCAGAATGGTAACGCTCTGTACACTGGTTTATACTTAAAAGCAATATTGTAAAGCCGGTTCTAGAAGATTTTGTATTTATTCAATCTAATAATAATCTATTATTCATTAGGAAACATTTATTAGGCACTTATGCAAGATGACAGACACCTGCACCTTTGTAATACACCTTACACCTGTAAAAAAAAACACAGAATCATCCCATCAGTCCCCATGCACCACTACAACCTGATTTATAGCTATTGGATTCATTTCAACAATACATAGGAGGACAGGCTGACATTGTTTTACTGTCTTAGTGTGAAAAGGACTGAACCATATATCTTTCACAAATTGAAGACTATGGATTTTGGAATGCCTTTTTGTTTTTAATTGCAGCGTGGCAATTTACCAACCTGAAGCATTAGCGACCGTAAGTGGACATCAACAGTTCATCCTTGAGTGCTGAGTGCTGTACTCTGTATACATTCTGATCCTAAGGGGATTTCTAAAAGCTTTGACTCCTCACAGAAGCAGCTTAGACAACATTTGCAGCCATAGATACAAACTGAGTCATTTTTGTGAGTGTTGATGCTCTAATATTAGCTGTAACGGGCTGATTATGTGTCAGTGTGAATGACGTGCGCTCAGCTGATGCGCCCCTCTCCTTCCCGAGTGGGGGCAGGCGTTTAGGGGTGGTTCCTGAGGGAGGGGGGCGGCCTGGGTGTCATTCACAGCTGCTGGGGCAACGTGGAGGTTAGGGAGGTGGAGCTCTGCATGTTCAAGGGACTGTCAACTGTTATGAATGGAGAGAACATAGAAATATAGTCACACAATTATATATATTTATAAAAAAGTACATTGCTCCTATATTCAGGATTAGAAGATGATTTCTGCATCTTTAGAGATCAAAGCACATACATATATTTATTTTTCTACAATTTTTAAATGCTGTAGAGCTGAATAACAGACAGAGGGTGGTCCTCTTTTTTTCACTTTTCCGTCTGAAAGAGCTGATCTGAAGATGAAGGCCAAAAATACATTAAAAGCTGTTTTAGAGCTTGACACTATAGTTACTGTACATTAATTGGATTACACTGTACATTTTTGCGTTTGTGAATTTTGGAACATTCTTCATGGAGATGTAGAGCTGTTTCTTGCTACACTGTGAAGTCAAAGAAAACACAAAAATCAAATTTTATGGCACTATAGCAGAATATGGTTGTTTCCGAATGGTCGATAAAAACAATAAAATAAAAATAGACTGCTTTTCTATGTAGTGTTCCCTTTTAGTCTTTTAAAACAATTCAATATCTCTCCCTGTTTGAGCTGATGACTGAATAAAAAGGTATATTTATCATATGTGGTCACTTTTCCACATATCGCCGGGACATAATTTTTTCCCATGCTACCGTAACAATAAACTGTCCCGTAAACGCATACACTTTCTTTTCCATGGAGCAGAATAAATGCAATCTTTAGAGAAAAATTGGGTCATTTTATAGTTTTAAAAGCTCGTAACGTTAGCTGCAATGACAACATAGTAAAAGCAGCAGTAATAAAACGCCCTTTCTGTCGGCGCGCTCCTGTTTCGTCTGGCGCAGGGTGAACGGAGGCACTCTGGGATGTGTAGAGGATTATTTATGCCCTACTATCGCTCCGTCTCCCCCTTCCTCTTCACCTCCCCCCACCTCTCTCTCTCCTCACTCTCCCTCTCCTTAAAAAGACATGGTGAAACGCAGAATGATGAAATAGTTCCCGGGAAAGCTGCAGTCGGGCGGTGGAAGCATCCAGAGAAAGAATGTGCAATACTGAACATAGTGAGGCATTTCAGGACAGAGGACATGAGGGCTTTAAAGTGGCAAGGCAAGTTTATTTATATAGCACAATTCATACACAAGGCAATTCAAAGTGCTGAAGCGTCATTGTTTTTGGTGCTTACTTCTGCTGCATTTACAGAATCTTTATTAACGCACATTGTCCCTGTCAAATAAACGAATACAATAAAATACATTTCATTATTCATGATGAGTAATTACAGTAGTTTGAATCCAATTTTTGTATTTTTTGTATTTTTTTTATCCTATTAAAGCTGAAGACATTTTGTTTAGTGTCCTTTATCATTCTATTATTGTCCCAACACTGACATTTAGCCTTTCTAGGTCATGTACCGAGTAAGAGTTATCTTTACAAACACAGACATAATGGGAAACATGGGAATACTTTTTCCCATCTGATATTTCCCCACTGTGGGACGAATAAAGCATGTCTTAATAATGTGCATGAAGTCATCTTAAAAATGGAGTGAATGTTGAATCCATCGAGCAGCGTCTCATGCACCATTTTTGCAACATCTTGGCAAAGCATTATCTATTGACTTTGGAAAACCTCAGACTTTGTGTCAATCTTTGTCTGATATTCAAAGTTCAGAATGACTTGGCTTCTGGCTGTTTAAAGGATTTAGTGAGTGACTGCCACACTCTGTAAGATCCACAGGAATCGTCTCTGTGTGATTATAATACCATTTTTAGATGATAAATGATGAATAGTACTGCTAATTAGTTAGTTTTTATTTTAAAGGTAAAAAAAGCAAAGACTGAAAGGTTTCAAGCTGAACAGGCGGAAGTGAACATTTTAATAATTACTAATAACTCTGGTGTTCAGTGATTGTTGAGACTTCTCTCTCGCTCACTTCCGTCAATAGAAGCAGCGTGACTTGTAGTTCGGAGAGAAGTTAGTGCGCGGACGTAGCGCTCCTCAGATTACTACGCCTCACAATATAGTACCCGTTTTATCCGCTGAGAAAATCGACAGTTACATTTCTGTGTTACTATACTTTGCAGTGTCACACGTCACGTAACTATATACATTTAATAGGGAACACTTGGAAGAGTTTGGTAGCTTCTAGCGGGAGCTACCTTTTGGTCCTATACAGTATACAGAGGAGGCTGCGGTTGTGCTCCCGTTTTTGCTCCGTTTGCATGACAGAGCGCACGGACTAAGACCAGACAGGTACGTATTAACTAGTCTAAGGTAAGGTAAGAACATATGTCAGTATGTAAAAACGGTGAACTATTCCTTTTAATAATCAGAAAACCAAAACAGAGTGCCACTGATTGGGCCGCAACAATTATTTGATTTAGAGACAATTTGTTTGTTAAAATTAATCAAAATTGTTAAAACAGATTCTCAAACAAATTCCAAAAGACATATTGTTACAAAGAGAGAGAAATCATGAAATACAGCTTTTGTAAATTTCTAGAAACTTGCTTTACTAAACGACTAATTGACGACAAATGTGATATTTTCATTTTAAATGACATCTTTTATTCGTGTCCCCAGAGAACAGGTCACATGAACAAATAATTTTTGACCTTTTCTGAACAAAAGATTAAACTGGAGTCATGATATGATTGTTCATAATATTTATGTTTTACGAGTTACTAGCCAGTTTGTTCGGTGAAATGTAGCCGGTTTTGGCACTTTTTTAAATAACAAAATCACAAACATAAAAATAAAACCACACATCCGTTTTAAAGGAAAGCAGAAACAGAAATAACTGGTCATGGGCAATATGCAGAGTTTGGATCGTTTCTAGCTAAATCCCAGCAGGTAGTTTGTATCAGTAATCAGTGCTTTGTGCTACATGTGTCACAGGGAGTTAGATTCTGGCAACAAAAGTGTGATTGTAATGACATAATTAGACCACTTAGAGTGCATATTACCTACTGTCCCTTTAATAAAACAAGAGAGGGATTTTACCCTGTCCACAGATGAACTAAATGGTTAATTCTAATTCTACTAAAATTGATTAATTTAAATTGTGTGGAAGCCTCATTTTGCACCTTGAGCCACACTGTTTATATAAATTACGTCCTACACAATCACACGTTTCTACAATACTATTTTATTATAGATCATAATTACTGGTGTCTTGTCCCACAGCTGGCTCCATCCTGAAGCGGGAGAAGCGTCTGAGGAACCGGCGTGTGCAGTTTGAGAATGTGACGGTGTACTACTTTAGCCGGCGCCAGGGCTTCACCAGCGTGCCCAGCCAGGGGGGCAGCACTCTGGGCATGTCCAGCCGCCACAGCTGGATCCGACAGTACTCTCTGGGAGAGTTCGCCCTGGAGCAGGAGAGGATCCACAGAGACATGCTGCGGGACCATCTCAAAGAGGAGAAACTCAACTCCGTCAAACTCAAGGTGTGCTGCGGGATTGTTATGCTTTTGGTTTTAGAACGGAAGGATACAATTATACTAATGTATTTGTTTTAGGGCTTTCAAAACGATTAAAATGTTTTAGTTCATTAGACACATAGTAATGGTGAGTTAACTCACGATTAATCACATTTTTAACATTCTATGTTAAAAATGTTAACTCCAATTGAAGTTAAATGAGATTATCAAATGTAATGACACATTGTCATTTATACCAAATGTACTTAAATCTGTTTGATTTGCTCACAACCTTTTACTTTTGGGCACAACCAACATGAGCTGTTAATGAAAGGGAAAATGTACGTAACCCAGCTTTAATTTAGCGAGTTTAGTTGTGTTTCAGCTGCGTATTTACGTGCACAGGTTACGCAAAGACACGCACACAACATGCAGAGAATAGTTCTGTGGTGTATGGTCCACATTACCGCGGCGCCATTTGCCGCGTTGTTGTTAGCGACTTACAGCCGCAGGAGGTGGGAACCTCTGTCCAGAGCGGCCGCAGCTGCCCCGGGTCAGAGCGCTGTAGCCACGGAGGATGCAGACCTCAGTTCATAGCAAACAACAGCAAGTGCCCCGCGGTCACACACATTCTTTTAAAACTTGAATTGCTAGAGACCTGCTCTGTCTCCATCTCACACACACGTGTCCGCGGCATTCTGAGTGATATTATGGGATACATGGGCGGGTCATTCATACGTGGGTTAAATGTATGTATGTTAAATTGTTGTTAAACGCGTTAAATTGTTTTTAAACGCGATCAATGAATGATTCAATGTAAGTAATGTGCGTTAACGCGATCATTTTGACAGCCCTAATTTTTTTTAATTCTTTCTATTTTAGAGCACAATTCAAACACAATGTAATTTAAAGTGTTCTTCAGAGAAACAGAAACAACAAAATAGGAAATAAAATAAAAAATAAAAATGTGCGCATGAAATCACTTGAGTTTTGGGCTGGCTCATATTTTGTAGAAAGACGGTTCCAGATTGGATCTGAGGGGATCTGAAATGTTGACTCCATGTTTGAGTCTGAACACTGGAAGGAGGCGAATCCCTGACAAATGTTCATGAATGTCCAAAATGGCAAAACATGTACTCAATATTGATTTCACTCTATGTTCAATCAAAATGCCATTTACAATTGACAGCAGTGTATTTACTTTGATAAATGTAGATCAAACCATATGTTCACATGGTGATAAGAAGCTGAATAATTCAGCACAATGTCACATTATACATTATCAACTGCAACATTCATCCCAATCCAAATTCTATACACTGATGACAGAATCCAAATAATAAACATGACACTCTTTTGTAAAGATATGATAATAATATTATTATTATTATCATCTTTATTATTGCTGTTGTTATTTGGCTTTTTTGAGTCGGTGCTGCTGCTCTTTCTATAGTGCAGTGTAGATGGGGGTACAGTATGCTTTAAAAGTTCAGTCTTTCTTGTAAACAGTCTTGTTCATAAAGCATTCTGGCACTGTCTGTAATGGTCTGTCAGCGGAGATGTAGTGCCCCAGATACTTACATTCCACTGTTACGCTCATAATAAAGCATAGAGGAATAATTTAGACATACATTAGAAAAGAACACTTTAGAGTCCTGCTTTCTCCGAACATGTTTCTCTTGTTAGTATTATATTTAGGGCTGTCAAACGATTAATTTTTTTAATCGAGTTAATTACAGCTTAAAAATTAATTAATCGTAATTAATCGCATTTCAAACTATTGGCAAAATTATGCCATATTTTTCTGTAAATTGTTGTTTGAATGGAAAGATAAATGTCAGCTTAGTGAACATATGTACTGTATTTGTTTATTTCAACAATAAATCCATATACAATGGAATTAACATTATTAACATTCTGTCTTTCTGTTTAGACTCAGACCAAAACCATTGTTTGTTACAGATAAGGGACATTTCAAAATAGTCTGAAGCAGAATGTCATTAAATCTGTTTGATTTGCTCACACCATTACTTTTTTTGGCACAACTAACATGAACTGGTAGTGGAAGGGAAAATTAGGTACCTCAGCTTTAATTTAGCGAGTGCACTTCGGGAGAAGACACGGAGGAGACTGAGGCTCCGCAGTCCAGCTTCTGCGCTGTACATATTGTGTGCATCGGTTACGCAAAGACACGTACGCACACTAGAGAATAGTTCTGTAATAGTTCTGTGCGTGGTCTTGGATATGATCCCATTACGCAGCGCCGTTCGCCGTGATCACAGCCGCTGGAAGTGGGAACTGTCCAGAGCGCTGTGGCCGCTGCTCATCATGCAGAGTTCATACAGGAAACAACAAGTGCCCCGCGGTCACGCGTGTATTCTTTCAAAACTTGAATTCCCAGAGGATCTACCTGCTCTGTCCCCATCTTGCACACGCATGTGTCCGCGGCATTCTGAGTGTTATTATGGGACGCATGGGCATGCGTCAAATGCGTTAATTTTTTTAACGCGATTAATGAAAAAAATTAACGTGCGTTAACGCGATAATTTTGACAGCCCTAATTATATTGTATGTTAAATTCATATCTATACTGACATATGCATGTACATTAAGTGGTTGATGATTTTGGAATCAACTCTTCACCCAGTTCTACACTGATTCAGACGCATTGGCAGATTGTCCATATGTGCCTTTAATAAATGAGACAATATACTGGCCCAATGAGCTACCAATCTATGTATACAGCCAATCCAATCATTTAAACATATAGGATTAGAAATACAGTACCTGCAGTATTTGCTCGTATTTCTCTGATCTACTTCATTCTCCCTTTAAATCATTCTCTGTGTGTTCTCGGTCTTCCAGCTGACCAAGAATGGCACGGTGGAGTCGGAAGAGGCCAACTCTCTGACCGCGGAGGACATTTCAGACGACGACATTGACCTGGACAACACAGAGGTGGACGAGTACTTCTTTCTGCAGCCGCTGACCACAAAGAAGCGTCGCACCCTCCTGCGCTCCTCAGGGGTCAAGAAGATTGACGTGGAGGAGAAGCACGAGCTGCGGGCCATCCGGGTGTCACGGGAGGACTGCGGCTGTGACTGCCGCCTCTTCTGTGACCCCGAGACCTGCGCCTGCAGCCTCGCAGGGATCAAGTGCCAGGTACAAACCACAGCTTTAACCAACTTGCCATTGGTCTATTATTCTATTCTGCTGACAATCCTGCAGTGGTAGTTGTGCCAAGGGGAGAGAGAGTATTTGAACTATACTATTTCAAAATATTAACGTCTTAAAGGGAAAGATATTAAGCAAGGTTTTACAATATTGTAATGAGTCATCTCAGACAGACCTGGAGTTGTTTTTAGATTCATCCACGCTGAAATCTGGAATCCCTTTGGTCAAAGCAAAAGGTGCTACTTGTGGATTTTTCATGTTTCACCATATTTCTTCTTATTGTTTAGCCTTATTTAGCATCCTTAAAACAGGAAATGACTCTTAATGATTACTTGTAATGTATCACACTTATGTTCCTCCATCTTGTGTTCTTGGGAGTCATATTGGGGTTGAAGCAATTCACAAAGCTAAACGGTCTGTATAAGAGTCACAGGTTGGATATGAATTTGTTTTAGTTTGTATGTGAATAATGTTTAAATAATTTACTGAGACTACTGAGCACTAAAGGCCTTGTCCTGTGTCCAGGTGGACCGCATGTCCTTCCCCTGTGGCTGCTCCAAGGAGGGCTGCAGTAACTCCACCGGCCGCGTGGAGTTCAACCCCATCCGCGTGCGCACCCACTTCCTGCACACCATCATGAAGCTGGAGCTGGAGAAGAGCCGCGAACAGCAGCAGCTGGCCACGCCCCTTAACGGTTTCCACGGCGACGCCAGCAACAACAACAACGGCCTCCAGCACAGGTTAGAGTATTCACTAAACGACGCGGTCCCGCCTCCCGTCACCATGCATATGCAGACGGACGACGAGGCCATCGACGAAGATGACGAGGACGAGGACGAAGACGAAGAGGACGAGGAAGAGGAGAACGACGGCGAGGAAAGCAGCAGCGTGTGCAGCGGCCTGTCCGACTCCAGCACACAGAGTTTGGCCAACAGCGACTCCGAGGAAGACGACGAGGACAAAAGCGAAAACTTTGAGCAAGACCAAACCACGGCTGTTCCGCTGACTTCTGTTCTGTGCTACAGTGACGACAACCACGTGAACGGGAATTCTTATTTAATAAACTCTTCCAACGAGTACTATCAGCTCGCGAATGTTATCCCGAACGGGCAAAGTAGCACTCAAGTTAGCAAACCTTACGCTGAAGCCTTCGCGGAGCAAGCTAGCAACGCGACGCAATTCAACATGGCCGCCGAACAGTACAAGGACTTCACGAATCAGACGGAAAAGTATTCGGCCAATCAGTGTTACGGTCTAACTAACGGGACTCACGCAACGGAGCTAAAGAAATTCACGTCAGATCAAGAAAAGGAATTAAAGAACGGTTTTGTTGAGCAGACGGAGAACGAGAAGAATAATTTCTACCTTAATAATAACAGCCAGGGTTACGGCTCGACTTGTTCAGCCTCAGAGCAGAAAGAGTGTAACATGAACGGCCATTCAGATCTAACTCTGCTCGTGAATGGCCCCCCAAGCCTCCCGCTGCCGGAGCAATGTCCAGAAGTCACAGCCATTTAGGAGGTCGCCTTGGTAACTACATGAAAACAGGAAGTGTTATTTACACCAGAAATCGCCATTGCCTTTTCACATCATCACACCTTGAAGTTAGGCAGGTTTGTTAGCTTAACCAAAGCTGATTATTGACAGTGATTTTGACAAATATCTTTATTATTTTCTTAAATTATGTTCATTACTTTTTATCTTCGGAAGCACAAGAGTTGAACAAGAGCGACAGAAGTTAAGACACTCCTTTAATGTCACCTGCAGGATAAAGTCATCTAACGACAGCATGCACATGCTTTATACCAGGGGTCTCAAACATGTGGTTCGTGGGCCATTTGGAGCCTGTGAAAAGGTAATATGTGGCCCCCTAGTGGACATCAAAGTCTGTGCTAATATGGCATGTTATACATCATTTTAAAGCTAATTCTTTCAAGAAAAGAACCACGCCATTTATACAACCATAAACTTTGAAGTCTCATTGGCTTTTGTTTATGTCCAAGCAGGTGCAGCCATTTTGTTCATAGAAACATAGATAAATTGTATCCATACTCATATTCAATAAAAGTGCTTAGCACAAGGTAAAGTCTGGGTGAGTTTGAGACCCTTGCTTTAAACTGTATCTCTAATCCCACTATCCAGGGTTCAGAACATGATGATGTCTATTAAATAGTAGCAAACTTGATACTCCATGTGAAACCATACAATAAAATAATTAGAGCCATCAGTTATTGCGTTAACTCTTTCTATTCATTTTTAAAAGCATTACTTTTGGAATTTGGTAACACAGCTATCATGAAATTGTATTTAACTGAAAAATGGCTTAAAAAAGATTTCAAAAGTTATGAATCAGATGCATTACTATAGAACCTTTGACTCTAGATTTGATATGAAGTGTTGTTTGAGGGGGGCGGGGGGTGGAACCAGTTAAGGAGAAATTATGAACAAAGTCAACATACTTATGTGTCCTTTAAATGTGTGCATTTGTAGGAAAAAGATATGCCAACTATTCCTACCCTTGTTGCCAGGTGACGGTTCCAGGGATAGCATGTTCTTCAGCTACTGTCGTCTTTCACCAGAAGTGTATGAAAATAAATGCTTCCTGACTCTAGAGCAAAGACAACAAATATCCAATGACGTATAATTTGTCTTACAGACTGTAAGAATGAATGTATTTTATAATGGTATTCATTTACCGTCCATTATTTTGTATATATTTTACCAGAATCTTGCACATATTTAATGTTTAAATATTAATTCAGTGCTGCATCTGCTGTTTGAACTGTCAAAAGTGAGCTTTGGTTAAAATACACACTCCTTATTAAAGCAATGGACCACAAATGATCATTTGTACAAACCCATAGATTCCAAAAGTTGACTGAGACTTTCACATTGAGTCAAAAACATCACAATGTGCAATGTAACTCGTAATTTCAAAACGTACGGTTCTAGTTTGAGCAGATATTGTACTGTAAATGGAACTTTTCTATGTACTGTTTGTGTCAAATGTGAAAAAAAGACGTTGGTTTATTTATTGTTCGGGAAATGTGGATAATTCTATATTGTAATGTTTTGATAAGCATGACAGTTGGGAATCTCAGACATTTGGGGGGTGTTTTTTTCTTTTTTTTTAAATAATTATGATAATAATAATAATAATGATGTGTTGTAATTACTTTTCTTGCTTTTTCGAGTTTGGAAAAGCATGACATGGCCTGGAATATCCTTGGATCACTGTATTAAGAGCTTTGTGTGGGGAGATGCATTCCTTTGTTCATTCCCAAAATCAAGGGATGAATTTGGTGCCACTACAGACGAAGGCCTGGACTTTGAAGCACTGATCCGATACAGGGATGATAATAATAATAATGCAGCACTTAGACGCACAGCCAAAAGTCATCTCAAGAAACAACAAAAGCCTTTGATATAAATTGTGACCGATCGCCGATGCACTGACCTGAAAATTGTTGATAATTATAGTATTTTTAGATCAGCTTTTTACAGTTGAATCATGAAGATGTCTGTGTGGGTCTGTGAGGTGCAATAGAAAGTATTAGATTTTCAATTGTCAGAGCAAACTTTAAGCAGCATTAATTTCTTCTGAACAAAGCCACAAATGAGCAATGAGGGTAAACACACGTACGCATAATGTTGACAATCAATTACAATAAATATTCAAACTGGGGGCTCTGAGGAAAAATGTCACAAACAATATTATATTATTAATCCAAACAGATACAAAAGGTTATCATAAAGCAAATTATGAAAAGCATTTATGTAAAACAAAATATATCAAAATGATGAATTGCTTACACAAAACAATCTTTGCCATTATTGTTGTGACTTGTTCCTCCAGGGCCACTGTACATTAAGCCATTATTGATGTCAGACATGAAAAGGGAACACGTAACCAAATATGTGTAAAAAGCATTATTGCAGATCTGATCTTTAATTGGGCAATAATGCCAGCTTTTACACGCGGGAATAAATGTATTAAGTTTTGTACCTGAAGACACGAGAGGTGCCATTGAAAAGGTGAAATCAATAAGAACGCAGTGCTCTCCTCGGCTCAGTGCGTCGGTTTGTGCCAAAGTGGTGAGACGCAGACACAGCAGCTCTGCATCCAAGACTCCTGTTCACTATTTAAGAGGACTAATATTCAAATGTGTATTTATTGTGCTTTTATTGGTCCGTACGCTTCGTTCTCTTCGAGTCGTCTTTTGTTCCTTGCTGGTCGTGAGTTGTAAAGCTTAATGTGCCTGATTTATGTATTTATATTTGAACTTCTGTGAAATGCAAGCATTTTGCACAATGGTACAGTTTTTTTAAGTGTTCTGTTCCAAGTTCAATTCATTGTTTCATTTTTACCATGTTTTTGAAATAAAATGAATGAAAGCCACATCAGAGCAGTTGGTGTATAACAATATTTCTTTGTCTGAATTGGCAGCAGCTTCCAGTCAGTGTGCTGAATGATAAGGATGATGCGCACTCTGGTGGCCACAAGGTGATATTGCAGTCAATTAATCTTAATTAGAATAGAATTCGCTATTTATTTGTCTCGCCTTTTCACATTGACAAACGTATTACCTGGATTTTCATTTTAAACAAACTTATCTCCTATTAAAAAAAAGGCCTATGAGTACTAAGGTTATTAATACATTTGCATCAAAATGTTTTCCATTTACACTTTTCTTTATAAAGTGCTAAATAAAACCAATATGTTATTATTATTATAAGGATATGATTATTATTATCACAAACAAATAATGTTTACCTAAATTTTGTTTTGTTCTGCTCAGTAACATTTTGTGAAAAAAAAAAATCAGCAAAAAAAGGTTATTGAGCCAAACCTTTTTCAGAGCTAGTACCTTTGTTTTTTATAACTTATTTTATTATTTCTTGTTCTAAAATCAGGTACCGGCTTTAACCTTGTAACTTATTTCAAGATATTTCCACATACGCAAAACCTTTCTTAAAATGGTAATTCCTATTAAAAATGTACGCATGTCGCACAGAAAGTGACCAACACTAACCAGCTGCTTTTATTGCAAACAGACATCCAAACACCAAATACAAAATAATTAAATTCATACTTCCCCACACGTAACACTAGTGCCTGCACCAGGAATCAGCAGAGGTGCTCCCTGCAGTCATAAGGCCGCTTCAGTAGACTTAATATAGGCACTCAGTTTTAGCTGGCACAATTATAGTATAAAGTGATTCATTCAGTGTCCTAAATAAAAAAAACAAAAAAAAAAACCTTTGACAATAAAAATAGACCATGATTTCTACAAGGAAAAATGTATGTATTCTTTTAAAACATCTTTCTTTGGCATTTTTCTTTTACATGAAGCTAAATATGGTTCTCTATACCTCACGTTGGCTTCACGCTTGAAATACGTTGTATCCAAATTCGTGGGTGTATTTATGTATTTTTAGGTAGCGTTCATTTGCAGTCCTCCAGTAGTTTTGCTCCATGTATAAAAATAAGTTAAAAATTGACCTCAATAAAAAAAAATCGGTATTTCCAAAATTGAGTCGTTCTTATGGGAGTGAGTCTTCAGACGAAAAGCCATAGTTGGAATCTGTCGCCTGGGTTACAGGGGGCGAGCGATGGGTGCTCGTGTCGCGCACTGAGACACAAGTTCAAACCGGGGAGAAAGAACAACTGATTCTGTTGGAGAAAAAAAAAAAAAAAGTATGATTAAAAGCCATGGAACAGATTGGACGACACCAGGGACGCACAAAGCTTTTTTTCTTGGTAGAGAAAGCTAATCGTTGAAGCAGGCGGGGGAATAGAGAAGTTAATATAATGGTGAAATCACTGGTAAAACAATCTATGATCATTCATTAGTATAAAAAAAGAATATGGAATGAGACTCACACATTTGGATAAGTGTCATATTATTACAGGCATTTCAATTTTCTCTCTGGATCTACGTGGAAGAAAGGGCGATGGGTTTGGGGACTCTTTAGAGTTGCCATATCAGACAAAGCTGGATTTAAAACACCATGTTTTAACTCATATTGAGACCAATTAAAACAGTCTTCTATTGGCTTTGTTAGAAAAAAGTTATTATTGTTGAGAATATTAGTGCATCCTTTATGTCTGAAAATAACTACTGCTCTACGCCTTTTGAACGTTTGGAAATAAACTGGAGTTACTTGTTCTAGAGATGACCTCAGACGTATTGCACAGACGAGCAGGCGGCTTCTATTATATGTCAAGTACTGTAGTAGTGCAGTACTGTAGTAGTGCAGTACTGTAGTAGTGCAGTACTGTAGAAGTGTAGAAGTGTAGAAGTGTAGAAGTGTAGTATTGTAGTATTGTAGTATTGTAGTACTGTAGTAGTGTAGTAGTGTAGTAGTGTAGAAGTGTAGAAGTGCAGTGGTAGTGTAGTAGTGCAGTAGTAGTGTAGTAGTGTAGTAGTGCAGTAGTATGATAGTGTTGGACCTGTCTGAGCTCCCACTTCTGCTGCAGTCCCACAGCAGTGTCGCGGCCCTTGTACTGGCACTCCTCCAGCTTCAGCGTGACCCCGTCCACCCCGTGCAGACACAGCTCCTTCTGGATGTTGTGCCGGATCTCGTGGTGGGTGGAGTACTCGAAATACTGCAATAAGCACAATATAAGCAAAATAAATGACAAATGTGATGTCTGACGTTACAAGTATAATCCTACAGCGCGAGAATGGAAAGATTTTGTCTAAAATATGTTTGGGAAGCAGTAACGTGGTTAAACACGAGATAATGTACGCACATAATGTGAGTCATGAATCAGCCAGCTCCCTGTAGGGACATTCTACAAGCTGGGCTCAAAAAGACAGAAAAGCCTTTTAAGCAAAGACAAGACTTTATATTGAAAATTACACACAGTCGTCAGGGTAACAGAATATTTCCTGTGGTCAAGACGACTTCCACGTTTACATTGTAGAAGTTCAGAGGAGCGAATGGTGGGAACTGCTGTTTAGCCCAATCATACATTTTTACTATTTGCATGAGTCCCGTCAGTGCGACCTGGTTCACTTACAACAAACGCATTCAATATGACGACAGTCAGACAGTTTCCAACAAAGTTATAGTGTCAAATACAAAATGATAAAAAAGGCAAGTAAAAGTACTGAGGTGCCCTTTCACACGTAACAGTAAAAAGCTTTTCAGAAAGATTCAGAGAATATGTCAAATATTGTTGTTTTTATAATTTTCCCCCGACATTTGAGGCGAACAGGTTAAACATGGAAGTTATTTGTTCATAATAACATTCATTCATTCATTCATTTTCAACCCCTTCGTCCATTTCTGGGTCGGGGGGGTGGCAATGAGAGCTGCCACCCAACGCTCATAGCACCAGTCCCTCACTGATCCTCTGCAGGGGGTGAGTCCACAGGAAGATGGCTGCTCCATCAGTTGTGATACAGCCTTGATCTTTCAGCGGGGGCTTCAGGCAACGTGGGGTTAAGTGTCTTGCCCAAGGACACAACGACAGCAGTCATCAGTGGGAGCAGTTGGAGTAGGTCCCATGGTGGGATTTGAACTCACGACCTCCAGGCCCAAAGGCCAATGCTCTACCAACTGAGCTACTGTCGCCCCCATAATAACAAGTGGTGAAAAAAAAAAAAAAGTGAAACCAATTTATGATTACATTACATACATTTAATATAGAGTGACATATGTCAAGCCTTTGTTTTAAAGCTATGAACCATAATTATAACAAATAATAGCTTGGTAAATGTCACTCTGTCATATATAAGTTTTATATTGTTTGTTGAATAACAGTAATAATTGCACTTATGAACAATATTCTAATTATCCATGTTTCACCTGCAAATAAAGTATATTGTATTTACAAAGAAAAAAAATAGTTTTTAACAGTTTTTTTTTACTTGTTGTGTATCATTATACCCATCAATGATATTTATCCACATTTACATACAACATCAAAACAAAATCATAGTCTGCATGGTTCTGACCTGATTTCCTCCCAGTCCGTGGCAGGGGTACATGATCAGCTGTTTGCCACCCTCGTTGTTCTCTCCTGCGTCCAGGCATGAATCCTTAGCCACGTTTTTCACCTACACAGAACAGGCCGATACATTCAAGGGAGGAAAGCCAAAGTAACACAGAAAAACATCCACACAAGCTGTCCAAACAGCCCAGCTCTCTGGAGGGCTTTCAGGAGGAGCGGTGGGTTCACAAACGTACCGAACCGAAACGCAGAGGGTTGAGGTCGGGCATGAAGACCTCGGGGAAGACGTTCTGGAGATACCATGAAAAACTCTTGCACTGCAGCCGCTGACGGAGCTCCACGCGTGGAGAAATGTCACCAAAACTGCCCTGGAGGAAGAAAAAGAAAATATCAATGATTTAGAAATAGACCTCAGAATGAATCCACAGAAAGTGTCCGAACTACTGACTATGGAGAAGCTGTTATCTGTTGATCTCTGCTCTAGAATCTATAACATCCATGGATTCAAGTTTTTTTCCGAAAGATTTACAGACATTTATTTTAGTGATGCGACTAACAATTATTTTGATAAATTGAATAGTTGTTTGGAACGCAGCAACAATACATTATCTCAGTTTGACCCAGAAGAAGCTGAAGTGAAGCTACCAGAGGACATTACCCAATTTCTAATGTTTTCTAAAAGAAATGGCTTCCTTGTTTGTAAGTAAGAAAGTAATATTTATTTTCAAAGCGCTTTTCACAGACCAAGGTCACACAAAGCACTATATAATTTTCTTTGTATACACACGGTGATGATAGAAGTGAGACAACGAATCGTTTGCGGATCAGGAATTCAGAACAACACATTTTTACTGGGCAATGCAATTTTGGTCGTTGCAACAGGGATGGAGTTTAGTTTGAGGCATTTACACTTGTTTAAATGTTGCTAAGAGTACATACTTTCCCTTTTTCCTAAATAAATACATTATTGCCATAATAAATTACTATCTGTCTGTATTTAATAACATTGGTATATGTTACATGTGCGAACCAGCAGAGATTCTGTGGCTGTAAAGTGCAGTAACTGGATGTAGTAGTTCTGTGATTGTGATGTTTCCAGACTCCGAGAACAACAGTGACTTGTTGGCCTGTAGTAAAATGCTTCCTGTCCTCTCCAGCCCCTTTAGGCAGAGCACTCCCTGTAATGACCAGGCTGGGGGCCACATTAGCTCGCTGATCGAACACGCTGCTGCTTGAAGGAAAGACGGGTCCAAGGGAGCACGATTTTATGACACCCCCGGGACCACGTGTTCAGAAGCGGCCTCTCCTGCTACAGCCACTTTAGCCTTTGCACAGCCTGCAGTGGACCTTTGGTGTGGTCATCCAGGCCCTTTGTCCAGAGGAAAATGTCTCATTCTTCTGAAACATTTCACTGTGTTTTATGAGTCAATGTAACAAGTAAATATTAAACATTTGTCACAACACATTCAAATCAAGTGCATTTTAATAGATTTTTTAATGGAATGTCTGTGTCCTAGAAAACCTTGAAGTACTGCTTAGTCTATGTTTTGTAAGATGATTACAAAGCCTGTATTTTGCCATATTAAAAACCTAAAATTAGAACAATTCAATATTTTGCAAACTTGTTAAAAAAGAAAAAAATGTCCAGAGAAACCAAACTTTTTCCATAAACAAAAATAATGGAAGGACAGTTTCTTTATTCCAACAGAAAGGTAAAGGTCAAATTATACAGTAACCTTTTGACACTTTAGGCTGAGAGCTGATTGGCTGATAAGGGTGGTCCTCTCTTTTTCTCTTTTCTTTCTGAAGCTTATCTAAAAATGTGGCCAACAATACATGCGCGTGCAAAAACTAGTGATAGAACCAAACTGTTTTGAGAGCGAGGAACTAGTAACATGGATATTATTACATAGTTGCAAATGTGTGGTTTGAAGATGGGCTTGTTCACACTAAAGGGCACAAAAGTGTGACAAAAGGCCAAAAATTAGATTTTAATAATCAGAAGATATTTTATGTTTTTCATGTTTCCAAGCACCTCCTCTGTTCATTAGAAGTTGCTAGAACATAACTGTTTTATACATTAGACAAGTTTCCTATAGCGGCCCTGTTTATTTTATCTAACGGACGATGATGATTTGACGGAATGAGCTTTCCGGAAGTTTGATAGGTATTTTCAGATGTCCACAATTGATTCAGAGATTCTATTTTTTTACACAGAGTAGAAACAAAGTGATACTTTCATTTAGTCAAGCAATTAAATGTGAAACCAGACAAGATTTTTTTCTTTCTCAAGTTTAAATTTTAGAGAAAAGAGGACGGAAACCATCACGTCCGTTATACATTTTTCAAGGGTCATTTAATTAATTAATTAATTTTAATTTTTTAACGATTCCTTTTCATATCAAGTGATTTCCTGATGTTGTGTTAACCATAATAATCTTGTGGGATTTCATCTGCCGCTTTTTCAGACTGAGGACATTTTATTTTCTATGTAACCGGCGTCACAGTAGAATGGTCAAAAAAGAGGCTGATTTTGTCGTTTAAAATGTCACCAAAAATATATTTGACAATCTTTCCTTTTGATTTTATCCACACTATCTCTTTGATGTGTCTGTGTTTGAAATCTTTTTTCCAATCTATGATAGTAATTTTAGTTTTTAAGTTATAACCTTTTAAAGCCGAGATACTTCAATTGACACTTAACTGTGAACACACTCAGTTAGGTACACTTTAATATCATCTAGCTAATAACACGCAGACAACTTGGACCAAAACGCACAGGGGAGACCAGATCAGGAAGTTGTGGGTGAGAGTGGGGTTATTATCGAGTATCGCACTCACGTCTTTGGCCATCTGGTTGGCTTGTTGGTTTCGGCGGTAGAAGATCTCCTTGTATCCGTCCATCCAGACCTCGGCGAGACGGACCTGGTTGCGGGCGATGACCTGTGTGCCTTTGGGGAAGGTGTGAGGGCTCTTGGTGCGAAAGACGTGTCCCACCACAGAGCAGGGGAGGATCTCCAGCATACCACCGCACTGCCACACCTACAGGACCCCCACAAGACCCCCATAACTGTAATCCAAGTATATGTTAACTTCACATGGAGACAATCACAATTCAAAATCCTCCAACCTCAGAACGCTTGTGCTTGAAGGTTTACACACTCAGGCAGCAATATTTTGACCATATTTCTAAAATGAACTGGTCTACAATGGTGTTGCATCACCAGTTACAGAACAGTCAGGCAAGGCAAGTTTATTTGTATAGCACAATTCATGCACAAGGAAACTCAAAGTGCTGAACAAAATAAGATTAAAACCATAATCACAGTACATTAAAAAGAAAGATAAAAAACCTAAAATCCCTCAGTTGTATGCACAGTAGGAATGAGCCAACAGCACAAGGTAAACTAGAAACCGTTGCAATGGCTGAAGCCATTGCGATTGACTGCGGAACAGATCTAATGTGGAATTTAGCTGAAAAATCCTTGAAATCCTTGAAACTGTTAAAATACTTTAAACATCTTTGAAACTCCTGAAGTATTTGAAGCTCCTGATATCCTTTAAACTGTTATCCTTTATACTGGTTTTCATGTAAAAACCCCTATTAAGTTCCATTATACTGGTTTACATGTAAAAACCCCTATTAAGTTGCATTATACTGGTTTACATGTAAAAAACCCTATTAAGTTGCATTATACTGGTTTACATGGAAAAATCCCTATTAAGTTGCATTATACTGGTTTACATGTAAAAAACCCTATTAAGTTGCATTATACTGGTTTACATGGAAAAATCCCTATTAAGTTGCATTATACTGGTTTACATGTAAAAATCCCTATTAAGTTGCATTATACTGGTTTACATGTAAAAACCCCTATTAAGTTCCATTATACTGGTTTACATGTAAAAACCCCTATTAAGTTGCATAATACTGGTTTACATGGAAAAATCCCCATTAAGTTGCATTATACTGGTTTACATGGAAAAATCCCTATTAAGTTGCATTATACTGGTTTACATGGAAAAATCCCTATTAAGTTGCATAATACTGGTTTACATGGAAAAATCCCCATTAAGTTGCATTATACTGGTTTACATGGAAAAATCCCCATTAAGTTGCATTATACTGGTTTACATGGAAAAATCCCTATTAAGTTGCATTGTACTGGTTTACATGGAAAAAACCCTATTAAGTTGCATTATACTGGTTTACATGGAAAAAACCCTATTAAGTTGCATTATACTGGTTTACATGTAAAAACCCCTATTAAGTTGCATTATACTGGTTTACATGGAAAAAACCCCTATTAAGTTGCATTATACTGGTTTACATGAAAAAACCCTATTAAGTTGCATTATACTGGTTTACATGGAAAAATCCCTATTAAGTTGCATTATACTGGTTTACATGGAAAAATCCCTATTAGGTTGCATGATTACACTGAAGTCCTTGAAACTGCTGAAGTCCTTGAAACTGCTGAAGTCCTTGAAACTGCTGAAGTCCTTGAAACTGTTGAAGTCCTTGAAACTCTTGAAATCTTGAAACTGCTGAAATCCTTGAAACTGTTGAATCCTTGAAACTGTTGAATCATTGAAACTGTAGAAATGTCTGAAAGAGCTGAAGTCCTATTAAAATGCATGGGCCTATTAAAATGCATTGCAGAATTCTCAATGCAGATTTTTGTCCGATTGCGGAAAAACCGGAAATCGCTGAAGTCCCAAAAGTAATAGCAATAATCTCCCAAACATGTGGAACGTTTTGATGTATAACTTGTGGAAATTGTTGAAAATGTGAAAGCTGTGAAACGTGTCAAAAAAAATGACGGAATAAAGAAATACAAAACCAATGGTTGACTGCGGAAGGTTCCGCAGTCAATCAACTAGAAACTTGCAATGGCTGAAGCCATTGCGATTGACTGCGGAACAGATCTAATGTGGAAATCTGCTAAAAAAAATCCTTGAAATCCTTTAAAAGGCCTTGAAACTGTTAAAATACTTGATAGATATTTGAAACTCCTGAAGTCCTTGAAATTGTTGAAACCTTTAAACTCCTGAAATCCTTGAAACTGTTGAAACATTGAAACTCCTGAAATCCTTGAAACTTTTTTAAACCTGGAAACTGTTGAAAGTGTGGAAACTCCTGAAATCCTTGAACCTCCTGATATCCTTGAAACTGGTTAAATTCTTAAACAGTTGAAATCCTTGAAACTACTGAATGTATTGAAAGTGTCCTTGAAACTGAAAAATCCCCTCACCGCTGAAACAATTTGGTTCCTGTAACTAAGGAAACCTGGTCTGTGGTCATTATCTGGTGGTGGTCTGAGTCTTCGTTTGGGTCTTGGTCTGGTGGTATAATGCAACCTATTAGGTTGCATTATACTGGTTTACATGGAAAAATCCCTATTAGGTTGCATTATACTGGTTTACATGGAAAAATCCCTATTAGGTTGCATTATACTGGTTTACATGGAAAAATCCCTATTAAGTTGCATTATACTGGTTTACATGGAAAAATCTCTATTAAGTTGCATTATACTGGTTTACATGGAAAAATCCCTATTAGGTTGCATTATACTGGTTTACATGTACAAATCCCTATTAAGTTGCTTTATACTGGTTTACATGTAAAAACCCCTATTAGGTTACATTATAGTGGTTTACATGTAAAAATCCTTATTAAGTTGCATTATACTGGTTTACATGTAAAAACCCCTATTAAGTTCCATTATACTGGTTTACATGTAAAAACCCTATTAAGTTGCATTATACTGGTTTACATGAAAAAAACCCTATTAAGTTGCATTATACTGGTTTACATGGAAAAATCCCTATTAAGTTGCATAATACTGGTTTACATGGAAAAATCCCCATTAAGTTGCATTATACTGGTTTACATGAAAAAAACCCCATTAAGTTGCATTATACTGGTTTACATGGAAAAATCCCTATTAAGTTGCATTATACTGGTTTACATGGAAAAATCCCTATTAAGTTGCATAATACTGGTTTACATGGAAAAATCCCCATTAAGTTGCATTATACTGGTTTACATGTAAAAAACCCTATTAAGTTGCATTATACTGGTTTACATGGAAAAATCCCTATTAAGTTGCATTATACTGGTTTACATGAAAAAAACCCTATTAAGTTGCATTATACTGGTTTACATGGAAAAATCCCTATTAAGTTGCATTGTACTGGTTTACATGGAAAAATCCCTATTAAGTTGCATTATACTGGTTTACATGAAAAAAACCCTATTAAGTTGCATTATACTGGTTTACATGTAAAAACCCCTATTAAGTTGCATTATACTGGTTTACATGGAAAAATCCCTATTAAGTTGCATTATACTGGTTTACATGGAAAAATCCCTATTAAGTTGCATTATACTGGTTTACATGGAAAAATCCCTATTAAGTTGCATTATACTGGTTTACATGGAAAAATCCCTATTAAGTTGCATTATACTGGTTTACATGGAAAAATCCCTATTAAGTTGCATTATACTGGTTTACATGGAAAAATCCCTATTAGGTTGCATTATACTGGTTTACATGTACAAATCCCTATTAAGTTGCTTTATACTGGTTTACATGTAAAAACCCCTATTAGGTTACATTATAGTGGTTTACATGTAAAAATCCTTATTAAGTTGCATTATACTGGTTTACATGTAAAAACCCCTATTAAGTTCCATTATACTGGTTTACATGTAAAAACCCCTATTAAGTTCCATTATACTGGTTTACATGTAAAAACCCTATTAAGTTGCATTATACTGGTTTACATGAAAAAAAACCCTATTAAGTTGCATTATACTGGTTTACATGGAAAAATCCCTATTAAGTTGCATAATACTGGTTTACATGGAAAAATCCCCATTAAGTTGCATTATACTGGTTTACATGGAAAAATCCCTATTAAGTTGCATTATACTGGTTTACATGGAAAAAACCCTATTAAGTTGCATAATACTGGTTTACATGGAAAAATCCCCATTAAGTTGCATTATACTGGTTTACATGGAAAAATCCCCATTAAGTTGCATTATACTGGTTTACATGGAAAAATCCCTATTAAGTTGCATTGTACTGGTTTACATGGAAAAAACCCTATTAAGTTGCATTATACTGGTTTACATGGAAAAAACCCTATTAAGTTGCATTATACTGGTTTACATGTAAAAACCCCTATTAAGTTGCATTATACTGGTTTACATGGAAAAATCCCCATTAAGTTGCATTATACTGGTTTACATGAAAAAAAACCCTATTAAGTTGCATTATACTGGTTTACATGAAAAAACCCTATTAAGTTGCATTATACTGGTTTACATGGAAAAATCCCTATTAAGTTGCATTATACTGGTTTACATGGAAAAATCCCTATTAGGTTGCATGATTACACTGAAGTCCTTGAAACTGCTGAAGTCCTTGAAACTGCTGAAGTCCTTGAAACTGCTGAAGTCCTTGAAACTGTTGAAGTCCTTGAAACTCTTGAAATCTTGAAACTGCTGAAATCCTTGAAACTGTTGAATCCTTGAAACTGTTGAATCATTGAAACTGTAGAAATGTCTGAAAGAGCTGAAGTCCTATTAAAATGCATGGGCCTATTAAAATGCATTGCAGAATTCTCAATGCAGATTTTTGTCCGATTGCGGAAAAACCGGAAATCGCTGAAGTCCCAAAAGTAATAGCAATAATCTCCCAAACATGTGGAACGTTTTGATGTATAACTTGTGGAAATTGTTGAAAATGTGAAAGCTGTGAAACGTGTCAAAAAAAATGACGGAATAAAGAAATACAAAACCAATGGTTGACTGCGGAAGGTTCCGCAGTCAATCAACTAGAAACTTGCAATGGCTGAAGCCATTGCGATTGACTGCGGGAACAGATCTAATGTGGAAATCTGCTAAAAAAAATCCTTGAAATCCTTTAAAAGGCCTTGAAACTGTTAAAATACTTGATAGATATTTGAAACTCCTGAAGTCCTTGAAATTGTTGAAACCTTTAAACTCCTGAAATCCTTGAAACTGTTGAAACATTGAAACTCCTGAAATCCTTGAAACTTTTTTAAACCTGGAAACTGTTGAAAGTGTGGAAACTCCTGAAATCCTTGAACCTCCTGATATCCTTGAAACTGGTTAAATTCTTAAACAGTTGAAATCCTTGAAACTACTGAATGTATTGAAAGTGTCCTTGAAACTGAAAAATCCCCTCACCGCTGAAACAATTTGGTTCCTGTAACTAAGGAAACCTGGTCTGTGGTCATTATCTGGTGGTGGTCTGAGTCTTCGTTTGGGTCTTGGTCTGGTGGTATAATGCAACCTATTAGGTTGCATTATACTGGTTTACATGGAAAAATCCCTATTAGGTTGCATTATACTGGTTTACATGGAAAAATCCCTATTAGGTTGCATTATACTGGTTTACATGGAAAAATCCCTATTAAGTTGCATTATACTGGTTTACATGGAAAAATCTCTATTAAGTTGCATTATACTGGTTTACATGGAAAAATCCCTATTAGGTTGCATTATACTGGTTTACATGTACAAATCCCTATTAAGTTGCTTTATACTGGTTTACATGTAAAAACCCCTATTAGGTTACATTATAGTGGTTTACATGTAAAAATCCTTATTAAGTTGCATTATACTGGTTTACATGTAAAAACCCCTATTAAGTTCCATTATACTGGTTTACATGTAAAAACCCTATTAAGTTGCATTATACTGGTTTACATGAAAAAAACCCTATTAAGTTGCATTATACTGGTTTACATGGAAAAATCCCTATTAAGTTGCATAATACTGGTTTACATGGAAAAATCCCCATTAAGTTGCATTATACTGGTTTACATGAAAAAAACCCCATTAAGTTGCATTATACTGGTTTACATGGAAAAATCCCTATTAAGTTGCATTATACTGGTTTACATGGAAAAATCCCTATTAAGTTGCATAATACTGGTTTACATGGAAAAATCCCCATTAAGTTGCATTATACTGGTTTACATGTAAAAAACCCTATTAAGTTGCATTATACTGGTTTACATGGAAAAATCCCTATTAAGTTGCATTATACTGGTTTACATGAAAAAAACCCTATTAAGTTGCATTATACTGGTTTACATGGAAAAATCCCTATTAAGTTGCATTGTACTGGTTTACATGGAAAAATCCCTATTAAGTTGCATTATACTGGTTTACATGAAAAAAACCCTATTAAGTTGCATTATACTGGTTTACATGTAAAAACCCCTATTAAGTTGCATTATACTGGTTTACATGGAAAAATCCCTATTAAGTTGCATTATACTGGTTTACATGGAAAAATCCCTATTAAGTTGCATTATACTGGTTTACATGGAAAAATCCCTATTAAGTTGCATTATACTGGTTTACATGGAAAAATCCCTATTAAGTTGCATTATACTGGTTTACATGGAAAAATCCCTATTAAGTTGCATTATACTGGTTTACATGGAAAAATCCCTATTAGGTTGCATTATACTGGTTTACATGTACAAATCCCTATTAAGTTGCTTTATACTGGTTTACATGTAAAAACCCCTATTAGGTTACATTATAGTGGTTTACATGTAAAAATCCTTATTAAGTTGCATTATACTGGTTTACATGTAAAAACCCCTATTAAGTTCCATTATACTGGTTTACATGTAAAAACCCCTATTAAGTTCCATTATACTGGTTTACATGTAAAAACCCTATTAAGTTGCATTATACTGGTTTACATGAAAAAAACCCTATTAAGTTGCATTATACTGGTTTACATGGAAAAATCCCCATTAAGTTGCATTATACTGGTTTACATGGAAAAATCCCTATTAAGTTGCATTATACTGGTTTACATGGAAAAATCCCTATTAAGTTGCATAATACTGGTTTACATGGAAAAATCCCCATTAAGTTGCATTATACTGGTTTACATGGAAAAATCCCCATTAAGTTGCATTATACTGGTTTACATGGAAAAATCCCTATTAAGTTGCATTGTACTGGTTTACATGGAAAAAACCCTATTAAGTTGCATTATACTGGTTTACATGGAAAAAACCCTATTAAGTTGCATTATACTGGTTTACATGTAAAAACCCCTATTAAGTTGCATTATACTGGTTTACATGGAAAAATCCCCATTAAGTTGCATTATACTGGTTTACATGAAAAAAAACCCTATTAAGTTGCATTATACTGGTTTACATGAAAAAACCCTATTAAGTTGCATTATACTGGTTTACATGGAAAAATCCCTATTAAGTTGCAATACTGTTGGAAAAATCCTATTAGGTTGCATGATTACACTGAAGTTTGACACTGCTGAAAAACTCCCTTGAAATGCTGAGTCCTTGAAACTGTTGAAGTCCTTGATGCTGAAGTCCTTGAAACTGCTGAAGTCTGAAGTCCTTGAAACTGCTGAAAACTGTGAGTCCTTGAAACTGAAGTCCTGCTGCTGAAGTCCTTGAAACTGCTGAAAACTGCTGAAGTCCTTGAAACTGTTGAAGTCCTTGAAACTGAAGTCCTTGAAACTGTTGAAGTCCTTGAAACTCTTGAAATCTTGAAACTGCTGAAATCCTTGAAACTGTTGAATCCTTGAAACTGTTGAATCATTGAAACTGTAGAAATGTCTGAAAGAGCTGAAGTCCTATTAAAATGCATGGGCCTATTAAAATGCATTGCAGAATTCTCAATGCAGATTTTTGTCCGATTGCGGAAAAACCGGAAATCGCTGAAGTCCCAAAAGTAATAGCAATAATCTCCCAAACATGTGGAACGTTTTGATGTATAACTTGTGGAAATTGTTGAAAATGTGAAAGCTGTGAAACGTGTCAAAAAAAATGACGGAATAAAGAAATACAAAACCAATGGTTGACTGCGGAAGGTTCCGCAGTCAATCAATAAGAAGCAAAAATGAAGTACAACATCTCGGACTTATAAGATTGTGAATGATAGCACACAACTTTTTCTAAAACTCATTGTTAGTGCTCATGTGTAACCAATAATGGTCATATAAACACGTTTTCCATTTTCAAATTATAATGACTAACTACTAAAATACTCTGATACGGCTCTTTGTCCTCTTGCTGCCTCCAGTTCCTGTAAATTCCTGGGCCGCCTGCATGAACTGCACACTATAGAGATCTCCCCTGAGCGACTCAATGTTGTTTCAAAAGAGACAATACATGGATTAACACAATCTAGTTTTTTTTTTTTCCCAATAATTGTTAGTGGTTGTGTGATTGTTCATAATCTGCAAAATATATCCAAAACAATGAAATCTCTGCTGGGAGTGTAAACTTTCACGCACAACTTTAGGGGTAGCAGTGTAGGGTTAGGGTTAGTCAGAATCTGATTAATATGACAAAGATTTCACACTTCTTTATTATGCTAAAGTCTATTCTGGAGCGTTGTAAATTTGTACATAGGTTTAAACACCTTACCCTGAATGACATCTCAATATTCTCTCCGCCCCAGATTTCCATTTGCTCATCGTAACTCCCGATGTGGTAGAAGTAATCCTTGGAGATGGAGAAAAGGCCTCCAGCAAAAGTGGGAGTCCTAACAGCAGACCCAGATCAACACTCTCAGTATAAACCCAATAAATACATATATGAATATAAATAAAAACGCCATAATGTGAGATATTCATGCAATATTTATATTTATTATATCTCTTAGTTTAGAGCGAATGGTGGATTGCTGATTATCTCAATGTAGCTATCCATCAATTGTTTTTTAAAGCTGGAGTACTTCATTTTCAAAAAAGGTTGAACTACATAATACAATACACCTGGTTTCTCTGTTTATAAACATTTTGACTCCATCACTCCTTTTCATGTGTCTGTATGTTTGGTTCCTGTCACATATTTAGATCAGCTTTTTTATATGGAAAAGTAAAAAATAGTGACCCACTCTTCCTTAAATGAAAAATGTAAAAAGTTATAGTCTGATTAGAAAAATGACTGAAATGTATAGCTGTGCATGTTTTAATCCGAATAGGCACTTTTGCTGTTACTTTTTTACATGAGACGAATGATTTCATATTCAAACATTGTACATCTCTCAAAAACCAATAGTAATATTGTTAATTTCTGGACATACTTATGATCCATTGGGCCTCACCTGATTGGATACGTCTCATCCTTCCTCCTCCTCTTCTCGTGGTCGGGCAGACTCTCCCAGCCGAAGGACAGGCTCCAGTCAAAGTTGCCGCGGTTGTGGTTCTGTCCGTACGGCGACGGCTTCATGAACTCAAAGGTGTTCAGGTCTATGGTGGTGATGTCAGGAGAGACCACCGCTGTAGAGTTCTCTGCTATCCGCGCCAGCAGAGGCTCCAGCCAGCCGTGGAAGCATTCGCCTGCACGCGACACACATGCCATGCTTTAAGGGTTTAGTATTAGTTCACTGTATCACACATAGATCACTCCTACTCCGTACTGTTTGTGTTCACTTTATGCAAACATTGATATAAAACAGTTTTTATACATGAACAATAGAAGCCTTTCATTGCATTCTGACACACCTATTCAGCATACATGACTGGTAGCATGAGGAAATACACGGCGATTCACCTTTGTAACTAAACAGGATCTAACTAAAAAAACTAGTGGCTTGAGATTGTGTGCATGAATAGGTGTGTCTTGTAACGTATACATAGACTTACAATGGGCATCTAAAAAGGTGAGTGTGTCTCCCGTGGCAACAGAGGCCCCCAGCAGCCGGGCGGTGATCAGCCCCTTCCTCTCCTTCTGTCGAACCACACGCACCATGTGGAGCTGTTTGAGGTACTCGTCCAGCTGATCCTTCAACATCTCTGAAGACATCAAACACATGGTTCAGAGGTTCACACCAAAAGTCAATAGACAAGAAATTTCATATTTTTGTTTGGTAGAAACTTCCACTGTCAGGTTTCTCACATTATGCTCCTTGTAAATGGAACCCTGTCTAAAGACTGGACTAAACTTTATCCTTAGGCAGTGTTATTTGTTTAGTTGCTTGCACATCATGAGTTACAGTCCTGTATCAAATTTGCTGTATACAGTAAATAAAAAGTCTTCTCCTACTGCTAACTTCCTATTTACATTGACAATTATAACGCCTTTCATTCCATTTCATTTCAGTGATGACCAGAGTTTCTTTTTGACTCAAGAAAAAGGCCTCTTCTCTGACCATCTTCAAAACATATTTGTTTAGCTCTGCAAATTTTTTGTTTTACTATTAATCTGTTTTTAGCCCCCATTGTAGACCTTTAACTTAAGCCTGATACTTTAACTGTATGTGTTTTAATATGAAATCCTCTTATTGCCTTTCTGATCTGTTTTCCATGCATTTTGATTTGTGTTTATAAATTCTCTTTTTAGTCACTTTGAATGACTCACTCAAATTACCTAGAGCTCACTATTATTCTTAAATGTCATAGAACTACATTGTAGAAGTCAAACGTCAATCATTACTTTTAAAACCGTCTTGTTTAAATTACATTTGTATCAACAATTGTCCACATCTTTCAAGTAAGTTTTCTTCATCTGAAATAACTACACATTCCCTGGGGGGAGCGGGAAACACTGCATCATACTGTAACTCCCAAGGTTCCTCTACTCAAGTGCACGGAGGTAACACAGCTCTAATGTCACTAACCAAACAGACGAAAAAGCACTTAGGACAATAAATTGAATTAAAAGGACTTGTTTTTACAATCTTCATAACCCTTTTATTGTAAAGTTCTGCTGCTGCTGTTCAGAAGGAGACTACCATGGACCATGAATGTAAATGTAAACTATGCTTGTATGCTTTTCATTAGGACAGAACAACGAGGAAGGTGAAACAATCAGTTTTGCATATGGCTCTTTTAAAACACATAATTTTGAATTAAGTGAACAAAAGCTGATGCAATGTGGGTTGTCTGTAGCTTGTTGGACATTGGGAAAGTTGTGCGACATGGCTGCGTTTCAAATGGCCAGCTCCCAGCTCTGAGCACAGTTTGGTGAAGCCCCCTCGGCTCCAGGATAAAGTGCAGCTCCGTCGCAGCACCTGTTTACATTAACTAAGTGATTCACTGCTCTGAGGAAGGCTAGTATTCCACCGGCTTCCTGTCCACCTTCCCACCCAGAACCCCACAGTGAAATTGGACCCAGTTTCGAAGCTGGAATCGCCACAAACTCTCCATCCAGAGTTATCCAGTGTCTTTCCCATTATTTTCTTCTGTGGTTGATGCCAATACAGGTTTGACAGGTTCATTTCCACCTGCCAGGTTGATGTCATTCAGCAAATCAACAGCAGTTGGTGATATTGCTAATGCACAAATTAGTAATTGGAGAGGTCATTTTTCAGAGGTTGTTACATAATGCCTTGATGAATAATGATTATGTGATTATTTTTGTCTTATTATTTACATTATGTACCGTACTTGCTGGACCATTAACCACGCCTCTATATAAACCACACCATAAATGTTGTCCACATATAGGCTGCACTTGAATATAAGCTTGAGGTTTTTATGGTGCAATGTAACTGATGGAGCTGATGGAAAAAAACAACACGTCGACTCGAAAGCACTTTGGTAAAATCTATTTTGACAGAAGCATTCCTACCAAAACTTGAGTCAAATAAAATAAAAGATGGCAAAAAGGCTGACTTTTATAGACTGATTTATATGTTATTGATTGCGTTTTTGATAAATAGCTTAAAACGAACATGGTTGTTTTGCTGAGCTTTAAAATGAGGAATGCCATGGTTGATGTATTGTCTTTTATTTAAGATCGTATTAGTCTGAAAACAATTTGGGCACAAATGGGTTAATGCAGAGTGTTAATGCAAATAATGTTATTAGTTGTGTTCCCTTGAATCAGGAAATGTATTTTTTTTTTTTTTTTTACAGTTTTGGCCCTTGCCTTGAAGAAAACATAATTTTTAGGGCACATACAGTAGCTTGGTGGTAGGTCATAATGGATAACATAACTGGATATAATCAACCCAGAAAGGTTGTGATCAGCCAAACTGATTGTGATTGATTCCTCCTTTTTAAAATCTAAAACAACTTTGAATGTTTTCTTTATTCTAAAATACAAAACAAATGTTTTCAAAAAGGGAAATTTCCAATTGGCAATCCAAAAACCGGCAAAAAATGGCAATAGGCTTCACACTTTCTATTGCTTTGCTTTTTCCCAACAGCAAAAAATAAAAAGGACTGATGCCAAGGGTAATTTCAAGTATACTATAGATATCCATGTTATATAAATGTATTCTGCCCTAAACACACACCTGCAGTATGATACTTGAAGCACTCCACATGTAGCGGCACAACACATTTCTCACAGAACTTGCATCGCTTGTACTTGTACTTGTACTTCTACTTGTACTTGCTACCGCTGGGGCAGGCCTGTGGTTGAGGTTGTAGAACCTGCTGGCATCAGCCATGCCCACTTCGTCTTACTCCAGGCATGTCCAAACTCAGGCCCCCGGGCCAATTGCGGCCCTCTGGTCCACTTTATGTGACCCTCTGCTGCTAACACAAAGTCGCCATTGAGGCACTTTGACAGTGTCATCCAACCAACTTAAGCTCCACCAATACAGTCAGGCTATATCTTGCTGTAAATCTCAGACACTCTGGAATCCAGTTGTTGACTATATTGTTATTTACTTACATTTGTTTTATAATTGTGTGGCCCTCTTACTAAAAGTTTGGACACCTGTGTCTTACTTTGAATACCTGTGAATACTCTATTTAGATGTGAAGAGTAATCTAAGAGGTTTAAAATTAGCCTCTGTACACCATTCTACAATTAAAAATAAGTAAATTATGAGGCACTGTTTGTAGGTATACTAGGCAGTGTTTTTCTTTCCTTTACTGACATCATATGTGCCCACCTGCAACTAAAGTTGCCGCGCACAAAATCATTGCCCATAACTCAAAAAATATTTATTCCAGGTACAATGTTTTGAGGGAGGGTTACTCTAGAGACTTGGGTGATCAAATTATTATTTACATGTTTGGGGCAAAAATTATTCAACATTTATGAAAATGACCTCTATCTGGGTTGGTTTGCGTCATTCATGTTTTCACTCGGAAGGGACTGGAAGCTGATGATGTCAAGTGACTGGAAGCACCAGAAAGCATAATTTTTTAAAACTATAACTTTGTCTAAGTTGTTTACTAGCATATAAGTGGAAAAACCTGCATCAATACCTTTGATTTTTTTTTCTGAGAGTAGAAAATGACAATGATAAACTTCGGCAACTAAATGGGTTAATATAAGTGGTCAGTTACATAACAGTGTTGGAGATTCCACACCAAAAATGGATATCCTAGTAAGTACAAATATGTCAACAGGAATGCTCAAACTCTGAATGGGTGAATAAGAAGGACAAATAATAAAGAGGTTAATTTATTGGTATGGTGCATTGACGTTGAAATAAATACCATTGAATTACATTAATAAAACCAGACATATTGCTCAAATTACACTCAAAAACGCATTCTTTCCCTCTAAACCACAGCAATTATTCTGAGCATGTCTAGTATTCCTTCTGGCCGCCTGTCCAAACCCGCTTTACCACGTTCCCACCCAAAGCTTACACTGAAACTGGACACAATTTATAAGCACGCAGTGGTCTTCTCGGACTTTAGTCTTACCGTCCACGCTGGCGTCATCCACTAGAATGATCTCTTTGAGCAGGATGGCCGGGGATGTGTGGAGGACACTGTACACTGTCCTTAATAGGGTGCTCCAGGCTTCATTGTGGAAGACTATGATAACACTGGTGGTGGGTAAGGGCGGGCATCGCTTGAAAGTCTGCTCGATGCATCTGAAATGAGACAGAGACAAGGCCGTGATTGTCCGGTGTGAGCCCAAAGGTGGCACAACAGTCGGGTCATTACATCCAACCGACGTCCCGTGTGGGGTCTCCATTTCGGCAGCCTTTGAGAAATAAAGGGGACCGGTGATTTGCTCTCATAGGCAGCGTTCCCAGATAAAGAGATAGTGATAGCAACAAAAACAACAAGAAAAAACAAACTGCACTTTCACAAGCTCAAGCTTATAAAAAATCTTAAATGTCACAATGTTATTTGGTCGTTCATTATGTATATTGAGAAAAACTCAAAAGTAAGGCAGAGACAGCCAAATCAAAACAACAGAGCTCTTGTGACATTTTGCTTTTTAGAATGAATTCTCGCTGTAGACATTGTTTAAATTTTTAACTATTCTATAATTTTGTCTATCACCAGTGCACATGTAATTTAATAACCAACATTATACCTCTTCAAACTCCAAAACTGAAAATACAGATTTTTTTTTTTTTAATTGATGGATACATTGAAATTGAGCACAACATTTTAATTGAAATAAAATTATGTTATTGTATTAATATAACACACTTAAAAGCTCATGAAAGTCAGTTAAACATAGTACGTCCACTTATTTTGTGTTTAGGGAACACACAGCCAAACTACGTCAGGTTGCGGCTTTGCTTTTTTTCAAGTCCTGTATGGACGCTCCAGTGACATGTACTTGGATTGCATGTAGAGTGAATAAACAATTTTGGGATTGTATCCGGAGTAACTAACCACAGAAACCAGGCAGATGTGCTCAGACAAAGAGGGTGAATAGTGCAATGCTGAGGTTTTGGGTCCAAATGACCCTAAAGGAGTCTGGTGGACAGAACATTAGGTTTACATTAACTCATCTGGATTGTGTCTTGGAAGCACTGGGTATGAAATAAGATAATGATCACCACAAGAGGAGGTAGTTATGTTACAGTATGATTATAAAATAGTGAATACAAAAAGGACATATCTGTGATGAATTACATGTGTAAATATAAGACAGAAATATGATTTCAAATCTATTGTATTGTTGTCTCTCTGCTGTTATATTAGGGTGTGTTGCAAATGGAACAGGTAAGTCGATGTATCCTATTGTTTATACCAGTGTTTCCCCAGCCTTTTTTAGCCGTGGCACACCTTCATTGAAAACAATCAGAGGGCTATAACTCATACTGAAATGAAAGTCTGCAGACTTTACTAACAATATATAGTCATTCCCATCAAAGTGTATAAAATCAAACGAGAGCAAAAAAGTCTTTCAAACATTCTCTAATTGGTCGAATTAAATTGGTGATACTGGACCATTTCCAAAGGCACACCAAACAACATCTCAAGGCTACTCCAATTCATGTGTAACACTGAATTATGGTATAGTATGATGTCTGAACACTAGGGCTGTCAAACGATTACATTTGTTGTTGTTGATTAATCGCATAGTAATGGTGAGTTAACTTACGATTAATCGCATTTTTAACATTCTATTTCAAATCCACTCCAATTGAAGGTAAATGAGATCATCAAATGAAATGACACATTGTCATTCATACCAAATGTACTTAAATCTGTTAGATTTGCTCACAACCTTTTACTTTTGGGCACAACCAAAATGAGCTGTTAATGACAGGGGAAAATTTACGTACCCCAGCTTTAATTTAGCGAGTTTAGTTTCAGGAGGAGACACGGATACTTCCGCGGTGTATTTGCGTGCACAGGTTTTAAAGACAAGCACACAACATGCAGAGAATAGTCCTGTGGTGTGTATGGTCTAACCGCCATTCGCCAGAGCGGCCGCAGCTGCCCCCGGGGTGTGCCCTGGGAGGCGGTCTTCAGTTCAGAGCAAACAACCGGTCACGTACGTCCATCCATCCATCCATTTTCTTCCGCTTTATCCGTTGCCGGGTCGCGGGGGCAGCAGTCTAAGCAGAGACGCCCAGACTTCCCTATCCACACACACCTCCTCCAGCTCGTCCGGGGGGACCCCAAGGCGTTCCCAGGCCAGCTGAGAGACATAGTCTCTCCAGCGTGTCCTGGGTCTTCCCCGGGGCCTCCTCCCGGTGGGACGTGCCCGGAACACCTCCCCAGGGAGGCGTCCAGGAGGCATCCTGAACAGATGCCCGAGCCACCTCAACTGGTTCCTCTCGACGTGGAGAAGCAGCGGCTCTACTCCGAGCTCCTCACCCTATCTCTAAGGGAGCGCCCAGCCACTCTGCGGAGGAAGCTCATTTCGACCGCTTGTATCCGCGATCTCGTTCTTTCGGTCATTACCCAAAGCTCATGACCATAGGTGAGGGAGGGAACGAAGATTGACCGGTAAATCGAGAGCTTCGCCTTTCGGCTCAGCTCCCTCTTTACCACAACGGTCCAATACAGAGACCGCATCACTGCGCACGCTGCACCGATCCGCCTGTCAATCTCACGCTCCATTCTTCCCTCACTCGTGAACAAGACCCCGAGATACTTGAACTCCTCCACTTGAGGAAGGACCTCTCCACCCACCTGGAGAGGGCAAGGCACCTTTTTCCGGTCGAGCACCATGGCCTCGGATTTGGAGGTGCTGATTCTCATCCCAGCCGCTTCGCACTCGGCTACAAACCGTCCCAGTGCATGCTGCAGGTCCTGGTTCGTTGGAGCCAACAGGACAACATCATCCGCAAAAAGTAGAGATGAAATCCTGTGGTTCCCGAACCTCCGGCCCCTGGCTGCGCCTAGAAATTCTGTCCATAAATACAGTGAACAGAACCGGTGACAAAGGGCAGCCTTGGCGGAGGCCAACATGCACCGGGAACAGGTCTGACTTACTGCCGGCAATGCGAACACAGCTCTGGCTCCGGTCATACAGGGACCAGACGGCCCTCAGCAGAGGACCCCGGACCCCGTACTCCCGGAGGACCCCCCAAAGGACACCCCGGTGAACACGGTCGAACGCCTTCTCCAAATCCACAAAGCACATGTGGACAGGTTGGGCGAACTCCCATGAACCCTCGAGTATCCGATGGAGAGTATAGAGCTGGTCCAGTGTTCCGCGACCGGGACGAAAACCACACTGCTCCTCCTGAATCCGAGATTCGACCATCGGGCGTAGCCTCCTCTCCAGTACCTTGGAGTAGACCTTACCGGGGAGGCTGAGGAGTGTGATCCCACGATAATTGGAACACACCCTCCGGTCCCCCTTCTTGTAGAGAGGGACCACCACCCCGGTCTGCCACTCCATTGGCACCGCCCCCGATCGCCACGCGATGTTGCAGAGACGTGTCAGCCAAGACAGTCCTACAACATCCAGAGACTTTAGATAGTCAGGACGGATCTCATCCACTCCCGGCGCCTTGCCACCATGGAGGCTGCCAACCACCTTGGTGACCTCGGCCAGGGAGATGGAAGTGTCCGCCCCAACATCCTCAGCCTCTGCCTCCTGAACGGAGGACGTGACGGGGGGATTGAGGAGAACCTCGAAGTATTCCTTCCACCGCCCGACAATATCCTCAGTCGAGGTCAGCAGCCCTCCACCCGCACCATACACGGTGTTGGCAAAGAACTGCTTCCCCCTCCTGAGGCGCCGGACGGTTTGCCAGAACCTCTTCGAGGCCGACCGATAGTCATGCTCCATGGACTCTCCGAACTCCTCCCAGTCCCGGGTTTTTGCCTCTGCAACTGCCCGGGCCGCGGCACGTTTGGCCTGCCGGTACTGGACAGCTGCCTCAGGAGTCCCACGAACCATCATTGCTCGATAGGACTCCTTCTTCAGCCTGACGGCATCCCTTACTGCCGGTGTCCACCACCGGGTTCGGGGATTGCCGCCGGGACCAGCACCAGAGACCTTGCGACCACAGCTACGAGCCGCTGCATTGGCGATAGAGGAAGAGAACATGGTCCACTCGGACTCGATGTCCCCCTCCTCCGCCGGGACCTGGGAGAAGCTCTCCCGGAGGTGTGAGTTGAAAGTCCGTCTGACAGGGGGCTCCGCGAGACGTTCCCAGCAAACCCTCACTATACGCTTGGGTCTGCCAGGTCTGACCGGCTTCTTCCCCTGCCAGCGGATCCAACTCACGACCAGGTGATGATCGGTTGACAGCTCCGCCCCTCTCTTTCACGCACGTATTCTTTTAAAACTTGTATTCCCAGAGGGCCTACCTGCTCTGTTGCCATCTCACGCATGTATCCGTGGCATTCTGAGTGATATTATGGATAAATGGGCAGGTAATTCGGACATGCGTTAATTTTTTTTTTTACGCGTTCATGAAAAATGTAATTAACGTGAGTTAACGCGATAATTTAGACAGCCCTACTAAACACATAACATAAACACTTCTTTTTTTTTCACGGACTGATCTGGCATTAATAAATATTTGGTATTGACAGATATATAAAAGCTGAGAGCTTCTTTTTGATCAATGTAATGTGAAGATTCACCACAATAATTAACTAATTGCTCAGCCAGGAGTTACTGTAATACTCACCAGGATTTGTTTGTTAGTTTGCAACATAATTTGAAAGGTAATGGGCAGATTTGTTTCTGTTCCCCAATTCATGCTTTTTTAAGATTTGGAACAATTCAGCTCTTACTTATTTCCTCTCAAGTTTGATGAGGTCTAACAGTGATCATCATGTGCTATTGTAGGATCAAACTAAGAATCAGAAACAAAGTCCTACATACTCTGGGGGTCTGGTATCGGCTCCCAGGTCCCGGCTCAGAGAAATGCGGTCACTGACGAACAAGTTAAAACAGTGTTTCTCCTCTCCCCTCTCTTTCTCCTTCTGCTCCTCGGGGCTGAGCGAGTCTGCGTGGAAGGCCTTGCCAGCTGCTCCAGGAGCCAGCGGGCTCTGCAGGGGGCGCTCTAGAGCCGGCCGTAGCTCTGAGGCGGTGTAGTGACCGGGCAGACACGACCCGGCCTCCCCCGCCTCCTGCTGCTGTCTGACCGGAGCTTTGATCTGCATCTTGGGCATGGCATCCCGAAAGTTATGCACGGCCCCTATCACCATACCCAGCATAGAGTCCCGCTTTTCGGCCATGTCCCGAAGCCATGGGTCGTCCTGGCTGCCCGGGGCCCCCACCTCCCACTGGATGAAGAAGATGAAGGAAACGAAGAGTAGAGCGACTATGGCCAGTTTGAGTGGGTGCAGGCGTCTCCGCAGCATGCGACGCAAAGTGGTCATGGTGGAAAAGAGAGGGGACCGGCCTGGAGCAGAGAGTCAGCTGGGGGAAAGAAAGACACTTAAACTTAGTTATCTGGTCGCCATGGAGATGTGATGGCTTAGCTTGGGATGTACCTCATTATGGCATTCAACTTTGAAGATGGACTGATATATCATTCCTTTTAGACGATATTGATATCAGAATTGAATTTTTTTTTTTTTTACATTTTATGAAAAGCTCTTGGACTGCTGATCTGTCCGACAAATGGTGAGCTGGTGAGCCCTCCCAGCAACGCTCTTAAATGTATATCTGAAATGTATAATCATATCCTTGGACAGCAACGGGTTTTCTTGGTAGGGCTTATGCCATAAATATGGTTGCCTCAAAAGGGTGAAGCCCCCTCACTCATGTTTCACATGCAGTAGATTATGACTTTAATTATTAAAGTAAATAATTCCTTTATTTACAGATGTTTATTCATTGATTTATTTTCAACCCCTTAGTCCATTTGTCGGTCGGGGAGTTAGCAATTAGAGCTGCCAGCCAATTCTCAGAGGACCAGCCCCTCACTGATCCTCCACCGGACAATGACTTCTCCGTCAAAGCCTTGGTTTTTCAGTGATATTTACAGATTGTAAATATCTTACATTGAGTCAACCTGCCTCTGCAGATACTATAATTAGAATGTTATTAGTACACTACTTTAGATTTCAACTGAATGTAAATATCTTATTTTTATATGACTGAGCTATCGGTTCAGTCTTCTCCATATAACAACATTTTTTTTTCTACTGTAAAGCTTGGACATAAAACATTATAAAAAGAAAAACGATATAATATAATTGTGCTTCATATATGGTTGCATCATGACATTACTCATCTAAAACCTACTCATGCATGATATGGATTATCTTGTTTAAAAAGAAAAAAATGTTATGTTTAACAGAACTCATTTGTATTCGCAACCATCTTTCTAAAAATGAAATATATTGTCGTTTGTCAAGTATGATGATTTAATTGGAAACATAATATGTCAATATATTCCCATGCAACAGCTGTTTCCCATGGCATTCCAGTTTGAAAGAGTAAATCAACACCGAAGTGATTGCATTGATAGATGACAAAACAAGGCAAACCATCAACACAAACTATGACATAATACTGAAATGACTGGTTTCTAATGTGATTGAATGTTTTTTTTTTCTTTTAAAGAAAAATAAGATAAAAGTTATACCTGAGTTAGAACCTGAGATATTACGGCTTGGATCATATTTGAGAATAAGTACTTTTGGTCTCTCTTTTAGTAAGTCTTTCCTCCAATTCGTTCACATACATAACCCATTCTTCTCACCACCACTCATGCATTACATTCCTGAACTCAGAAAGAAATCCCAACAGCACTTACCATGAGTCGCTCGCTACTGCTGGTCTAAACTACAAAACGCATGTAGTAAAATCCATTGGGGGGGGCATCCTCTGCGGACAGTCCGGTTGTTTTGCCTTCTCGCTGTGAATATTGAATGGACTTGTCCTGCGGGATCGGGCTGAAAACAGACACGATTTGTTCAAAGCGGCAGAAGCTCAGCCAAGCTTCCGTCTCGCTGTCTCCAGGTGCGCACTGCTCTCAGGTAGGCTCTGGGAGGAGACGTAGAACGCATGCGCACAAGAGACATCCGCATGGCAAAATCCATACCTGAAAATCAAGAAAGAACTTTGCGTGAATACATGCCAGCAACGCGCACTCGCAATGGAGCGCGTAAAGATCTATGGTGAACTTTTACGCACGCATCGTCTCCTGCACTATGGATAAGCAGACTCAGCGTCAGTGGAGGTGCTTCTCCCTCTCTCACAATGGGTGTCATTAATCGCATTGGTTCAACTAGTCATTCACTGGGGCAGTTGCTGGGTAACAAATCACGAAGGAACGCGCTCAAAAACCAAAGCGATCCTTTCGATAATAACTCGCACAAACACCCGATCTACCCACAGACTCACGCGTATTACACAATGTTCACGCGTACAAGACTCAAAAGATTCAAAAAGAAAAGTCAAGGAGAACACGAGAACTCACCCAAATCTAACAGGGACATCTCCGATTCCTCTCCACAGCGCGTCTGGGAGGTTTAAGTTGCAAATGAGGTTCGCTCCGGTGGTGGTGCCATTTGAAGCGGCTTGTCTGTGTTCCCCCTGCGCACTTCCTACCCCTCAGCAGGCATCCCTCTTTTATTGTGTCCATTAAAATGTTCACAGCGTCCTGCTTTCTCCCCGCCCGGTATGTTAATGTGTCTATGTGGCAAAGGACTCCGCAAAAGAAGTGGTAAAACATGAATAACTAAACTAGAAAGAAAAGGCAAAGTAAGCAAGAGTAGTCTCAAGTTGCCTTTTATAACCCAAATTCCTCTGGAAAGTAAAGTCTGGATTTTACTTGCAGTATTGATGCAAGATAACGAAAAAGGTTTATGGCAAGAAACTTTGGCAATATAAAGGAATATATAGAAAGGGCCCAGAAATGGCATAATAAAGGGGAAAAAAATTTACATGACAAAATCTAAAAGTGTGTTGTGAAAGGGAACTAATAATTTGAAATAGCTAATAAGGCCCCCAATACTGTGCATGTACAACACAAATAATATAGATTGCACTTTATAATTACATATACTGACACCCAGGATCATTTCACACATTCACACATAACTTACAGTTCCAAATGTTCTCTTTACTTCCTTTTCTAGAAGCTGGTGCTCTTATTGTAATATAAATTTGCATATAAAAAAAAACGTTCATCTTACAGAAAAGAACAATAATACATTACGTACATGACTCATTTTGGTTTTCAGTCCTTTGACATTGCATAAGAAGCACATGTATGTTGTTTATGTATTTAATATTTTATTTTGAGCTGTACATAAAATACAAACTTTCAAGTTTAAGCCTTGTTTGAATATAAAACATGTATTAATTGGACTGAAACACAAGTAACACAAGTAAAAAAATACAAACTCTATAACTTCTTTGTTTTGTCTCGGACACATTTGGGTTCAAGCCCACGGTTTCTTTCTGTTCGCACTCTTAAGGCCTAAGAGCAGCTCTTGCTTTGTCCAGGATGTCCTTCCTTATTCGTGGGTAATTCGGATGGGCAGCCAGAACCTACAAAAATACTCAGATTAGAAGTTACTATTTTTTTTTATTTTTTACCACAAATACAGTAAAATAAATCACTTGCCTTATGACACACATCTATTGCATCAACATGTCTTTTTGCTTTCAGGTAGTTGAAAGCCAGCTTGTACCCTACATGAAAAATAATAATTGATAAAGTATCCTGGGGTACATGTATATATGCTACTTTGAAATGTGATTTGCATACCAATGGTTGGATTAGTGCAATTTCCATATTTCCATGCATGTTCATAGTTGAGTGCTGCATCACTAAACGACTGCTCCTTTTCCATGATGTATCCCAGGTATTCATACGCCTTACAGCAGGACTGCAGATAACATAACAGGAACTAAAGTACTTCTGACAGTGCAAAGAAGCAGCGTTCATAACGGGCTTTAAACTAACGTTGAGAGCAGCTTGTATAAGACCCACACAAAAAAAGACTCATAGCACAAACTCACAATAATATTTATTCTTCAGTTAAGCGGAACCCTTAAAATACAGAAAGAGGTCTGTTTAAACAGCCCATGACCAACTGTTGAGTCATGACCACAGGAGGACTAGAGGTCTAAAACTTCATTTATTTTTGAGTATATTTAGCTCTAATATAAACATAATGTTAATCTAAATATATACATTCAAGTATAATAGGATGGATTGGAGTTAATGGTTTTGAATTAATCTATAATAATCATTTAAAACCAAATATATGTCCAGTATGACTTTTTCTCCAAACCATGTGGTGTCACCAACATAAAACTAATCATTGATTTTAAGAGCTTTTTACAAAATCATATATTTTTTAAACTTTTTATCTGGCCATATAAAATCATTTTAGAGGTTATTTTTTATGATGACTTGAGTAAATCTCTTGTATAGTGGCATTGCTCAGATGCTCTGTTTTTAGCACACTCAATGCATTTTTGCACAAATGAAAGACCACTTCCCAATAAACTAATGCATTGTGGCACATTGTTGTGAGGACCTACAGCGATATAGTTTAGTCGCAAATCAGTCACAGTGAGTAGGCCCATTTTAGGTGAATATTAAGATTTAAAGTGTTTGAAATATGTAATAATGATCCACATAAGATTTGAACTACAGAACTGACAACATTGGAAGGATTGGGTCACAGGACAAAATCCCCTGCTGGGACAGTATCTTCCCTCTTTTCTGAATCTCACCTTGTTGTGGTGCAGGCATTTCTTGAGCAGCTCGGTGGCCATGTCGTACTTCCCAGAATGGATGTAAATATCGGCCAGCAGCAGCCAGCTCTTCTCGAACTCGTCTGCGTCTTCAACCATCCAGTTCATCTTGGAGATGCGCTTGAGCTGCGTTCTGGCCCGAGGCGTCTGTTTGAGCATCATGAAGGCTGTGGCCATAGCCAGCAGTGCAGGTACGTGTTCTTTCTGAATGCAATAGCGACAAGAGAACAGCCTTTTCGTTCTGCAGAAAGCCTGAAACTTTTGCTAGTCCATTTGTCAACTATTTAAATTATTGTCAATTTCTTACTTAATTTTCTTACACAAAATTGCATTACTTCTAAAACACTTTTTATGTATTTGTTGTCAATTTATTGTTTATGTATGGTTTCTGAAAACTTCTTGATTGAGAAAATTGACAAAAAAATAATAGTAATAAAAAACTTTTTTTTTTTTTTATTATTTTGGCTGTTCTATTGTTTAAAACACATTTACAGTCAGTATAGTCTATTCAATTTAGTAAACTACAATTGTGATTAATAAAAAAATGCAAATAAATTTATATTTTCAATGAAAGAATGATAGAGTATGTCTCAATAAAATTACAATATGGTATTATTATGAAGCGAAAGTATAGATAGAAAGTTGCCGGTCATAAAAATGTGAATGTTTATAAATCATAAAGAAATATTAGCTTTCTGAGCAGTGCCACACCTGTACCTGCTGGTCATTACAGATGTGACATATCCTGCTGTTGTATTTTGTGTTCACACAGACAATAGTGAAACCACATGTGCTGTTAGCTGACCCACCTCGTTGTTTGCGATCTCGGTGAAAGTGCCGAGAGCTGACTCCACGTTGGCCTTTTGTTTGGTGGCTAACAGACAGTAGTTCTGCAGGATGCGGATCTGCAGCTGTCCTCCTGCCGTCTTAGGCTTCAGCTCCTTCAAAAGATTCTCCGCCGTCCTCACTGCCATCTGCTCTGACTCTTGCTTTTCTGTGGAGTTCCTAATTTGGACATTCAAGTTCAGGCATGGTTAATTGTACTTTTTCAATACACAAATTAAAGTGGATACATTGCAAATACTTCATAATGACACAAGTACAACACTAAAACCTGAAAATAATAACTTTTAAAACTCAAAACTTGTCTGTGAACCCATGGTATCATAATGATCTGGTGGCTGACGTCCTGTAGTTTTGGTTACGTTTCAAATTCTAAGCATTTCTTTGGTAAATGTAAGTGGAGAAATAGTCTGATTATTTGATGGCTCTGCCAAACTTCACATAAACAAGATTTTGTTAAATATAGTCCAAGGAGGAAACACATACAATTATGCTTCAAATGTTGTATTATTGTAGTTTGATGTAGCTGAAATGTAATGCCAGGATCTTATGATTGTTGTAAATGGTCCCTCTGTGGTCCTTCTTGTATACCCTATCCCAACCTACCCCATTTCTCCATCCAGGTTCTCAAACACCTCTCCACCCATGGTGTTGTTGTCGGGGTTGAGGCAGATCTCGATCATGTTGTAGGCTGCGTTGTGGCCCCAGTCGCTATCTTTGCGTGCCTTGTTAAAATGCTTCAGAGCATCGTTAGACTCTCCCGTATACCTGCACACCACACACAGTCACAGAGAGTGTTAAAACTGAACCAGATGTCACCAGAGCAGCATGTCCAGCTGACTCACCACAGATAGAGGCCTTTGCAGTAGTTAAAGCCAGGGTCCAGCCTTGTCCTGGGGGAGTGTTTCTCAGCCACTTCCAGAAATCGGGGAATCTCCTCTAGTTTCCCAGCTCGTCTCAACAGGTCGACCAGATGGAACAGAGCCACGTAGTTGTCTGAAAAACAATATCAGAATCAGAATCATTTTTATTGCCACGTAAGTACTACTTAGATTTATAAAATTTGGGTTAATCGGCTTACTATCTATTTGGGCTGGAACTGAACATTGATTGATCAACTAGTGATTATACCATCAATTACTCGATTTGTTGTTTAGAAAGTCATTTTTTTAATCTAAATGTGTTTATCTAAAGCTTAAGTGAAGCAACTGCAGGACATTTTAAGAGATAATATTTTTATAATTAAAATGATGTACATATGCATTTCTTGTTTTATTTTTTTGTAAATTACTGCTCTGCTCTGTTTTTCTAAATTGCATCTCACAGCACTTGCAGCCTGTTATTAGAGCAGTTAATTATTAATTGATTACAAAATTTTATATTAATAGTTAGAAAATATACATTTGCGATTTATGGTTTTGAAACATGCTTGGTCCAAGGCCTTCCTTTCTACCGATAATTTTGTTTTTTGGGTGTCTCCATAAATCAAAGCATCCTTTGGGCAAAAATAACATGTGTTATAGAACGATTGAAAGGTAATACCATAATGGCAAGGCAAGGCAAGGCAAGTTTATTTGTATAGCACAATTCATACACAAGGCAATTCAAAGTGCTGAACAAAACAAGAAAGCATTAAAATCATAAATAATCACAGTACATTAAAAAGAAAGATAAAAATATAAAATCCCTCTGTTGTATGCACAGCTAAACAGAACTGTTTTTAACCTGGTTTTAAACATTGTCAGAGAGGAGGCCTGTCTAGGTATGGATTTTCCCCCTTTTCTGATGTCCATGCCCCCCCTCCATGGGGGCTGGCTTACTCCTGGCTGACCCCCCTGACCAACCTTAGAGTGACCTCACAGCCAGTATATAGAGAGCTGGAATGGAGGAGTTTGGGGGCTATCAGTTGGTGTTTAAACTCTATACAACATGTAGCAGACAGGCCTCATGCTCAGGCCCAGAGCCTCCAGGGTCCAGGGTTCTCTCTCTCCAGCCATCTCTCCTTGAGGTATGATATTTTCTGTTATGTCTGTATGCGTCTTGTAAAAACTCAGTGTCATTAAATGTCCTCTTTTATATCTATTGGTTTGGGTCTAATATGTACAGGAACCATCATTATTTCATGACAACAATGTGGGAAATCAAAGAACATGAAGAGAACAAAAGGCACTACGAACATCAATATTTGGTTATACCTGGCTTGCGCTCAAGAAGTTGTCTATAGTGGAAAACAGCCTTCTCATAATCCTGCTTTCTCGACATAAGGTTCGCCATCATCTGTGGATAAAGTTCAACCGTAAATGACTCGCTGAATTGAAAAACAGCCGTAGACATGTTACCAGCGTTGCGTCTTCATTGAACTGGTCATTCATCAAGATAACACTACACTGCTCCTGGCAGGAATCCACATCGTCCAGGGTCAGGTACAAGCGAGCCAACTCTAGCATCACCTGCAAAAGAGTATTTAGAAAGACTCAAATCTAAATTGCAAAACTTATTGTTATCAATTGCTTACGGTTATTTTAAAATATACACGCATCGAAGGAAGACCCAAAATGATGATATATTGTCCTTTGCTCTCTCAAGTTGAAAGTGTCAATTATTTATTATATGGACGTTTCTATTTTTTCTTTCAGACCAGTGTAAAAGAGTGCTGTTTGTGTCTTAACAGTACGTTCCATAGAAACAGGACGTTTACATGTGTCATTTTCCTTTTCTTACCCAATTTAGGTCAATTACAGAAAGTATTTCTATTGACCTTCCACTATACGTCATGGTAAAGGTCATCACAACAAAGTATCAACACAAAAGTAGATAATAATAATAATATTAATAATACATTGGTTTTATATTGTCATTATTCATTCACTCCATACACAGTGGTGATACCCTACTACTATAGCCACAGCTGCCCTGGAGCACACTGACAGCATGTGCCGTCACGCACACACCAGACTCATTCTAGACAATGTGCCAATAGTCAAAGGACACAAGGACAGTTTGGCACTTTACAGCCACAGCCACTCACTGTGGAACCTGATGTCGCTAGATCTTTGTGTTTTATACCCCATTTGTGCCAAAATGACTTTCTGTTTCAGGTTTTTTGAATTTTTTTAATCAAAGACTGCAGACCTGATGCACACATAGATCAAAACAATATCAAGTGGGTAGATGAAGATGGAAAACAATCAATGCTTACTCAAAACTGTAGGTCTAATGATGTTTTCTTAAATAATTCATATGGTAATTACTGGTGGAAACAGGACACATGCCAAAAGTCACACCTACACATGAAGCTCTTAATCATTCTGTAAATCTCCTTGTGCGTGGTATACAAACAGGACTGAATGTTGTGAGGCGCAGCTGCGGGGAGGACAGAGGGTGGCCTTCATTCACTGACCTTGCGATCGGTCTCACAATGCACAAGTGCTTCTTTGTAGAACTTGACCGCGTGCTCGTAGCCCCGCTGGCTGCTGTAGTACTTGGCGATTTCGGAGCAGATCTCGGCGGCAAGTTGCTTCTGCAGCGGGATGGCGTCGGGCTGCTCCGTCGGAACACGTTTCAGGACTTTGGCCTGAACGTCACGAGCCTGTGGAGAGATGCATTTGAGTATTTGCAGATCTGCTGTGTGGTGAATGACCATAGACTGTATGACGCAATGAAGGGACTTACCTTTCGCAAAGAAAGCAGAGCACCTTCATTCTTGCCTACTTTGTTTTGAATCCTGGCTAAGAGGACAAGGTAGCGGCAGTCGTCTGAGAATCCAGCCAGATCGTCCACTAGGGAAAAAAAAAGTAGGAATGTAGTTTAGCGTGATGGACAAACAGTTGTGTTGGTGGCAACAAGTGCTGCTGGAAAAAATACGAAATAAAGATCCTCTTTTATGATATGTTCCAATTGTGATTTTATATTTGTTTTAATTAAATGAAATTAATATGATGAAACTTAATATATTTTATTGATTACCGGTCATTTATAACTTCATATTAAATGTAGCTTTATTCGAGTATTTCATTATTTGAACTTTCTTTATTGTGCAGCACATTTAGAAACTGTTTATGAAAAAGTGCTCTATAAATAAAGTAGATTGTACAGGGCTGAACACATTTAATACCATCTGAATTATTTTCTCTTTACGTTTAAAGACCTTGTAAAAATGCAAATTATCACACCCATTGGTAGTAGTTGTTATTGAAATAGTATTATTTAAATGTATATAATCATGGTACCTGGTTCATGGTCCAGAGCCTCCTTCACCACCTTCTCACTGCGCTCGTACTGTTTCATCTTCATCAGCAGCTCGGCCAGGTCGTAGCGAAGGAAGTTCTGGCCGCTCCTCAAGGCAGCTTCGTAGTAGTTTATAGCCTGTGAGTGCAACAGACTCAAAATATCTAATTGTGATATTTCTGACCAACATTATGATTGCATTTCCCATATGTTTAAAAACTCTATAACTCAAAACGTTATATTTGAAAGAAAATACATATGAAGCAATTTAGAAAATGTTTATAAAGATCTAACCTATTGTGCATTTTTTTTGTAAAATAAAAATATTCACAGTACATTTTTTAAATATTTGTAAACTTTTCTCACAAAATTTAAAGTTGTCAGATCAAGTCATTCAACACATGTCTCATTTGGAATGAGACTTCTACCCGACCACAAGAGGAATATATATTGATTTGATATATCAATATATCAAATCGTTTGCAAGGACTTAAATAATTGCGACTACTAAAATTGGGATTTTGTATCAATTGTGATTAATCGTGCTGCCCAACTGGTAACAGAGCAGGGCCAGAACAAACCTTGATGTAGTGATGCGTCTTGACCAAAGCCTTGCCGATTTTACTGGCCAGAGCGCCGTCTGTGGGATTTTTCTTCAGCGCTTGTTCGTAGATCTCAATGGCCTTTTCTGGCTGGGGAAAAACAGGTCACATCATTTGGTTTTAATACAACAGTTATTGTAGTATTGTTTGTGAAAGGGGCCATATTTTCTCTGCTTTAAACATCATTACTGTGCTATTTGGCCTTCATACACATGCCCAGAGTAGTTTTATCATTGAATCCTTTAAGCTTTAGTTAGAGAGCGATCCTTCTCTTTCATTCTCGAGAGGCAGCGAAACGCCTGAGTCCACATCTATGACAATTTCAACAACTATGACGATTTCAACAATGATGACAAATATTATGCGCAGAAGCGCCTTTTTTAATGGTTCTTAAATAAGTTGTCAAAACAGGGAAGACAATACACAATAAATATGCTGTCAAAAATTTCTGTCAAAAATAATAATTTAACTAAAATCGAGGAGGTGATTAACAAATCGAAACAGCAAATCAGCGGCACAGCCTCACCCGAGTCCAGCGCATGTCTATGGTATAGTACCGCTTCCACCACATTGCACTATACTGTACTATTCTGCTTTTGTCAGCGACTAAAAGCGTTAGGATCACGTCAACTTGGATTTTTTTTTTTTGGGAGTAAATATGTGGTCAGAAGAGGAAGAATGCGGCTCGATTTTTTCACGGGGATATGCCTCTGAAATCCGCGACAAATCTGTTCATCTGCAACACTTCACTAAGACTGTTCCAGAACTAAAGTTACCATGAAACTGAACTTTAAAAAGTTGATCTGGAAATCTGGAGGTATTCCTGCAATAAAAGACACTAACACAAAGCCACAATCTGTAAGAACAGTGCTACTAACTCGCCATATGCTTTTGTAAACAAAATAATTAGGGTCTGATTCTGGATCGAGGACAAAGGAATCTATGTGTCGGATTCCCATTGTTGGAAAAAGTTTATACCGAAAAGACTATGTACCAGCGAATCAGAAGAGCTTGCTTTGGAGATAAACAACTGTCACTGTGTGATGGCGGGCTCACAAGCATATGAGGAGAATCCTCTCTGGATCAGCTCGTTTGAGTTGCGGTGACATCGCCTCTAACCAATAGATTTCTATTATCTTACAAGTTTTGAGTGCTGTATGGTGTATCACTCATATCATTATCACACATATGCATGGTAGGATGGACTGTGAAACATAAAGAAGAGCACAATATTGCACCTTTCATATGTAATTTGAAATTTTCCCACTGTGTGACGAATAAGGGATCTTAAATTAATACACTAGGACAGTGCATATTCATGAATAGACATGAAAAAAAACATGAATAAACGCAGTATATTATTATTGCCAAGGGATAAAAAAATAAAATGTTATGACCATAATTGGTCAAATTATTGTCTTTTCAGAATGCACCATACAGGAATATTTTGGAGTTCAGATTTACTAATCTATTTTCATTAGATATTTCAATGCAAAACCAAAGCAATTTTTACACTTACTTCTTGGATGTTCATGTAGGCATCACCCAATAGGAGGTATGTATGGGGGCTGGGCAGCTTCTCCACAATATCCCTGGAAATGTCATTAAAATCATACATTTGCACAATTTTCTCCTATGATAATAACACAAAACATGAATTTAAGCAAGGGTAAAGTTACTCAATTATAATACATACACATACCCTAAATTTAGAGAAATCACCATGATGGAAGAATTGGATGGTTGGTCATCAGAATGGAATCAATGAGTGGTTTTAAATAGTTTTATCATGTTTCGAATCACCCAGAAGTAATTTTCAAATCAGAAAGGAACCAGGGAATCTACATTTACAAACTTTAGGCAAACCTCTGAATGCAAAAAATGTCTAGGTGACTAATGTTGGAAACTTTTTCTGTAATAGTTCGGTTTCTACAAGTTTGTATTATCCATACAGTAGCAATAAAGACATTTTGATTTGTATTTTTTGAGGGTTCCACCCATTACCTGTAGCAGCTCGCATACAGTCGTTTCTCCCTCCTGTGGTTGAGATAGATGTCGGCCATTTTCTCCTTGGCCTGGACGTAGTAGGGCTGCTCAGGGGTGATGTTTCGGAGCATGCTCAGCGCCAGCTCAGTGTCTCCTCTCATCAGCGCCAAGTCTGCATTTGCGATAGTAACACGCAGCTCTTCTGTCGTCCCAGAGAAGGAAATTATTGCGTCCTGCATCACTTTAGCCGCCTCATGCTGAAACATATCGCTACAGCTTTAGGAGGCCACTATTTTCATGGTTTAGTGAGTAATATGCTAATAACCTGAAAACCAAACAGACTATATTGTATTCAATTCAGTGGAGTGGGAGCTTTGTTGACTATTTTATAGATTTCATCATGATATTTTAAATGAATTCTATTCATTTACATTCGTCACATTGTCCCAAGCCGTATTGTTTGAAAACTGGGCCTTTATAAACATAAATTAGAGCTTAGTTGACTAATACATTTTGTATTATTTTGGATACCTGTTCTCCATTTAGCCATAGGGCCTCAGCCAACTCCAGGAAGATAGAGACACAGTCAGCAGGGAACAGCTCACTCTTCTTCTTGGATTTGGAAGAAGAGCCCACCCTTCGTACTCCTGGAAGGCTCATGGCCATCTGTAAGGTCTGGATGGCCTCTGTTAGCTCACCCATCTTCTTCTGCGCTTGACCCTTGATCAAGTGGAAAAGAGGGTTTTCTCTGATCTAGAGAAACAGAGTAAAGTGAATACATTTCACTATAATTTCTAATAGGACTAGTCCGTAGGAAAATACATTAAAAGGACAACTAAACTGCATAAATATGTTTCTCATAGTGTTCTCTACATGTCCTGGTAAAAAATATATATATATATATATTTTAAAGCAAATTAGATAAAATCTCACTTTTGAGCCTAAAACCGTCTGTGTGGCGCCCTCTCTACATTTTTGGTGGCACTACATTTGAATTTTGTGCCTGGCCTCTCCATTGGCTCGGGAGTGCAGTGTGACTTCTCATCATGAAGAAGGAGAAATCTGGCGCCATCTAGCGGTTTAAAGATCAGTTGAGAGCTACTGATAATTATGGTGTTTAAACTATTGTTGAAGGCCAGCAATGACAACTGTCTGATTTTTTTTGAGTGGGCTTATATTGACAAGCGAGCTGTCAATACCAGAGAAACTACACAAGTTAGATAGATTTTTGATTCAAATGATTCAAATAAAAACAACATCCACGATTTCAACCACAGCAGTAAATTTGATATTATTTCCTTCTTGCCGGTGTTTGTGATTCATTGGCCTTGTGTTTTTGTAACTTGCCTCAAAGTTGTGGCTCAAGCAGAGTTCCAGAGACTGTGAGCACATGGTGACATTTCCTTGCACCAGGTGAATTTGTGCCATCAACATATGAGCATCAGCGAAGGTGGGACACTGCTGCAGACAGTGGCTCAGGCTGCTCTGAGCCGACTCAAAGTCACCTACAGACACAAATCACATTAACAAAACAAACAAACTGATACGCAACAGTTGTGTTGAATGTTGAACGAACCGGATTGGTATTTGACTTTGGCCATCAAGTAGAGTCCTGGGAGCAGACCCGGCACAGTCTTTACCACAGTCTCCAGAAGAACGGCACAGCGCTGGAGCTGCGGACAGGGGGGCTGGCCTGGAGCAGGGGGCTGAAACGCCAATAGTAACACACTTTCAAAACATAAAAAGAAAAAAACAAAACAATTTTGTAACGAGTAATTAACTTGTAAAAATCCAGGAAGGAAAACTTAATAACTGCTTAAAATATTTACAGCCGAGGTCTCCAACCTGCTGCTCGGAAGCTACCTGTAGCTCGCTAGCGCTTTCAGGTAGCTCCTTAAAATATTTAGAATTAGCACATGACGTTGAATGAATATATTGCATATATGAGAAGTATAATTATAGGGTTATACAATATGGTATATTTTACATGTGTTCTCCGTGTTTTGTCAGAAATATTCATTCGATTTTCATGACAACTCATTACAAAAAGAAGTAGCTGTCTGACTCTTCTGTTGTATAAAAGTAGCTCTCCGATTGAAAAAGGTTGGAGACCCCTGATTTACAGTGATTCTCAACATTCAACAACATTTATGGACATTTATCAACATTGGTCATCTGCCCCTTGTGTTGGCGAATTCAACTGTTTTGTTAAGTCCTCCGAGATAACTACTGTTGTGATTTAGGGCTATACAAGAAAAGTAAAGAAGATTATTACTTAAATGGACAATGATGGTACCTTGGAAGGACAAAGTGCAAGATACTCTTTGACAATTTCAAGGATGAAGTCCGGGTTTAGCTTCTCCAAATAGTCCACTCCTAGCGGCAGGCCCTTCAGTGCACAGAAGTGAACGTCCACAGCCTCGTTCAGAAGAGCCGTCACTTCCTCTGGAGGGCGCCGCTTCTTCACTGCCAGCACAGCTCGCAGGTACAGTAGATCCTACAGTCACAAGAACATGTTTGTTTGTTCAACAACATGCAGCAATTAAAAAATGAGTATACAAATACGATTTACCCCAGTTTTCCCGATTGTCTGTTGAATCTCAGTCAGAAATTCCAACTGCTGCTCTGCATCCTGAAGGTGTCCCTCAATAAACTGACAATGGATTATACCTAATGGGATAAGACAAAATGTTTGATAACCATGCTAATCATGCTACAGGACCAACATTGCCCAAGATAATACACTCAAATCAAACATTTAATGAAATATCAATTTTATTAAATGTAGCTCAGTTGGTAGAGCATTGGCCTTTGAGCCAGAGGGTCGTGGGTTCGAGCCCGACCTTCACCATCGACCCCACTGTCTGCTGTCGTTGTGTCCTTGGCAAGACACTTAACCTCTGGGAACACCAACCAAAGTGGGGCGGCTGCGGCTGTAAAGTGCCAAACTGCCGTTGTGTCCTTAGGCAAGACACTTTACCCCCATTGCCTAGAATAAGTCTGGTGTGTGTGTGAATGGTTGGTGGTGGTCAGAGGGGCCGATGGCACACACTGGTTGCCTCGCTTCTATCAGTGTGCCCCGGGGCAGCTGTGGCTACATTAGTAGTTTATCACCACTGTGTATGGAGTGAATGAATAATGAATGTGAAGCGTCTTTGAGTGTCCAAAAAAGCGCTATATAAAACCAATGCATTATAATTATAATTATTTTTGTCAACATAATTAGATTAGATTTTTTCTGGTTTCCATGCCACCGACAATCATCATACAAGTATTAAAAATGGGGTTGGGTAATTGTTTTTTGTTATGTGACAGCTATTTAATGTTATGACTTTTTAGTAAGTACACCATAAATAATATTGCATGACTTAAGCAGCATCCAAACTGTATCAGATTTAATTAGACTTAGATATTCAGAATTGTTGAATCTTTGGGTAGACTCTGCACAGCTGCCTGGCCAATAGGTGTGTAGCAGAGAAGGAACGTTGACAAGACTTTGTTATGAATTTTATTAGTAAAACAATAGCATTAATAATAAAAAGAGTGAGACATGGGAGATTTTCTTTCTGACAAATACTAAAATAAGTAAAAACAATACCACAACTACTACTATAACCGCTGCCCTACGGAACATGCTGCAGTACCTGTCAAGGCGGTCACACTGGTCTCGTCCAGGCTCATAGCATTCTTGTACCACTTCATGGCCTCCTTGATCTTTCCCTGGAGTAACATTTGGAAACCCATCTCTGTGGCAAAGTCTGCATCTCCTGAACCCACGGAGAAAGCTTTCTCCACCATTTTGAATGTTTGTTCCAGAATCTTTTCATTACGTCCACACTGAAACAGACAAAGTTTAGGTACGTGGAACCTAGACTTGTTAAACAAAAACTCAGTCAGCTATATATACTGCATATACTGTTATTTTTTGAATAACTTACAAGGCGGGCAAAGGCTAGTGACATCCTGTAAAAGAGCTCAGAGTTCCGTGGCTCCAAAATATCCAAGCTGGTGGTGAGGTTGGATAGGAGTTTCAAAGACTGAAGACATCAACATAGAAAACTAAATTACACATTCAGTATACATATTTTTGCCAGGATTGTAACAAATGGTACCTCAGAAATATCCCCATCTCTGCACAGTGAATGTAAGGCCAGTATCCTTAATGCTTCTAGGTTAGTTTTATCCCTCTGTAAAAGTCTGAAACGTGAAACAAGTTCCTGTCAAAGTAGTCTATCGTGTTACTTTCATTGAGCTTCAATTTCTTTGATTTGTTGTAATGGAATCCTTCAGCAGCAGTAGTGTATAAAGCTTCTAGTCTAATAACATTACTTACCAAAATGAATTATCTTTTGAACTTGCATTATCATATGGTCAAGACAAATGTAGTGTTTGGACAACTGTAGTAGTCGTTCTCAGGATGGTGTAGCCCGTTTAGGAACAATGAATCCTTAAATTTCCGGGGGTTTTGTTTGAATTTTGTTTTTAAATGTGGGATAATGCTGGTCAAAAAGGCTGACAATGTGGATTTGCACAGTTGCATAACCACTTGTATTTAACTACTAGATAATTGCCTTTCATTTCACATTCTGAACATAAACTTCTGATGAGTGAGGAGTGCTTACCGGTGTGCTGCGTCAACAGTTTGCTCCCAGTCCTGTAAGCTTAGCAACAGCTTCATTTTCTTGGTCAGCGCAGGTAGGAATGTTGGATAGCTAACAATAATTTGGTTGACCATCTCCAAGGCTCCGGAGTAGTTCTGCCGGTATTCTAAGTATTGAGCCTGTAAAACACAAGACCATAATATCAAGTGTTTAACATGATCTTTATTATACTCATATTCTTTGTTGAATTCAAGACATTACTATTGACATATCCTTCATTCTGTTACCTTTCCCATTAAGCCAAAAATATCCATCTTCTCTTTAAGTCCTTCATCAAAGTACTTCCCAGCTTTTTTAGCCAAAGCATCTTTACCAGATGTCACATCAATCCACGCTTTCAAGATGATTCCCTGCAAACAAACCCACACAGGATTGTTGTTTGAACAAATCAAAATACAAGTCCAAGTAATAGAGTTTCAAGATAACTTTATTCAAATGACAATTCTTACCTCTTTGGAACCATTTGAAATCTTTATCATTCTCTCCACATACTCCCTTGCTTTGTCATTTCGGCCCAACAGCCACAAGAACATGCCAGCATAATATAAGCTTTTGGGGGAAGCACTTTTACGATCCTCTTTGACTTTGGCGTCCAGTTCCTGAATGACCTCTGGGTCTGTAAATGATAGGCAAGAATTGCCATTAGAAAACGATTGTCACGAAATGATATACTATTGTATGCATGCTGATCAATACCTGGATTGATCTTTCTTCTCTCAGCATAAACAAGAGCCATAAAAGAACAGAGAGACACATCCCGACTGTTTTTCAGTGTGTCCAGCTCTATGATAGCGTCATGAATTTGATCTAGAAATAAGGATTTTTTTTTTTACATTAGGTTTTACAATTGGTAAATGGAGCCCATTTTACTTTACATTAATAAGCAGCAGCTACGTTCTTACCTTGCATTAGGAGAGCATATGCATGTAAAAAGGTATAAATTGGATCACTGAATTTCCTTTGAGCTGCTGTTGCCGCGTTCGCTGCATGATTGAAATATTTTTCATAGCATTGATGTCGAATTAATGACTGAAAAGACAAAAGCAAGGAAGTTTCCTTGTAAGTTTACGAAACAGAAGAAACGTTAACTAACGGTATATAAAATAAAGCTATGATTTGGACCCATTAATGTAACTTTCATATTCTATAACGCTAAAATACAGAACACAAAAATAATATAAGATAAAAGAAACAGGGCAGCAATAAATATAGAAAAAATCTGCAGGAAACGCTGTTAGCAAACATGCTAGCTTACCAGTGTTGTCTCCTCTTCCTCCATTTTGCATAAAAATATATATTTAAAATATACAATGCTTCAAATATACTTCACGTCTTGTTTAAGTGGTACTTATTTACGCCAATGATAGAATAAAATTAGCTTTTTGAAAAGGTACATTTCTCGCTGCCGTACTGCTCCGCGGCGTTGCCTAGTAACCAAGTAACAACGGCACTTCTTCTTTTAATTATTTCCGGCAGGCTGTACGCTCGCGTGCGCAATGCTGCCCTCCACAGTTATGAAACTATTCTAAATTCTCGAATAAGTGCCTGTGCGGCGCATGGATCTATAATAATAACGGCGCGAACGACACTTTTCTCCCGTTCTAGAATTAATCTATAAGGTGATACATGAAAACTATTTGATACTATATATTTAAAAATATAGTGTGCTTACACATTTTATGTTAAGTCAGATAACAACTAAACTAAATTATATTATTGTTATTATTATTAATAGTAGTTTAAAGTGTCGTATTACCTTGCAAACAAATTTGAGGGTTTATTCAGATTTGTACTTTCCTCTTACCGTCTCTAGAGGGCAGGCTTCCACAGTGTACGATCCAACAACCGAGAAACTCCAAAAACATTGAAGTGGAGTTTTTTCTTTGTAGTTAATTACAAACCCACCCTATAGCTGGCACTACTACTACTAATACAACAAAAACGACGAGGACAACAACCAATACTTACATAAATACATACAAATAATAATAATAATATGAAATAAACTTTCATCAGCAAAAAAAGTAAAAAGAAGAAAAAAAAGGTATCTACTTTAAATTGGTTTTGGCTGGTTTTGGCTTTCTTTGGTAAAACCAGGATTAAAATACATTCTAGTGTGTCTAGGCCTGGTCTTATGGTAGCAGTGAGAGCCTAAATCTGCTTTCCAGTCTATACTTCACTGGTGACTCTATTGTTTCTTCTCACAAGTCTAATCTACTTAAAAGACAAGATGAATATTCCTGAAGGTATTATATGGTGTTCTGAAAAGACTAATTATCATCTACCACTTGTTAGACCACACATAGATTGGGATAGAATTGGTTTAAGATGTTTCAGAGAATTTCAGAGAATATAATTATGCAGGGTGAATTGCAGTCGATGTGCTGAGCTCTGGTTCTGTGACATGGGGAGGTCAGAAGGAGGGACAGGGTGAGGTGACAGGCAAGCTCTTATGTAATAATGCATTGACAATCAAACATGAAGCCTAATATCTGCTGTCCACACAGATGCTTCACGGTGCAGCTTGGAGCACGGGTTCCACTGTTCCATGAGAGGCCTTTCCACAGCTTGTCAGATTCTATTAAGCACCAACAGTGGCACAAAATCATTACTGTGCAGCAGCCATCAATGGAAGAGTAAATCAGGTTCCCATCGAGCTTTGAGCATGGTGCAGCCATAGGAAATGTCTGTGCTGTGAGCTCAAAGTTTTACAGCCTATTAGAGGGGCGAAAGGTTAATCATATTGTAATTAATTAATGGCATCAGTGTTGAAAAAAGTCAAAAAGTTGATAGTGATAGTATCATCAAATAAATTTTCAATGAACACCAAAAATAATGAATTTTGATATTGTCATCTACTCACAGAGTGATTAATACTGCATGTGCTGAAGCACTTACAGTACAAAGAAGGCATGTGAAAACCTATTAGAGCCAAGATTGTGGAATATGTACCCTCTGGGATGTTCGGCTCTAGTGTTGTAATGGCTGTATCCATTGCGGTTTGTACAGACCATTATTGATCAAAGAGCTATACTCTGGCTAATGAACTCATTCATTCCTTGTTCCATAAGCTACAGTATATGTTGAACAACAGGATAATAGTTGATCAAGAGTTGTTTTTGGTATATGATTCTATTTAAAGTCAGCAGAAAGAGTTTATTTTGCTGCTGTGCAGGATGACTGGTCTGTTTCTGGACTGTTGGCTTTTGTAGGTCTATTAGCACATAGAAGGAAGGTGGGGAACTCACCACTACCTGTAATGGGATTTTCTTCCTATCTTGAGCAAATAGAATTAGCGAGCAGTTATGGGCAGCATTCTCAGATTTCGAACTTTGCCTCTCTACGTGGCTGGAAAGGCCCTACTCCAAATAGACTTCTACACTGCTTTATGTCTCCATGCAGATTATTGACCATGAAACTCCGAGCCAAAGACGGCTGCCACTTCCGATCTCCAGAGTAATAAAGTTGTCTGACCAAAATCAGGACGTCATGAACAGTCAGTAATGATCAGAATGTACCATAGCCACTCATTTCAAAATAAGTAAAATAAATAATTATGAAAAACCCAAATCATAAAAACTCATATTGTTGTCTTGTTTCAGTTATTTAGATTATTGATATGGTTATTAATGTAATTTTATTTTTCAGAGTTTCATTGAAATGTGTTATTACAGACACCTGCATGCATAGACTAAAAGCATTTCCCATGTGAATGCTGCCACCCAAACATTCAGTTATGTTTAAAGTAGTCTTAACCATTACATGCTTGACATCACATAGAGTCATAGTATGGAAACAGACTCCACAGGTGAGAAGAAAAGAATAAAACCAAATTCAGTAATGTAAACAGAGAGCAGCATCCAGAGTCTCCAGTCACATCTCAGATATATGACATGATAAAGTGTGCAGTACTGTCTTTAGCCAGGTTACAGTAGTCAGCCTGCAGTAACACACGCCAACAAAGAAACAACCTGTTTTCAACTTGCTGGCTATAAAAAATAGCAGGGGAAAATTCATTACAGTTCAGAAATACAGATTTTGGCTGATATCTCTTAAAATAGTGTGATGGTGGCGAGGTGAGGAAACTTGACTTCATGGTCAGTGTCCGAGGCTGACCTGATTCTGCGTGAACTAACACAAATGTACAGTTCATGACATTGGACAGTAGCTCCTGTGCAGCAGCGTAATGGACCCACTGTGACCAGTCGGACATGCATAGTGAGGTTCATGCAGGTAACAGCCTTATGGTACTGTGCTTTCTATGACAATTTCAGACGTGCTTTTCAGCTCAACAAAAAAAGGGACTTCCATTGTAAAAAAATATGAAAAGTTAACCAAATAATACATTAGTCATTGATATAACAGAGGCTCTCCATGGACCCGCACACATCCAAAACAGTTTCTTGTTTTGGTCTAAGTGTCCGTTTGGCATAAAGAGTTCTGTGGTGCTTTTAAAGGCTGTAAACATTTCGCCAGAGTATTCTATTATATCTCATTCATTTATGTGTCATCCTCTTTACACGCCACTTCCCTTTCACTGTGGTCCTTGTTATACTTGTTACCGTTTGCATTCGGTTGTGTTGGAGAGGCAGATGTTGGTGCAATGCCATTTTTCTCTGCATTTCCTTTGTCTGTACCAGAAGTAATGTCAGTATCCATGGCATTTTCCCCCGTTTCCCCCAGTTCGTTGTCCTGGTTTTGCGGGTCCTCCATTATTCTCTGTAAATGTTGTCTGTAGGCTCTCTGAATAACCGATGCTGAAGAGTCTTCCAGTTTGCGACGCAGCGTTGTTGTGATTGGCTCATAGGACAATTTGGAGGGATTTGAAGCCATAAACCGCTCCTCCATCTGCCCTCTTAGAATGTCCATTTCTCCTCCTTCTCCCAAAACTCTCTTAGTGAATGCAAACAGGATGTCTAGGCAGTGAATGCGCTCACCACTCACCATTGGTAAATCCATTGACATCAGCTCCAACTTGTTGGGTTTGGCTATACGCAAAGGCGGGGCTAAGGAATCAGCAAAGTCTGAAAGCTTCCTGTATTCCATAAACTGGGTTGCATTGGGATCAAACTTCTCCCAAACTTCATAAAACATCTCAAAGTCATCCTCGTTCAGTGGTTCAGCACTCTCCTCTGTGGCCACTCCGAAGTTCTCCAAGATCACAGCTATGTACATGTTTATCACAATCAGGAAGCAGATGATAATGTAGCTGACAAAGAAGGTAATTGCAACTGAAGGAGTTCCACAGTTTCCTTTCACCAAACTTCCAGGATTTTCTGCAAATGGATCACACTCTTCTGGGTTTTTATTCAGGAGTGGGTCTAATAGGTCGCTCCAGCCGGCAGATGTGGTGATTTGGAATAAGCAAAGCATGCTGTTGCCAAAAGTCTCAAAGTTAAAAAGATCGTCAATCCCAGATTCCTTTTTGACATATGCAAAATTGGACATGCCGAAAATGGCATAGATAAACATGACCAGGAAGAGCAAGAGGCCAATGTTGAACAAGGCTGGAAGTGACATCATCAAGGCGAACAGAAGCGTGCGGATTCCTTTAGCACTTTTGATGAGGCGCAGGATGCGGCCAATCCTAGCCAGGCGGATCACTCGGAATAACGTAGGGGACACAAAATATTTCTGAATCAGCTCAGAGAGGAATAGTCCTAAAGAAAAAAAAGATTTTTTTTTTTAAATAAAAGTCTCACTTTAGTAAGATTAGTCAACTTAAGTTCCAAGTCTATAGTATTGTGTATAGTCCTTGGATCTACATACGTCATTAGCATACTGGCTTAAATTAACATGGCAATTTTCAATAGAAAGTCTTACCAATGATGGACAGAATCACCACAATGAAGTCGAAGATATTCCATCCGTTAGTGAAGTAGTACTGACGCAAGGCTGTCATCTTGAGCAGACATTCCCCGCTGAAGATGGCGATGAAGACGGTGTTGATTATAGTCAGAACGTTGGTTTTCTCTAGGGACTGCTCAGCTGTCTCCACCATCATGGCCACCATATTGAGCCAAATCAGAACCATGACAGCAATATCGAAAGCCTGGTTTGTTGTCAGGTCAAAAATGTATCCCTGGAGTTTGTTCTGGAGCACACAGGCAGAAAGGAAATTATATAATCATTATTATAGTTAAATCATTATGGGTGCTTACCGCTGGCCTTGGAATAGGTTTTTGTGGTTTCTTGGAACCCAGCTTTTTCATAGCATTGTAATATTTTTTCTGTTCTTCTGTCATAAATATATCCTGTCCTCCAAAGTGCAGACAAAATAACATTTTACATTAATCGTGTATTTTTACAAAACATTATAATTAAATTACAATGTAAACTTATCTTTTTCTTCTGTTGATTAAAATTGTCTATAATCACACCAATAAACAGATTGAGGGTGAAGAAGGCCCCACATATGATGAACACAACAAAATACAAGTACATCTTCAGGTTGACTTCATATTCGGGCTGTTCATCCTGGAGAAAAGACATCACAGAATATATACAGAATAAGTATTGGATAAAAAAAATGTGTTGTGTGAAATACCTTGCCCCGAGAATCCACAGCAGCATACATGATTTGCATCCAACCTTTAAATGTTGCCTAAAAAACACAAATACATGAACAACAATGCACATTAAACCAATAACCATAAGAAAAATATGTCATTCTTGCATTACAAATGTAAGGTAGGAGATAGAACAGGTGCCTTGACTGCCAATATTAGACTGGTAGAGGATCTAACTAGAAAGACAGTACACTGAACTCAACATTCAACAGCATTTATGGATATTTAACATAATTTATGGACATTGGTGATCTACCCTACAAAAAATACACGGACCGGGTACACAGACCCAATAGCTCTGTGTGTTTTTATTGTTGCATTTCTTGTGTTGAACAGTTGATTCTCTTATCTGTGTTGGTGAATTTAACGGTTTTGTTAAGTCCCCCGAGATAACTATTATATGATAACTATTGTTGTGATTTAGAGCTAGAAAACTACAATGAAACACATAAAAAAATATAAAAACATACCACTTGCAGCAGTGCCAAGTATCCCAAGCCAACATTGTCAAAGTTAATTTTCCAAAGCTTCACACGTGTGTCATTTCCTCTGCATTCGGACATATTGTTGATCTCAGAGCTATCAAAGTCCTTTCCTGTGGTCTCGTTCACGCAGTGGTAGTACTTCCCCGCTAGCAGGTTCACCCCCATGATGCTGAAGATGAGCCAGAAGATCAGACACACCAGCAGCACGTTGAAGATGGAAGGAATGGCCCCAAGCAAGGCATTGACCACCACCTGCAAACACACACACACACGCACGCACACAAACACACACACAAACACACACACACACACAATCTTAGAAAGAAGCTGAACTCCCAAAAAAAGCTAACATATTGGTAAAAATCAGGAAAACACAAGAATGAATGTTCAGCAAACAAACATACAAAAGATGAAAGAACATTGACAACTGTGAGGTAAAAAAATGAGGAATGGATGAGGACAGGGGGAGACGTCTACATATTTTCCCTCTGTTAGGGGTGTATTTAGACATCTATATGAAAATAATGATGTAAAACAGAAATTATAAAAAACCTTGTAGAGGCAGGAGGACTCAACAAAATGTGCTTACTGCAAACAAAAACATAAATAAATCATGTTAAAGAACGAAGAGCAAATCCCAACACAACAAAATGTAGTTTGAAGTCTGTCATGATGTCATACACTGTTCACAGTGCAGTTCATTGCTGCTTTTGAATGAGAATAGCACACCATTATAATAGTGCCATGAATGTCGAACAACCCCATATGAAAAAAACGAATCCATACACAGTGCATTGATTTCATCTGCAGACGGATCACTCAAATGCTTGCATAAGGTTGTACCATTTTCAAGCAGCATTATTGTCATTGTACAATGTACAACTAGACAAAAACTGTTTATCTGACAACCATACAATGTTTCTCTCTCATAGTCAAAAATATGTTGTAGAAAGCACACATGCAGCACAATTTAAAACACAAAACTAACTAAGGCAAGGCTTTCATCTTTGAAAATAGAGGATCTGACTTGCAGACAATGCAATCTACCAACAATGGAACCCTCTAACCTCTGTAGGCTGAAAAAAGATCAATTACCAAAGATGTAACTAATAATTACAGGGCAACTCCTTTTTCTCCTTCTGTTAACTGTTAGTACGTGGAAACAAAGGAGCTGGACAGAGAGGAGAAGGGGGTGAAAGGAATGCCTTCTACATGCAACATTGTTTTTTATTTGTGCGTGGTCAGACTAAATGGGTTTGTGTTGTGTGTGAGTGTTAGACAGGGAGAAGCAAAGAAGTAAAGTTCCTCTTACCCGCATGCCCTCAAAGCGGGACAAGGCCCTCAGGGGCCTCAGCGCTCGCAGTGTCCTCAGAGACTTAATGGCTCCCAGCTCAGAATAGCCCATCGCATTGGCCACCAGACTGACCAGCGACACCTACAACAGGCAAACAAGGGTAAGAGCTTTTTACTTTTATTTATCAGTGTGGTGAAAAAAATCATGATCTTTTGGTCACCAGCAGGCAACCTAAACAAATTACACGGAAAATATTGATCAAAAGTGTTTGATTTTATAGAAATGGCCCTAGCTGTTTCTGAACCCTCATTGGTCACATTGGTAAGTATGCTTACACACAAGTAGTTCTATCTGGAGATTAAACAGCTCTGTAAAAACAGCTGCACATCCAGATCTTAGCTGGAGTTGTCACTCTGGCCTTGGAAGAATCATTTCCAGACTGTGTACAAACAGCCAGAGCTCCGGAGCTTAGAATCTATGTACTATATAAGAGTTCTCACATCCACTATGAGGAAATCCAGCCAGCACCAGGCGTTTGTGAAGTATTTGGAAAAACCATAAGCGGTCCACTTCAGCAGCATCTCCAGGATAAAGATGTATGTGAAGATTTTGTCTGTGAACTCCAGAATGATTTTAATGGTCTTCCTCCGTTCAATGTAAACATCCTCAAAAGCCTAGAAAACAATGTAAACAGTCACTAAAAAAATGTTTTAAACTGAAATTTACAGATCTAAATGTAATATGAAATAAATGTATATACTAGGGCTCCGCTGCTGAGTAGAATCATTAGGATGATGAAGCTCTCAAACCAGGTGTGCTCCACGATACGGAAGCAGGTTTTCCGCAGAGTCCACCACATCTTGCACCAGCCCACCTCCACGTTGACCTGACAGCACTTGAATCTCTGAACCATGCCTGCAAAAAAACGAATAAAGCTAACTTACAATATTCTGCATCAAAGTGTTTTAACACAGTACACTGTCATCTACATACACAGGTTATGATCAATACTGCATGTGTGAGTCTGTGTGTAATTACATTCAATAAAGCATGGGTCTGGCTCTGCAAATTCCTCCTCTTCAAAGTCAGACTCTCCTCTGTCTCCAGCTGAACCTAAATGCACTGTGCTCCCATCCGAGGAACTGAGCTGGCCATCATCTTCTATATTCTGAAAGTGTAAAAAAAATAAAAAATAAAGAAATCCCACCTCAAACAGAAAGGTAAATCATCAAATGCTTTCTCTTTCTATAATTGTTGACTATTTCCGATACTGAAAATTTACATATTGATAGACTGCTGTCCCTTTAAGGCTGCGGATCCGACAGATCCGTCAGACTGGCCATGCCCCCAGATTGAAATCAGAAAGCGGGGTTCACTGACCATCAACAGAGACAAGGGGGCTTTCACCTTGGCTCACACTTGGAACTCCCTTCTCAAGAGACCACAGCGTGGCGGTCAGTCTGATGAATCGGTCCGATCTGTCAGACTGACCGCATCAGATAACAACAGCTGATGAGAGGCATGTCACAATATCACGTGTCACCTCTGAGGTGACACGTCTACCCCCGAAACAATCTTCTTTACACTTCTGTCTTATTAAAGAACCTTCTAAGCCTTAAATATAAATTAAGACATAATTATATGTAATATAATAGTGGACTATGTAATATAATAGTATTTATAATTACTATGTGTTGCTATAGTAGATGCATACTATAAAAAAGACCCCAACTAAAAATGATGACCATTGAGAACCACCAGTAAACTGATCAAAATGTCTAAATCCTGAAAAAATCTCAAAATGCTAAATTCAGTTCCAACATTTTGACTACAAAAGCATTCATATGTTTTCATTGAATAAAAGTATATTGTGATAAATTCAGTACAGTGCAGTGCAGCATGAGTCGAGTTGTTGTGAAGCTCTCTGCAGGGTGTGTCTGCTAATAGCCGCGGCATGAGCACCGCCTGAATGTCTTTCCAGGAGAATGTGAGAGCTCTCGTCTGTCCGGAGAGACACTAATGCAGTTCTCACAATGATGGAAGCATGTTACAGCCAATTACAATTTCAGCCTCAACGAAGATTGTACACTTGTACTCAATGTTCAACATGACAAAGAAATCATAAGAAAATAATCATTTAGGTGTCAAAAAGGAACAAGTGACATTCATCTCAACGTTTAAGCTATTCAATAAGTAGAATGTTGTAGTTTTGCTTCAGCCTCTTAAAAGGATCCAGCGGTAGTAGCACTCAGACAATGATGATGGCACATAATGTAATAAGCACATTGATAGTTTTCCTGTTTATATGGCTTTTCATGAAGATTGTTGGTGTAAAAAACATATTGGCTGAACTGGGGGCTAAGTGCTTCAATCTGTCAGCTCGTAATAGCAGTGACCAGCACTCAAAAGTCACCGCGATCTTATACACATTAAAACATTACTTACAGATAAAGTGGATTAAACCGAGATGATCTATGGTCTGTGAATCATAGTGGAACAACAATACAGCTGCATAACCCTTAATGAGGGACGATGCAGGCCGTCAGACACAGGTCCTTCACAATTCAATACACATGCCAGCAAATGCTATTGTCTAACTTTACTATGTTTAAGTTTACCTTGACTTGTATTTGTATTTTGAAATGTTCATGTTTATATGTCTGATGTCGGCCTGTGTCTTTGTGTTAAGGGTATCTTATGATCCCGTGTGGGCTGGGCATCCTTCTAAAAAAAAAATCTAGAATAGACATCTTATTCCTCATTCTGCCGACTTCTGTTACAATCAACAAACATAATGTCCACAAACACTAGCCCAACACGAAGAAGTTAAAAACAGGTTCACACAGTCATCCAGCCAACTTCATCTCTCCTTAAACACGTACCATCTGGAAGATAGCTTATCATCGTTCTGTCAACTTCAGCTCCACCAAATGCTGCTATGGCTTGTAAAACATTCATGAATATTTCCTTGCAACGGAAACTGTGTTAACTGTATGTTAGTATTGTATGTTAGCACCTTTGATCAACAAGTAATAACAATAAACAAATTATGAGACAATTCATGTGGCAAAAAACAGGTAATCAACAGAGCAGAATTTACGAAAACAAACAATATTGATTTAAAAAAACATCAAAATTGGCCATACCCTGATATACACTCACAAAAGGTTAGGGATTTCTGCTTTTGGGTGGAATTTTTGAATGAGGTTAAAACGCACAAATGTCTGAACTGTGGTCTTCTCAGTAAACTTATCAATGTCCAACAGTTCAATGTGTTTTGTTCTTTTGGCACAATTTACGGCTTTCTACAAGGGTGTGAATTATATTTCTTGTTAAATTAGAATTAATATTAGAACAGTTTTCCTCACATTGACGTTAACATTCATGACATCAAGAGACCAAAACCACGACCAACAATTAAATCAGCACCTCGCCATTGTGAAGCTTCAAACAGGAAGTTCTTAGACTGAAGTGGACACTGATAAACATTGCCTTCTACAACTAAATGGTCAGTTTTCTAAGATTTCAGTGTAAATAGCAGAGCAACCAAAGAAAAAAAGTGATATGCTGGTTGTGTATAGTTCATAGTATTTGTACACCCTTGCTCTTACCAAATGAAAGGGGGCCAAGTCTGTAGAGGAACTGGTGAACTCATCTGTGTTTTGGTTGTCGAAGTCGGACTCTCCTACAGCAATGGGAACGCTCACAGTGAGACTGGGATTGTTTATGAACGACATGATGGAGTCGTCACTTCTGCTGCTCACAATGTACTTGTCCCCCTCTTTGCCCACACCGGTCACCTCTCCGTTTCCGCTCTTGGCAAACTCTTTGATGGTGTGGTTCGGTACCCCATTTGGCCCCAATGTTTTGTGGAGATCTTCAAGGGACTTTTCCTCGTCTCTTTTCTTCTTGCTCCGCATTAGGGTTTTGGTGTAGGTCACAGCTCTTTGGAGGCGCGCAATGGCAATCTGAAGGTTGTTGTCTGTGTCGTCTTCTGTGGCAGCCAGGTTATCAGCGCTGAAGGAGCTCAGGAGGAGGGCAAGGAACAGGTTTAGGACCTGAGGAATGGAAAATGGCTACTTTGTGACATATGAAAGCGTGTCAATACAGATAAAAGCTTTTGAGAAAAAAAGAGTAGAGGTTGTGCATTCGATTTTCAGATATATTTTCTCCTGCTGCAGCACAAATTGTAGAATTTCCACAACTCTAAAATGCCCCATAATTCCCGTAAAGCAGGGGTCTCCAACCTGTGGCCCGGGAGCTACCAGAAGCTCGCCAGCCCCTTTCAGGTAGCAGAGATAGAATTTAACAAATGATCTTGAATAAATACATTTTGAGTCATCACATACTGTATCTATCATGGTATAGTTTGCATGTGTTCTCCAAGTCTTGTCGTATGTATTAGATCGATTTTTATTACGACTGCAAAAAGAAGTAGCTCTCTGCCTCAGCTTTTGTGTAAAAGTAGCTCTCCGATTGAAAACAGCTGGAGACCCCTGCCTTAAAGTAATATTTGGTTTACGTAAGATAGGAATGACTTTTGTCAATTCCATGGGCAGAAAATTTCCCTCAGTTAAAGCTCTCATGGATAAGTAAGAACAATGCTAGTTTTTAAATACATTTTTAAATCAAATTTTTATGTGATCCCTATACACCTCTGCACTTTTTCTGATTAAATTTGACAAGCAGCAGAAGAAGTTACCACAAGGTTCCCGACGACCATCACCGTCATGTAGACAAAGATGCACATGGTTTGCCCTGCCACCTCCATACAGTCCCACATGGTCTCGATCCACTCGCCGCACAGCACCCGGAACACGATGAGAAAGGAGTGGAAGAAGTCGTTCATGTGCCAACGCGGCAAGGTGCAGTCGCTGGAGATCTTACACACACAGTCTTTATAACTCTTTCCAAACAACTGCATCCCCACAACCGCAAAAATAAACACGATAATGGCAAGCACCAGAGTCAGGTTGCCCAAGGCTCCAAATGAGTTTGCAATGATTTTGATAAGAGTGTTGAGAGTGGGCCACGATTTAGCCAGTTTGAAAACTCTAAGCTGTAAAAAGATGGAAGAGAAAATGTTAATGTTAGTAAAAGAATTCACTGACTGAATTAGAAAGCTGAGGTAATACATGTCATGAGGTTGCAAAGAAATCCAAAGTTTTGAATTAATTCAAAATATAACATATTATCTTTTTTTTGTTTTTATTTAATAAATTTTTCATTAGTTCCGTGTAGCTGTTTCTTAAAAAAAAAGAAGTAAACCCCTTTATTCCCTATTGTGATGCAATTGGGTATAAGTTCAGGAATAAAACATTTCATAAATATCGGCCCCAGTGCTCAAAATGTATTCAGTAAGTTTCTGGGCTGAAAAACTTTTAATTCAATGATGCTAAAAAATGCAATAGTAGTAGTGGTATGAGTTGTGTAGCTTAATGAGAAAATCTTCATAGTGCATAATACGTTGGCTATCACAGAAATAAATAAAGATTAAATAATTACCAGTCGGAAAGCTCTCAAAACATTAATCCCAAGTACAAGTTCCAACAGACTCAAGGTGACAATGATGCCATCAAAGATATTCCATCCTTGTTGGAAATAAAAGTATGGATCCAACGCAATAATCTTAAGCACCATCTCTGCTGTGAAGATGCTAGTGAATACCTAGGACATACGGTATTGTTTTTCAGAAATTATAAAATATGAAATATAAGTACACATCATTAAAATCACTCACGTAATTTCCCACAGTCAAGAAAAATGCAAAATGTTCTGTCATTGGGTCATGCTCCATGGCCATAAACAAAGTGTTGAGAACAATACAGACAGTGATGGCCAGGTCAGTGAAGGGATCCATCACAATCAGATGCACCACCCTTTTGACCTTCATCCAAATTGGGCAACATTCCCAGATCAGAAAGGTCTGTGCAAAATTGGACCAGAAAGGAGGACACTTATGCCGAGATTCTTCGAGTTCTGAAAGAAAATAATTCAATAAACCAACATTTCCTGGATGATTTTTTTCCAGAGTATACAGACCTTCCATTGTGCTTGTGATAGCGCTGGCCACACTGCAGGTTCTGGCCCTGGTTTCGAGGCCGTTGTGGAGGTCCATGGCGTGTTGACATTGTTCCCCTGCCCCCTCTGTGTCAGCTGTGTCAGGCTAGAGAAAATAAAATGTACGATAAAAAATAGGAATGCCTGAATCAAATAATCTTTCAGTAGGGAATTTTATGCAACTAGCACAGATTACGTACAGAGCACATAGCGCCGGACAATGGTGAGCTGCTATTGAATACCAAGATACAGTATATGAAAAATAGGTCCGGCCAGCCATTCAGAAATCGTGATAATTTAAATAAATGTGTGTTCACATTTCGTACCATGTTAAAGTCTCATTCCAGTCTACTTGCAAGACCTCATATTGATTAAGTGAAAATAGTCTTTCACATTTAATTAGAGATAAAACGAGAAAATAAATATTACATATACATAAGTATTCACACACTTTAATTGTTACTTTGTTGAGGCAATCACGGCAGCAATTACACCATCATGTTTTCTTGGGAAGGCTTGGCACACCTACATTTGGGGAAGCTCTGTTGGAGCACAGCTATTTTCAGGTGTATCTAGAAACATTTAGTTAGGTTTAGTTTAGTTTATCTGTCCTCTGGTTGGGCCACACAAGGAGAGTCAGACTTTTCACAACGACACTCTTGAGTTATATTGGTCGTGTTCTTTGAGTGAGTTTGTGAGCCGAAACCCCAATTGGAGGTCCTGAGAGCTTTTCCTGGTTTTCTTCCAGATGTCTTGGTACATTGGCACATGCATCTTTCTCTGTATGACAAATCTCCCTGTCCCTGCTGCTGAAAAACATCCCCAGAGCATGATGCTTCCACCACTACCATGCGTTCAGAGGGTCATTTAGATGCTTCCAAGCATGTTTCTTTTACTGAAGAGCGGCTTCCTTCGGCCACTCTTCCATCATGGCCTGATTGGTTAAGTGCTGCAGTGATGGTTGTCCTTCTGGAAGATTCCCCCATTTGCTCAGAGCAATGCTGAAGCTATATCAGAGTGACCATCAGGGTCTTGGTCGCCATACGAAGGCCCCTCTCCATTGATTTCTCAGTTTGGACAGCGGCTAGCTCTGGTACAGTCCTGGTGGTTATGAACTTGTCATATATTATGATTATGCGCCAATGATTTTGTATCCTTTTCCAGACCTTTGCCAAAATATTATTCTGCCTGGAAAGTCAGGTCCTTAGACCTCATGACCTGGTTTCTGTTCTGACCATCACTGTCAGCTGTGGAACCTTAAATAGACAGGTGTGTCTCTTTCCAAATCAAGTTACAGTAAATTAGAAGAAACTACCACACACATCAAGCAGTGAAGTTGAGGAAACATTTCAACAACAATCTGTAAAAACAGGTTGCATGTGAGCTCAGTATTGAGTGTTTTAAGAAAGAGTGTGTGAAATTGAATGCACATGTATGTGATATTTTTGCGCTTTAGTTTGAATCAAGAGCCAAAACAACGTGTTTCACTTGTCATTATAGGGTATTGCAAGTAGATTGGCAGGAAACAATAATAATGTAATGCATATTAGAATAAGGCTGTAGCATTGCAACATTTAGAAAAAAGTGAAGGGGTTGAATATTTCATGAATGCTGTATGCTCTGAATAAATGTGTGTGTATGTGTATAAGAAGAGTCGTACACACCCCACACACTCCCAGGATTAGGACAGGTTTAGGTGGTATTAAAACCAAATCTGGAGGTGCTTCCTAGTGTGAAAGCTTTGCACTGGCACTGAGAGTAACTGTGGACTGATTCATTTATCAGGATATGAGTGTGGCTGGCAAGACTATGATGGTACCATACAACTCAATAAAATCTCACAAGACAGTGCACAACCACACAAAACCCAGCAAAAAAAAAAAAGCCATGATGAACACATAACACTCAGTGAGGTTTGGCGGGACAACACTTTCTTACGTTGCCGCCAGGGGGAGCGTTGTATGCTGTCAGCGAAGACATGAGCAACTCCAGTGGCGACGGTGGGAGTGAGTTTCCACCTACTCGAGATACTAAACCGTTGCAGCCCATTGAGTTGTGCTTGATGTCACTGGGCGGGAAAAATATGTGTGGACAGTAACTGCACTGGCTGACACTGCTGCTCTGGCGCTCTCTCCTTTGTGGGAGGAAAACAGACCCCCTCATACTCAGGGCGTCCTCAAATATGCTGTGCTCGTCATCGGCAAACTCGTTCTCAGAGCCATTGTCGTGCACTTGGCTCCGCAGGCTGTACATGCTATTTCTGCTGTTATGACGGGATGAGAACAGCGGCCCTCGGAAACTCAAAAAGGACTGAGGGAGAGAGACAGGCTTGAGTGGATTGACAAACACATATACACGGAGAGACAAGACCACAGAGAAAGTTGGACATGGGGGAAGAAAGTGTGACAGTGATGATTAGAGCAATTAAGGGAAAGATATGATCATGTGAACATGTAGGCACAAAGCAAGAACCCACAAAGAACCCCTATCTTTGCGTCCAAAAAAATATTTTTCCAATAGAATTAGACAAAAGTTGTTGACTTGAACAGATAACCAAAAAATGCTGCTGTCAGGTTTTGTTAAAATCTTTGCTAACGCTTTATAATGATAATCTTTACAACAATCTTTATCTCTATTGCGCCTTTCAGAGACCAGTCACAAAGCACTTTACAATTGTTGTGAGAATATTTTCTCTCACTCTACACCTTGGAGTGGGGTCGCCATACAGGAGGTGCATGACATAATCAGACATGAACTAATGCATTGGTTCATAATTCCCATGAGTTCATTGTAAATCATACATGAATTCATAATGAGTTCATGATAATGATGAGCCATAAATGGGTTAAGTAATGAATAACCTTCATTAATGATGATTATCATGACTCGTCATATTGGACAAAATACAAAAGAGAAGAGATGAGCAATAATGAGTTAATGGTTAGTTAATTGTGTGTACATTTGTCATGATAGGTCATTGTGACTATAAGGAGCTCACAAGTTCATGATCACCATGACACTCATGATAATTAAAGTTTATTTGGTTATAAACCAGTGTTGTTAATCATGAGCAATAAGTCATGATGAATTCCATGATTTACTGGTAAGTGAGTGATAAGTGAGCTCATACTGAACTGATGAGAATTATAAGTGAAATGAATGAATAGCCTGAATCATGATGAATGTATACATTGCTTTGTGTCTAGTTATCATTATATTTTTTATGCCAGTGCTAACATTTTAGACATTTGACACCACAGTCAAATCAAAGTGTGCATGCAAAAGAGCAGTTTGAAAATAACACCAGATAAATAAAGTTAAATATAAAGGTGAGGAAACAGCAGCAGTACCTGGTGAGCAGAAGAGCACTTGCGCTCATAGCTGAGCAAATTGTCATCCTCAGGGAAGTGGCAGCACATCTTCCTCAGACTGTGCTGTGACTCAGAGTTGGGAATCTTCTCGTCCGTGCCTTTGCCTTCATCCTCTTTCCTCTTACACTTCCGGTTGTGTCGCTCTTTGGCACTTTTAGAGCTGAGCTTGGAGGCATCAGACGAGCTTTCTCTGCTGCTAAGCTTCTCACTGCCCTCACCGTTCTCCGCTGCTGCCGCTGCTGCCTGGTTCTGTTCATTATATATATGCACGTATTATTCAATATGGCAAAAATAATTAGTAATTAATATCACGTTTGTAATTGTATGTAGTATGCATGTAATCAAGAAATTTGGTCTATTTATAAAGCACATACTGTAAAGGATTGTGTTGTCACACGACAGAGACGGGGATAGTTTTACATGTATTTCTTAAACTGTTCATAACACTATGCAGACCTTTGTAAGTATTGTGATATTGTAGATGGAGGGATGCAATTTTATTGATGTAAGGATTGTTTAATAAATGTTTAAGAATTGTATACCTCTTCTTGTTTCTTCATCTGCTCGCGCATGGCCTCAAACTTCTCCTCTTTCTCTTTGGCCTCGTTGATGGTGACCTGGCTCTGCTCCTCGTAGGCCATGGCCACCACCGCCAGAATCAGGTTGATCAGATAGAAGGAGCCCAGGAAGATCACCAGCACGAAAAACACCATGTACGTTTTACCCGCAGCTCTCAAAGTCTGCAAGACAACACAGAGGCTCAGGGGTTTGGTCCCCTCCCAATTTGCATGATCTATTTGAAAAATTAACACGTTTCTAGTACTCCTGACCAAAGCGTGGTCTAGTCCTGGTTTAGTTCATTTTTAGTGTCGGATGTCATCCCAATTTGAATGTGGTCATTGGTGTGTGAATGCATGCACTTTGAGATGCAGGAGAATTGCAGTAGAGCAGACAAAAAAACTCATCCCATCGGTGCATGATGTTATTAAACAGTTATTATTACACTTAATTTAATCCACAAACTAAGCTTGCTTGCTACAGTCAAGAGAGATATTATGTGAAAAACAATAATATTGAAACTTCTTTATGCCACTGAGGCCCATAGAATACACATTTTAGATATACCGTACATGCCATTTATAGGATCTGCAGCACTGTAGAAGTAAACATTCAACACACTGCAGTTGAAATTGATTTCTAACAAAGATGTTCCATAAAATAAATTACAAAGAAAAAGTATGCATGGTGGAGACTGAACACAATTCAGTCTTCCACAATTCCAGCCATTCATAAAACAAAGAGTTTATGATTTGATGTAGCCTTTTATCACTTGGACTAAAATTCAAGACAACAAATGTGGGTTAAAAAAAAAAGGTTGAAAAATAAAATACATTAAAATAATAAGGCCAAAAGAAGAGATTCTTGCTTGTGGCCTTTCGCACACAAAGCCGGAGCAGTGCCTGTTGTTGCATGTTTGCTTGCCAGTAGCACATAATCCAACCTGCTCTTTTTATTGGATACTCATTCAGAGTATAGACCTATTCATATTCTGTTTACTCATATCATCTTTGTCCCACATGGAAATATATGATCTCTTGTTTGCGCACAGGCTTGTTTGAACACCATGTCCTAATTTTTCATTATTCCTCTCTGCTTGACGCAGCCCCACCCTGAACCAGCCATCACTGCCTCTTTATTTATTCATAAACTAATACATACTGCTCCAGGACCAATCCAGGAAGTGTCTTCCACTAATGTTTTCTCACGTGTCAAATAAACAAAAAGGACACTGTCTAAAGCAGTTACATTTAAAAAGATTTAAGAATACAGAACAGAAGTCTGAAATAATTAAGTTAAATATGTATGTGACAGTTGCATTGGATTATTACCAACACAAGTACGCTTCAGATCAGATTTGTTTAACTAATACAATCGTGTCAGGCTAGCTGACGTCATCATTACATAAAGAGACACATTTTCACTTGCAAATTGCCTGTGAAGTTGGCTGCCTGTCTGAGAATTTTGACTGAACTGTACAACACTCAAGAGCCTGAAATTCACTGACTGAACATGCTTATTTACAAAGATCTGATGTGTCTGCTTCCTCCTTTTCTCTGGGCATATATTCACCAAACATTGGTCTTTCTGACACCACTTTCTGAACAGTGTTTGCAGAGATATTGGTGAGATAGAATTTTAGTACTCTGCACCTTCCATGTGGAATAACCTTTAAAAGTTATTAGACCGACAAAAGTTTCCATTAGTTTCCATTATGACCATTTAAAATAAGAAACTTAAGTTGTTATAAAAATGATTAGAAAAAAACTGTGGAAACATCAATGTTCATCCAATCAATCATTATTTGGAGATCAGATGATGCAGATTTTAAAGTTTTATAAATATCCAGAACCCTCTAAACTTCCTCAACCAGCAGCCATTCCTCTAGCATGTGCCACATAATGTCCAATCATTCCCACACAAGTGACACCATGGAGAATGTTCACTTCATCAGCCATCAGGCCACAGCGCTCGGTGGATGACTGGCTGTGAAAAAAATATGCTACATCACATTTAATCATTTTTCCGCACTGTCCTCTCTCTTTTTTGTTGACTCGTTCTCCTCAAGGCAGCTCAATGCTCTTCTCTGATTGGTCAAAGAGTCTTATCTTGTTTTGGAGCATAATTTTGTCCGGCTTGGATCAGGTAATGAGTTTATGACTTGTGGCTACAGAAATGATCCAGCTGCAAAGCACCACTGAAATCAAAGTTACCTCCCACCAGAGCAGTTTTGGACCGACAAACGTGTTCACTTTCCCTCACTGTTCATTCAGCATCACATGTGAACCCGTAGAAGAGCAAAAGCTTTTATACAAATATACAAATAAAAATTGCCATTGTTTGCCTAGCAATAAATACGATTAAGATTCAGAGATCCTTTAGAACAGTAGGAAAAAGGAGTACACAATACAAGATTAGTGAATATTAAGTATAACACAAATACAGCTCTTTACCTGTTGGTAAAGGTTCTCCCAGTAATCTTGTGTCATGAGCCTGAACAGAGCGAGGAAGGCCCATCCGAAGGAGTCAAAGCTGGTGTAGCCAAAGTCTGGGTTAGCCCCCGCCTGGTAGCAGGTGTAGCCCTCTGGACAGTGCCTGCATCACACCGACAAGACATTCAATAGAAGAATATGAAATGTGCCTGTTATGTAGCCATTACTTACCCCGCATCACTGCCATTTCCGCACAACAACGGGTCTCTCTTTTCTGGAGTAAGGTAGTAAAAATTACCTAGTGGTGAAAATACATCATGTTTAGTTTAGAATACAACCTCTCAGATCTTTATTTTCAAACCATGACTGGACAAACTAAATGAACTCACTTCTATTATGCGAGTATTCATCCCAGTCAAAATCTGGTGAGCCAAAACTCCCATTTGGCGGTGTGATTAGACACTTTTGCCTAAGATTCCCTTTGAAAAGTTGCAAGCCAATTAACGCAAAGACACTGAGGCAGAAAACGGTGAGGATCATCACATCAGAGAGCCTCTTCATGGACTGGAACAAGGCACCAACTATGGTTTTTAGTCCTGGGAAATACAAGAGAAAAAGAAGGATAAAATAAACATCTGTATGTTACTAACAAATAATAATGGTTTACCTGGAATGACTGAAATGGCTTTTAAAGCTCTCAACACCCTGAAAGTGCGAAGTGCTGAAAGGTTTCCTAGTTTTGCGAACTCTGTAACATAGCTGTTAACAAGGCAAACAGAAAAAACATAATACTAGTTATAGAGATTTTGGATGTGGCGTTCCTAAACTCTAAAATGGACATAATGGAATCTGTATTTTGAATTATTATACGCCAGCCAGTTACAGAAATGTATCACCAAATTGAATTGGTCTACGGCCTGTTTGCTTATCTTTATATTGTTTTGGCTTCTTCATGTTGAAGGAAATTTTTAATGCTTTTAATTGAGATGGCGGAATAATGTAACTAACTTCCCATGACTGATTATTTTTTCCCAGATAAATCACATTGCAAAACAAAATAAACTTGATCATTGCATTTAAAAAGGCAACACAAAACATGCAATTTCAACAGTGATGTAGGACTCACGCCAGGACAATGACGCAGAAGTCCAGCCAGTTCCATGGATCTCGCAGGAACGTAAATTTCCCTAAACAGAATCCTCGTGCAAAAATTTTCACCAGCGATTCAAAAGTGTAGATTGCAGTAAATGTGTACCTGTTAAGACATTAAGGATTTTTACAATGTATGTATCTTAGACAATTAAAGATGGAATACAATAAGACTTAGAAAAGACTTACTCTACATTTTTGGCCCAGTCTGGCGGCTTTCTCAGGGTCATAAATACACAGTTGGTGATGATAGTACACATGATTACAATGCTGAACAATTTGCAGCTTGTGTTAAGGAGGAATTTTACATAATAGCAACAAGTTTATCTGTTTGAAAAAAAGCATTTGAATGTACTGTATGTCGTCAAAAGGATATGAATGTACCAAAATCCAGATTGATATTCTTCTGAGGGGGTTAAAGGGGCTCAGCAGGTACAAGGCAGGAGTGGCATTGAAGCGGAAAATGAACTTTCCTTTGTTTAACACCATAAAGGTCTGAAAGACAAGAAATTACAGCGTGAGAGCTTATAATGAAGAAGGGTGCCACATTACTCTAACTTTACTGGATGGCTTTATCGTTTTAAAACGATTCACTGTGGTTTAGAGTCTGAGTTGGTAACTGTGACACAATATGATGAATTATAATTAATGGCTTTAATTCGTTTATTAGTGCTTCATATGGTCAAACATAAATTCTATCTATATATTTGGATCTGATGATAAATAGAATACAATGTTGCAATCCGTTCAAAAAGCCATTACTGGTTGTAAAAATAAATACATTTTAATCACCACTGAAACTAGTATTGAAACTCAATACTAGTTTGAAAAGGTTTGTATATGTTTATAATAGTGTGCAAAGCATTTTGTTATCGTTGATTTGAAAAGCGCTTCACAAATAAAGACTGATGGATTGGAGAACAAATACTACTTAAAATGACAAATGCAGGATCTTGAGAATAACTTTTCTGGGCCAAAAACTTTAATACAATTTCAGAGGAATCTGCACACCATTTGTACCCATTAGAAAGTAAAACTAAAAATATGTAATAATGTTCATGAAACTTAATCAAGTTTGAGATAGTGACAACATTACCCAAACGTTTACTGAACTGCAATGTATTTTCTGATTATAATTTAGATTTGAATCTAAATAATGAACATGTCATGTCATTTTCTTCCCCTTTATTTTTCCAGAGCTGCATGGGCTGCATCAGTTTCTCCTCGCTGTCAATCCGTGACGCTTTTGACGTCACGGATTGTGCCACGTCACGATTTGAATCAGCTCATGTCTGTGCCTCTCAAGAATGAAAGAGAAAGATTGCTCTCTAACTAAAGCTTGACGGAATCAATGAAAAAACTACTCTAGGCATGTGTCTGAAGGCCAAATAGCACTGTTTAAACCAAAGAATAGCCAAAAAGCGTAGTAAGGGCCCTTTAAGCAAAACCACTTCCAAACCTCTCCCACCTACTGTAAGGCGTGAGGTCATTACAGACAACAGATCTGGTGGACTTACTTTCTGATTACTGTAGCAGGGGTCGAGGTCCTCCAGTGGAGTGGACACCAGGCCCTTGGGCGGGCTCCCGTACAGCATGGGCAGAGACTTTCCCGCCTCCAGGTCCCTGTTGGGCTCCAGGCGGTTCTCGTCATCGTGCTTCTTCTTTTCTCCCTTAGGCTTCTTGGCTTTCTCCTCCGCAATCCGGTTTTCGATGGCTTTGAGGGACTCCCGGGTGAATGGGCGGAAGCTATCTGGTCCTGGTGGCACAAGCAGCTGGTCCATCTTTTCATCCTGCACCTTCAGAGTGGACAGCTAACCTCCTGCATGAGAAGCCCATGTGGGAAAACCATCGCAATTGGAAATTAGCAGATTTCTTGACAGTTTCTAAAAAATATGGTGTAAATTAAAGCTGGGTTCTTATATTTTTGTATATAGTTTGTCTCAGTAAAAAGAGTTAAATGAAACAAATCAGACCACAAATTCTTCATGTTTTCATCTTTTAGAAAACATGTAATCATTTGCAGACTTGTAAGAAAGATCCCTGTGAGTCTGATCTAAAGATGTGACAAAATACATGCATGTGAAAACTAGTGATGGAACCATTCTGTTTTGAAAATGAGGAACTAGTTAAATTAGTTTTCTACACTAAAATACTATAAGTACTGTAATAAGCAATGCATTGTGGGCTCCCTGAGGGTATGTTGATGTTTAAATGACAGTATGCAACAATATTTTAAATGTCAGGCGTAAAGGAGCCTATGTCTCTGACTTTGAGGTAAGTGTTTGTTTAACAACAAGTGTTTACAATGTCTTTCTATCAATTGTGAGTTACTATTTGATGCCGTCTGAAATGGATTATCCAAAGATGTGACAGAAAAACATACATACATGTGAAAACTAAATCTAGAAACAAACTGTTTTAAAGCCAGGAACATGGATTATTTAAATGATATATATTTTTTACTGCTCTTGTGCATCCAGGATGCTTAAACGACTGTTGGATGTATATTAAATCTGTAAAGCTTCAACAGAAAGCTTTCTTCAGAAGCAGCTTGTTTTCCCAGTGCTGATGTGTGATGGAACATCTGGAATCGTTGGCTTATTTCTCCATTTGAAAGACGGAGCGTTGATGTCAACATTGATTTTTTTTTATGCTTATTTTCAATTTTAATTGTTTTGCTTCACTGTTCGTTTTTTTTGTAATACCCAACTAACAAAACAAACTGTTTTTCCAGTTTACAGTGTACTCCTGTTTAGTAGTTTTACATTTGGATACTGTACATATACTGTCATTCTACAGGGAAATTATTTACATTTATACATTTATTTTTATTATTTATTTATTTACATTCTGTTACACAATAGTAAATACCAACTTTAACATGTGTTTTATGTATTCTGATTCATAGTCCAATCAGAGTTTTTCATTCTGAATTCCTTTTATATACATTGTATATCCATCCATCCATCCATCCATCCATTTTCTTCCGCTTTATCCGTTGTCGGGTCGCGGGGGCAGCAGTCTAAGCAGAGACGCCCAGACTTCCCTATCCACACACACTTCCTCCAGCTCGTCCGGGGGGACCCCAAGGCGTTCCCAGGCCAGCTGAGAGACATAGTCCCTCCAGCGTGTCCTGGGTCTTCCCCGGGGCCTCCTCCCGGTGGGACGTGCCCGGAACACCTCCCCAGGGAGGCGTCCAGGAGGCATCCGGAACAGATGCCCGAGCCACCTCAACTGGTTCCTCTCGACGTGGAGAAGCAGCGGCTCTACTCCGAGCTCCTCCCGTGTGACTGAGCTCCTCACCCTATCTCTAAGGGAGCGCCCAGCCACTCTGCGGAGGAAGCTCATTTCGACCGCTTGTATCCGCGATCTCGTTCTTTCGGTCTTCACCCACAGCTCATGACCATAGGTGAGGGAGGGAAGGAAGATTGACCGGTAAATTGAGAGCTTTGCCTTTCGGCTCAGCTCCCTCTTTACCACAACGGTCCGATACAGCGACCGCATCACTGCGCACGCTGCACCGATCCGCCTGTCAATCTCACGCTCCATTCTTCCCTCACTCGTGAACAAGACCCCGAGATACTTGAACTCCTCCACTTGAGGAAGGACCTCTCCACCCACCTGTAGAGGGCAAGGCACCTTTTTCCGGTCGAGCACCATGGCCTCGGATTTGGAGGTGCTGATTCTCATTGTATATATAATGTACAATATGACAATGACAATGTTTAAAACCAGGTTAAAGACAGTTCCTTTTATCTGTGCATACAACTGAGGGATTTTATATTTTTATCTTTCTTTTTAATGTTCTGTGATTATTTATGATTTTAATGCTTTCTTGTTTTGTTCAGCACTTTGAATTGCCTTGTGTATGAATCCATCCATCCATCCATTTTCTTCCCCTTCATCCATTTCTGGGTCGGGGGGTGGCCAGAGATGCCACCCAGTACACAGAGCACCAGCCCCTCACTGATCCTCCTGCAGGTGGTGAGTCCACAGGACCTGAGATCTTTCAGTGGGGGCTTCAGGCAAAGTGGGGTTAAGTGTCTTGCCCAAGGACACAACGACAGCAGTCATCAGTGGGAGTCGTGAAGTAGGTCTCATGGTGGGCTTGAACCCACGACCTTCAGGCTCAAAGGCCAATGCTCTACCAACTGAGCTACTGTCGCTATAATTGTGCTATATAAATAAACTTGCCTTGCCTTGCCTTGCCATTGTTGACTTTTTTCATAATTCTATAATATTGTGTAAAAATGCATCATAGAATTAAAACAACTTGATGAGAGATAAAACAAATGTGAATGTATTTTTAAATAATTGTTATCAAAGTTATGAAACACAGAGCAATGTAACGTGAGCCTTCAAATGCGCTAATTCAAACAAAGAGGCCAGAGGAGGGTGTGGTAACTCCTCCGGAAGTGGCATACGGTAATGAAGCCCTGCTTCCATGGCTATCATCCACATAAATTTCAGACAGCTATGGTAAAATTAGATCCAATTACGGCCCCTTTCTGTAGATAAAATTAAAATTTGACATGACAATGATGTATTCCAGGTGAAAATCCTCTTCCTATTGGTTCATCTTTCAAAGCGACATTTCCCTGGGAGCCAGAGCGTGGTGGGTGGGACAGATCTATCCGGCTAATAGGCCTGGCTGCTATGATGATGTGTTAGGCTGAACCATGGCCTATTAAATATGAATGGACTTCAGGCTGCACGGCACTCTCGTGTGCGAAGCAGAAATCTGTGAGTTCCACATTGTTACGTATAGAGATCAATAACATGCTTGTCAACAGCCCGCGGCGCTGGCCTTCACAGTATGGAAGAGGACGACTTCATCAGTCACAACACGTTCTAATGTTCCTCAAAAAACAAAGGCCATGAGAAAATAAAGGCTTTTTAAACTTTCTTAACTATTGACCATGAGTGCCTTCTGATTTTTGGATTTTCTAAGATCTTCATAATTTGCCTTTTCATTCTCATTTGGAGATTTTCAGAACTGATCAATGCTAAAACATGTATTGAAACTTGAGCAAATATAGATAAAGATGCAAATACATGATTAAATGTATCTGAACATCTTGTATAAAACCTTGTGGTCCCATAAAAAAATATTATCGTTTTGAGATAAAGATTACAGTTTATTGTCCATTGTCTGAGTATTTATGATAAGATAGTCTGTGGTATTGTTGCTTCATTAACACAAATTATTTATTAATGTATCCTTCAATCAGCATGAGTGACTCAAATGATCTGTTCTATTGAAGTAAATTTATAAAGACAAGAAGACACATTTAGAATAATTTTCCTCCTCATCAACTGAACGAAAACTGAATTAAAATAATGTTAGTTCATATAAATGAGAGAATCGACAACAGATTTACAAACCTCCTCTATATTATTATGCAGCAGAGCTAATACTGGAACATTTAGAAGTGTTGATTTATATGTACTGTCTTTCCTTCAAATTAAGAAATACAATATTTGAACTTCAGTCAAGAAACTAAAAACAATCCAACTCTTTAGTGTAAACGTAACTACAAAGAAAGCCCATTGAACGGCCACCATTGTTTGGCCTCTTCTGCATCTGTGGTCTCTTTTTATTAGTTAGTTAGTCTAGCTTCTTTTTCTTTGGGATATTCTTTTTGGAAGATTATTCTCAACAAAACTAGACCAAAGGTAAGGTAGGACTCAAACCATAAACTGAAAAAAATGACTACCATGGTATGTTGTACATTGTCAATGCTATAGCAAGACAATAATAACAATTGAAAATTATGTGCCACTAAAATAACTTTCCTGGTCCTACAACATTCTGCCAGTCTCATTCATTCTACAGTTCAATGCAATATCAATCAAACCGATATCATGGAACTAATACTCAATCCAGCAATAGGAACTCATATCCAATACCAGAATTATCTTAGTGAATCCTTTGTATGAACCAAAAAATATATTCTTGATCTCATAAGGAACAAAATCCAAGTCAAAAATACTTCAATACTACATCTAGAATAAAAACCTAATCTCAAATATTATTATAGCATTTACAGCACAGCTCATACAGAATGCAACCCAAAGTGCTTCACATCGGCAACATTTAAAACCAATTTAAAAACACACTGTAAAAACAATAACAGAAGACAATTTAAGAAGAAATAAATACATACATATATGTATTTATCAATAATAAAATGATCCGTTGCCTGATGATCAGTCGTAGGAACTACTGAAAAGAACCGTTTTCAGTCTGGACTTGAATATAGCTAGGGTAGCAGCCTGTCTCACACCTTCGGGAAGACTGTTCCAACCATTAAAAACCTGACAATTGTAGATATATGTAACACCCTCAGCTCACTATCACAGCTCAGATAGATAATGTTCAATATAAGAAGGCTGCTCAAATCTGGAAAAAAAAAACAAAAAAAACCCAGATTGCATTTGTTTTATAATAATCAAATCACTGTATTTATAATGTCAGACGGTGAAAACAAAGCCAGAGCTGTCTCCCGTCACCTGTAGTTAAGAACACACATCATCACCAAGGCCTCTATACTCCTGAATGACCTCTCCTTTTATAAAGCTACGTCCCATCAATCCACCCTTCACTCATTAAAAACCACAAGCAGATAGCAGCCCCTGGAGCTTCAAACAGCAGCACTTGAGCGTATCTCCAGCCTCTTCTGACGGTGACCTCGTCCGTGATGGGGCTAAGAACATTTCCCCGTGTGTTTGATCGGGTCGAGCACTTTAATATTTGCCGTTCATCAATGTGTGTCTAAGTACGTGTTCCTAAGCCCCGGAGCCACGCCACCTGTATCACCTAAAAGAATCATCCTGCTGACAGCTTGTCAAAGATGAAGGCAACGTCAATATTTAATGAGAGATTCTCGTTTAAAACCAAATTGTATTGATTTCGGAACGGCATCGCATTGTTCCTTTGAGACGTCACCAGTGGACCACATGCAGTAGAGGCAGATGTGAGGGTTTGGTGGTCATAAAATTAGACTAGGGAGTTGGAAATGGGTTTTTTAAAATGGAAAATGAGTTGAATGAAAAATAAACGTCATGATAGTTGTGGGGGATGCCATTAAAGAAGGCACAACTTAAAGGCCTGTACGCCGCAGAAAGAAACAAATAGTTAAGTGCTTCAAATACGCACTATTTGAATTGATTTGTGTATTTTTTGACTGGCTTGAAATGACATAGCAACAGAACAGGCACAAACATGTTTCTTTTGCTTCAACTTTTTCTTTTTAAATAAAACTAACTTTCATTGTTATATTTTGTCTTTATTCTTCAAAATGTTATTTTAACCTTGACCAATCATTCAAGTGTACAGCACAGTTGTATGGGATTGCATTAGTTTTTTAGCATCACCCACTCAATGGATTATTGTAGCCGTAACTATTTAATTAACTAGTTGTATCAGAAACTTGGCAAATAATTAATCAAAAGTATGTTAATAGTCACAATGTTTTTTTTCTTATTTTAGAATCAAAATTGAATGATTTCTACTTAAAAATTTTTACTCAGAAAAACTCAGATAAACATATATTTTTGTTTCAGTAAGCGAGACGACGGCTTGAAGCATGTTTATGTTGTGTAGGAAATAATTAATTAATTTTCAGTGTACCCTTGTACTTTTTCACCTCATGCACATAACATTATAATTCAATATCATGTCATCCCTATAGTATTAATGACAAGGCCTCACACTGTAATCTGTGCTTTTGACGTGCCGTAAACAGTCATTACCCCTGCAGCCTCCTGGGACCGGACAGCTCTTAAGTGCGCCCATGGAACTTCCCACCGCCTCTTGTGCACTAAATGTTCACTACATCTGCCTCATTTGGGCGTTGGCAAAATAGCAGAGGATGTATTGGTGGCAGTAAAGCAGGTCTCCATCAGGGGAATATTTATTATCATTATCACAAAATGACCTGAGTATAAACACATGTCAGGTTGCCTCAACGCTGAAAGAAAACAGAGCACAGACAAGTCTAATTGCCAACAATCTAATAGTGATGTTGACAATCATGTAAGCAGGAAGTCATCTCAACTGGTGTGGGCTAATAATTACTGGCATGTCAATTAACCACTGGGATATGTTGTCTCACTATATGTTGTCTCCACTATTTGTTTATTTCTGGCTTTACAAAAATACTCCCTCACACTAACCCCATGCAAACGAAATACACTATATTTGTTTGCCACATTTACAATCATAAGTCTGTTAAAACCCAGCTGGCATGCTTGTTCAAAATGATAAAAGGTTATAGTTGGATGTCTACTCCATAATAAGTAACTTACCATTAGTTTGTCATCTTTTCCATTCACACCCTCATAACTGAAAGTCGTTTAAAGTTGGATGAGAAAATACTTAAAAGTAAAAAGTATCGTCCTCAGGCTGTGTTTCTTACTTGTCCGGTAATTTCCAGCACTGTTTGATCCGCCCGTGGTGCGTCTGTGCGCGCGTCAAAGCTCTGAGCCAAAGCTTCCGGATGCTCCCCGTGTGCCAATGAGCGCAGGGAGGGATGGATGGATGATGATGTGGTGCTGCAAATGTCCTGCGTAATTGTCAGGAAAACACGTTTAAAAGTTGCTCAGTATCGGAAACTAAAAGCTTTAACCACAAATGTGAATCAGGGTCTGAATTAATGTGAGCGCTAATAAGTGCGTACCGGGAAATAATCAGCATGTGGCCTTATGTGCTTCATAAAAGAGACTTAAATTGCAGGCGAAATGGTTTTTCAATAAAACAGAACAGAGTACAAACGATCGAGCCCATGATAGGCCATTTTGGAGAGAGGCACAGACTGATATAATATGAATGTAAGTGATTTCAAGGCCTATATTGAATATGAGGTCGGCATGCTTGGACACTAGCGCCCCAAGGTGGCTTGAATGCGCACAGACCTAATTGGCAGAGAAAGGGAAACACATAGCGAATTGTGAATGCCTTAAGAACTCTCTTTTCTTGCTTATTCCCACAGGTTCTCATGGAATAGATGTGAAAGGATCGAAGTGCCAATCTTTAAAAGGAAAAAAAAGCGCTTTTTTAAGTTTTTTTTTTTTTTACCTTGCATACTTACCAGACCGAGCCCTTTTCCCAAAATGCCTCAAAAACTTTGGTAAAAATGAAATCCCTCTGAATCTGTTTGAGACCATTTTGGAGCGCAAATAAATGGCTGCTTAATGACGCGGATGCCCTGTAGTTTTGGCCTGTGATGACTCTTTACTTTCATAATGGGAACAATCTCTGCAAAGAAATATAAAACTCAAAGGTCCGCCTACATCGCCCATAAAGGAGCCTTTAGCTGGTGCATGAGAATTGGATCTAAATATGACCACATTTTGGGTCTTTAATTCCCCTTTCAGTAGCTGAGGCAAAGGTAACTGGGAACTGGATTTAGGGACTTGTAATAAAGAAAGAAAAAACTCAAGGCGGAACCAATGAAAAATCCCTATTAACTTTGTTTTTGCACATTTTCTAACAATATTTGTATACTTGACTTTGACGTTTGATGGATTGACATATAAAAAAATGTGAGAAAATGTTAACCATGGGCTGTACAAAATTACGTTTTTTAATACACGCAGTATTTATTATATATCCATGTATATATTAGATAAAACAATGTAACTTCCTTCTATGTTTTTTCTTCTGTAGGAGAGTAAACGGCAACTCACCACGTGCCGCCGCCGCCGCCTGAAGCAAACTTTCTCAAAGCAATTATTGCAACTGGCCACTGCACCATGGACCGTGGAGAACGCGCTCTTTTGTCCTTCCCAGGCTGGACTCAGGGGCGCTGTGGTTCAGAGCTTTCGCGGACATAAATGGACAGCGGCTTCACTCCTCATCCTTCTCTGACTGACAGCTATGACACAGAAGAGGACAGGCTGACCAGTGCTCAGAATGGCGCATCAACAGGTGACCATTACGCATGGAATTATGTATTTTGTCTAACTTTTTCAGTCACACTGTTTTGATAGAAGCAGTCACACGCAACTCTGGATTCCGTCATTGTATTGTTGCATTATTAATATAATTTTCTTTTCAGTTAAATCATGAAGAGGAGCGTATTCTATTGCAACCAATCAAAGCACAGGGACCGTCAGCGGGGAAGTTGAAAAGTTCCATGCTTTCTGCATCGTTTAACTTCATCAACTCTATCATTGGATCTGGAATAATAGGTAGTTAAATGCTATGTTATGTACCTAGTCTACACATGCATATTGATCTCTCGTTTGAGTTTATTGTCTTCAAGTTAAAGATCATTATATCTGTGATTTAAAATGTGTGCAACATTCCTGGAGCTCTGGGGGAAAACATCTCGAACACAGACCTCCTTGAGGGTCAACTCTTCATGTCATATGACTAGCGCCTGTTGATCCCTCTCTCCCCTTTAACCCTTTCTTCTCCTCGAGTGCAGAGCAGTGAACTGGAGGAGTATATCTCCAGGGCTCACAGGGTTACAGCAGGATTAGTGCCTTCTCTGTTCAAACATGACTCAACTCCATGTTTCGGCTTCCAAACTCATTGTGTTAAGATGTCTGTATACAGTTATATAGCCTATTATAATATGCATAACCAGATTCTCACAACACAGCACTTATGCAATAGCTGCAGGCTACTACTATAATACCTGGAGCTCTTCTGAAGCAAGTACTGGTAAATACATAGTATATACAATGTGATGAATAGATAGATATTTTATTTATCCTTCAAGTGGCCATCAGTCGCTGATACAGACAATACCAACAGATAAAACTATTTAGTAAATAAGGTTTTGTCAGTAATTATCCTGTATTATTATAAATATTATCGACATGTGAAAGTCTGGTGTCACATCTCAAAACCTAAGCAGCCTGGTTAGTGCTTTGATGAGAGACCACTGGGAAACCAGATTTGACCGTGAGCTGAGTGAGTCTTGAGTCTTTTTTCCGGCTGAATGATTGGTAGTGTCCTCATGACTCAGATAGGCAGCCTCACTTTTTGAGAGTCCAACAAATGCTATTTCAAAGATATGAATGATGACTATTTTCTTTTTGACCCCAGGTTTACCATATGCATTGAACCAAGCTGGGCTCCCATTTGGTTTGTTACTATTGGTTGTGGTTGGATTTATTACAGGTAAGATGACCGTTCAGGTTAGCGTAAGATATGCAGTTATATTTTTGTTGTTTTTACTTTTTAGACTACACAATTATTCTACTAATAAAGGGAGGAAACCTCTCAGGGACAAATAGTTACCAGGCGCTGGTCCAGAGCACCTTTGGACTCCCCGGGTTTTTCATTCTCTCTGCGCTGCAGTTTCTCTATCCTTTCATAGGTAAACTACATTATGAGAAAAAAATCATGCTTAAATAAAAGAAAAAAACAAACAATGATTTCATGTATAAATCTAAACTCTTTTTCTCTTAAAGCTATGATAAGTTACAATATCACAACAGGAGACACACTCACCAAGGTATTTCAACGGATACCAGGAGGTAAACAGTCAATGTTAAAAAGATCATCTACCACCAACACAAAGCACTTGTGCATCTCAATAGACCAAGAGATGACAGTGGAATGGTTTGTGTTGTCTGTGTGTGCTTTCAGTGGGTCCTAGTCATATCCTTGCAGAGCGTCGCTTTGTCATCTCAGTAATAACGCTTTTATTCACTCTGCCTCTTTCACTTTATCGCAACATAAAACAACTTGGAAAGGTAATGGTCTTAAACAGTTCTTTTATATTTACTATATGTATATATATATATATATATATATATATATATATATATATATATATATATATATATATATATATATACATAAACATACATTCATTTTTTTTTTAAATAATAAAACTGTGTTCTTCTAGGTCTCCTTCTTGTCCATGGTGCTTACTTTAACAGTGCTCATCATAGTCATCATTCGATCTGCAACACTGGGACCTGAAATGTAACACACTATTGTACTTCAACATTTTATGACTTGTAATAATTGACCACAGAGTTTTACCTTGTCCTCCTTAGTCCTCCTACAGACGACGCCTGGCCATTTGCAAAGATTAACGCAATTCAGGCTGTTGGTGTAATGTCTTTTGGTGAGATTTGCAATCTTGTAATTCGCATAATCCAGCAGCACAAAATGTTCTAGTTTGCTCAAAAATGATTACTCTTGACATACATTTTGCTTTTATCAGCGTTCATATGCCATCACAATAGCTTCCTGATTTACGGGTCCCTGCAGGAGCCGACACTGTCCAACTGGACCAGGGTCACTCATGTGTCTGTGGGGTCTGCGCTGGTCATCAGTGCTGTCTTTGCAGTGGCCGGATACGCCACATTTACGGGTTATACTCAAGGTGGCTGCAACACAGGACAAACAAGAGCTCACGCCGATGCATCATGAAACTATTAGATAAATAATGGTTTCACATCACAAGAATATTGTAAAATGAAAAAAGTCAGACCACAACATACATTCCTCATCTACAAGATACAAGAATTTATTTGCCATTTGTAAAACCACATTGGAAAAACTTTGCAAAACTGCCCCAGTAAGCACCAGACAGAGAAGACAACACACACCAGAGCTCTTGCCACGGCGCTATCTTTACGGCGCTATCTTTACGGCGCCATCTTTTTAGAAAACATAATTATTTTTTGCATATTGTAAGAAAGAGCCTTGTGAGTCACTATTTGGCACTTGGGGCTGAGAACTGATTGGTGAGGGAGGTCCTCTCTGCCTAAAAAGACCAAATATACATGAATGAAAAAAAACTAGTGATATAGCTAAACTGATTTAGAGCCAGGAACTAGTTTGGATTGTAACTAGTGGTGGTTGGAAAGTTAGATGCCGCAGCTTTCATTCAAGTCTGTGCCTAAATAGCACAAACTTTTCATCCACACACAATTCTCTGTTTTCAAACATAAAAGAACACATCCTCAGGCAATGATGCCAAGAACAGAGCCGTGTTCTGCCTGGCAGTGGAAAACTCCTGACAAAAATATATCTAATCTTTATTTGGAAATGTTTGTGCGTGTAGAAGATAGTTTGGCTTTAATAAAACACTGGGGACTGCTTGTTATTTACAAATATAAATGTGTAGCAGACTTGGACCTCCTCAGCTCAGCTCTGTAGAATTACATAAACTACATTTATTTACATTTGAATATATATTAAACGTAACAGAACACCTGTGCAATGAATATTTTAAAGTCCTATTATATTTCTTAATTTTCTTTATTTTTTGTTATCACTTTTTTGACATAACTCTTCCCCCTTTCAGGAGACATATTTGAGAATTACTGCGGGGATGATAATCTGGCTACGTTTGGTCGCTTCTGTTTCGGCCTGAGCATCATCACCACTTTTCCACTGGAGTGTTTTGTCACCCGCGAGGTAAGAGCCCGATCAAAAAGACTCAGAGAGATTGGACCTGATTTGGAAAACTGAGTGACCTATTCGTGGAACACACTGTTGGGCTGTGTTTTTATGTCTTTAGGCAAAACACTTCTACACTAATATCAGGAGGTGGTAGTTGAGCTATGGATTAAAAACACACACAGTTGTGAAATGACACTAAAAGCACTATAATCAAAAAGTACGGTAAAAAAGTGTATTTGGAAAAGTACAACAAGTGCAATCATTTCAAAAAGTGAAATACGAAAAAATTGAAATTCAAGGTTAACTTCCTGATCTCCCTTCCCTTAATGATGGGTCACGATTGGGACGTTTGGTGCATCACTGTGTGTGGAGGGAATGGAAAAATACACAAAATTATAAAAAGCTTTGTGTGTGTCACGGTGTGGATTTTGTTATTTTGGACTTTAGTTTTATTTTGATATTCTGTTCTCTGTGCTTTGGTTTTAGTTTGACTTTGACGCCCTGTTTCCCCTGTCTTGATTGTATACCCCGCCCCAATGTGTTTCACCTGTGTCTGTCTATAATTACCCTGTGCTCCTCTCCTCTTGTTGCTGGTCCATTGTATTGTCAACCTCCGTCCTCTCTTGTCATGTCTGTTCCTGTTTCGTTGCTGCTTGTGCCTTTTGGATTTTTGAGTTTTAACCTGGACTTTTATTTTGTTATCATTAAATAATAATTTTTTGGCATTCCTGCTTTTTGAGTCCTCATCCTTCTCAGCACGTGACAGAATGGACCAGCCACAAAAGGACTCAGCGGAATGCCCTTTTTCCACACCTGCTCCCAGTTCGTCATCCCATTCATCAGGTTTTTATTTAATTTTTGCCTTATCACTGCTGACCTCTCAACCTGTTTCTGGAACCACCGCCAGACATCAACCTTTGTCTGGGGTGGTCTTGTCCCTTTGTACCACCGCCGGGTATTTGTCTCCGTCCGGGGTGGTCTTCTACATGTTGAGAGGTCTACAGTGATGCTCTGGCCTGGATGGTGCTGTCTGTCTGGATTTTCTACCCATTTTGGCTGCTACCCAATGATGACCTCTCCTTCCCTTCACCCGTTGCCACCGCCAGACATGGATCTCCGTCTAGGGTGGTTCTGATCCTGTTGCTGCGTCACCGCCGGACATTCGTCTTCGTTCGGGGTGAGCCAGACCTTTTGTGGAAGGTCATCACTGGGTTCTAGTTCCTGCCCTCGATTCTGTCCATCGAACATTGCCTCTGGTCTGTGGTTGTTCCTACCTCTGGACTGCCCCCTCCACCCTCCCTGGCTCGCGTTTATTTTCTGGGGACATCTGGGAGCTGTCCCTTGGAGGGGGGGGTACTGTCACGGTGTGGATTTTATTTTTTGTGTCTGTCTATAATTACCCTGTGCTCCTCTCCTCTTGTTGCTGGTCCATTGTATTGTCAACCTCCGTCCTCTCTTGTCATGTCTGTTCCTGTTTCGTTGCTGCTTGTGCCTTTGGATTTTTGAGTTTTAACCTGGACTTTTATTTTGTTATCATTAAATAATTATTTTTTTGCATTCCTGCTTTTTGAGTCCTCATCCTTCTCAGCACGTGACAATGATGTATAAACTAAGATTACTTACATATTTCACTCCATGTGTAATAACTCAATATAAAAAGAAAATCTTGAACTTTTTACGCACTATTCATGTGTACTATTTGTCTGTGTCACGTGGTGAAGTCAGAGAGGTCTCAAAATGCAGGATGGCAAAAATAATAGTCCAAGGTAAAAAAACAAACTCAAAAAAAAAAAACAAAAAAAACATGGGAACTAGGAACATGAACATAGACAAACAAGGACAATGGCTCAGCAACAAGGGGAGAGGAGCACAGGTACAAATAGACACAGGTACACATGTAAAACACATTATGGCGGGGCAGACAATCAACACAGGGGAACAGGAAGTCAAACTAAGATAAAACCACAGAATCAAAAATAAAATCCACACCATGACAGACTGAATGCATAGATGATGCTTACTTTTCTCCACACGTTGAGGTTTTGATCTTCTGCAGGTTCTGTCCAATGTGATGTGCAAGAGGGACCTCTCCAGAACAGAGCATGCGGCCATGACCTTTGTTATTGTGGCCGTGTGCACTGCCATTTCTGTCGTGTACGATTGTTTGGGAGTGGTTTTGGAGTTAAATGTGAGTCCATTTATCTTGTTTATGTTTTTTAATAATTGATGCAACAACACTATACCTATAGCATTATGCAATTACCATTTTACACCATTTAAATCCATAGACTTTTCTTTGTTCTGGGGGTATTTTGTATTAAACATTCTCCACATTTAGGTTATTCCGGACCATAATATTAACCCAAAAAGTCATGATGAAATGTACTGGTGCGTTAACTTGCTGTTCAAAATGGTTAAAGACTCCACTTCAAAGTTTATTCATCAGCTGTTTTATTTTTAGAAAAGAACTATGTCACTTGTATGCAAAAATCCTACTTTTCTTATCCTGGGCCTTATTTTTTATTTTTTAATAATAGGGAGTACAGTGTGGTGAGTGAGGGATCTTTTCTGAGCACTGGGCCTTGAATGAAGACGTTACAGGATTTCTCAAATGTGCTCAAACCAATAAGAAACATTACTCTGTAAATTTGATAAAACTAATGGCCTAAGTTGATTGGACATATAATGGGATGTTATATTCATTAAGGACTTCAGGTCTAAAAACCTCATTAGCGCCTTAAAAACAGATTTATTATGCAAACGCAGATAGAACTAAATTACAAAAAAATGCTAACACAGTTTAGCACCTGGTTTGATACATATCGCCCTTAGCACTCGAGCCATAAAAATATATATTATAAACTCTATATGATTTTTACATAGGCATCAGTGCTTTGTGTCAGTGTCAGATATTTGTACAATATTTTTTACCCGGAACAAAAATAGACTTTTGAAACAATCTCAATGTAAATCAGAAATATCTCAAATACATACTGTATTTTGCCACAATTGTGCGGCCCACTGTTAGATATGTACTTACTTACTTTCTGATCCCTGTAGGGGGCTTTGAGTGCCACCCCGCTGATCTTCATCCTCCCGTCTGCCTGCTACCTCAAGCTGTCTCCTGGGCGCTGGTTCCACCCCCACAACCTGGCGCCCTGTGTGCTGATAGGACTGGGGCTGTTCTTCATGATCACTGGGCTCACCATGACGGGGGTCTTCCAGCAGGACTGTTCACACGGACGGGAGATGTTTTACTGCACAGATTCCAATGTCTCCAGTACTCTGTCTCCATAAAATTAGTTGTTTGAAAATGTTGTATCTCCTGCATCATACTGGCGTTTTTGGGGGTTGAATAGAATTTTTTTAAAGCCTCAAAGTGTGTGACTAAATATGAAAAACATGCAAAAAAAAGTCTTGATTATTTTTTTATAGATAGATATAGAATGTAAAAACATTGTAAGAAAACGCTTTCCATAGACTTCAGTTTGACTTTTCTTGTTATGTTCCAGATGTTTCTTCTCCATCACCAAACAGATCATTGAAAATGTTTCAATTTTGTTCAGTTAGGGAGGTTTTAAAAAAAAAAAATTTGAATAACAGTTAACTACCTTTAATACTTGAATTTACTTAATAAAACATGATAATAGTAAATCTATATATAGCATCGAGCTAGAAGCACAAACCGCCACATACAATAGTTCTAGTTAAACAAATAATTAAAAAATGTGTTTTTAGCATTCCCACACATATGGACATTTTAATTCATGTCATATATCGTATGGTTCTGGGTGATCAGTCTAGTTTTATCTTCCAGAGGGGATTAAACATATCTATGCTGAACATGGCCCTGAAGCTCAAATACAAGTTCTGTTTTAGATGTAGGCATATAGAAATTAGTCATCAACAGTAGCTTATGATAAATAAAAAAACAGTTTTAATATCATTCAATCCGATCCACTTTATTTGGAGAAAAACAAAGTATTAATGTAAAAAAAAAAACATTCCACAACTAGTTCATGTGTTTTCTTTCCCCCTCTGTGCAACCACAAGATGTCGCTGCAGACACGCAGAGCTAAAGGAAGTCAGACGAATTGCCAAACACGCCTCGCAGCTGCATTCACACAAATCACATTTATTATAATAATATATAGCTCCAGAGTTCGTTGTGGCGCTGTCAAATGTAGCCTGCTGTTTTGTGCGTTTTGGCAAAAGAGGCGCACTTTGGAAACTGTTCCGCGCCGTGCCAAACTCCTCACCATTCCGCAAGCAAACAGGAGCGACGCCCCGCTACCACCACTTCTGTCATTTACGCGCAGATCTCCAGGCTGTCTTGTCTGGCAGGAGATGCAGTCAAAAGTTTGCCAAGTTATCCACGCTGTCAAAGGGGGAGCGAGTCTGTCAAATGCGTAAGAGACAAGAGCGGAAAAACGCGCGATCATGCAACACTGGAAAACTTTTTAAGGACAGGAGAGAGGAGTGATAAAGTGGCATTGTGAGTAACTTTTAAATGTTCTAATGTAGCACTGGAGTTCTCTTTGAAAACTGATGGAAGTTGACGACGGTTCTGGAAACGCGCTCGCTGCATGGTAAGTGCCTTTGGATCGAGCGCACACACACTCAAAAAAGTTAGGAAAATATGATCAAATTCTTTAATATTGTGATGACCTCATGAGGGTTCGGCCCATATTGCAGTATTTATATGCCGGGGTTTCTCTTTCTGCAGAATGGACGCAGTTTTGACAGGTTGATCGTGCGTAAAAGGAAAATGAATTGTGATTTCTGTGTGTTTTTGTGCAGTCCGAGGGATTTTGTCAAGCAGATGAGTTTCGTTATGGACGAGCGTGGTTCCCAGGCGCATCCCAGGCAGTCTGTTACGAGGTAAGTGTTTGTGCCATGAGCTGTCAAGTCTTAACAGCCTGCAGGCACTAGTCATGTCTATAGAAGGTGGACTACAAGAGAGCTTTTCAAATAGGCGTTTTTGATCATGCAAGAGGGTTTCAAATGTTCTAACTTGCATATGTTCCAAATGCACTGTATAGTTTGTAACTTTTCGGTAATCAATGTGTATCTGTGTATCTTTGGATTAGATGATAATTTAAAAAGTTGATCAAACTTGACCTTGATTCAAGCGATGTATAGGGTTTGGCCCTGGTTTTAGAGCCTGAATTACAAGGTTTTTTTGGGTAATCATGTCCTCTAATGGATGGACTATTGATTGCCATTTATACATGTCATGTTCTTGTTGTCGAGTGCACAAAGGATTTCATTGTACTTCTGCCCACTGTCCAAACATTGGTAGGTAACAAATCCGTTGATGTGTGTAGAAAACTCCCAGTAGGTATGATGTTTCCTTTTGCAACTTTATCTACAGTAATGTATGTACTGTATATGGAGACAATCAGGTGTCACAATCAGTCTATTGTAGCAAGAAGATCTGTGGAAACTAAACTGAGCCTCAATAAAATGCATTCCTCTTTTGACATAACCACTGTAATTGAATATTGTAATGTAGTTAAAGGATTTAACCCCATTGGAGGGCTGTAATTTATAATATATCATTGGTTGGACAATTGTTTAGACTTCAAAGTCAGTGAACATGGGATTTTTTTTAATGCATTTGACTTAAAGCTGAAGTGAGTTGATTAATAATAAAATACTTGGATACATTGTCATTTAATTCTGCAAGAATTATAGTTGTGAATCATAAAACCTCTTCTCAGAATGTTTTAAGCCTTTTCACATTGATTTGGTGGCTTAATTGGATGACAACTATTTCAATAATGAATGTTATAACGTCTTTGTAGTAGCCAGGGGTCAGAATATTCTTTTAATAATCATAGTAGTAATAATAATAATAATGCATCAGATTTTTACAGCATGTTTTTTGACAATTAAAGCTGCTTCACATGACTTTATCCATTCACTCCATACACCGTGGCGATAAACTACTATTGTATCAACTGACAGAAGAGAAGCAACCACTATGTTCCATTGGCGACTTCAACCACAATCATTCATTCATTCAGACACCAGATTTATATTGTGGGGGAAGTGTCTTGCTTAAGGACACAACATCTGTTTGGCAGCTGCCCCACTGATTCAGATTCAGTTTATTTGCCATTTGCAGTAAAAAAAAACGTGGTGTTCTCAGCGGTCACCTATATTAACCAGGCTCTGCCCCGCTTAGCTTGCGAGGGCTGACGGGATCTGGCTTTCACATGCAGTTTGAGCAATTTCAATGTACATCTCAATTGTAGACCAATTATTTTTCGCAAGTCCATCTTTTCATTGTCTCTATATTAAACCCTCAAAGCAAATTCCATTCATTCATTACATCCTTTGCCACTTGTTGAGGATGCTCCAACCTCTGAACTGTGCTCATTTCCTGCTCGTTCTGAGAAATTGCCTTGACCACATGTTGGGGTCATGGGAAGTATTTTATAAAGCAAACATTTGGGCCTCCTCTGATGTGCTGCTGATTGGTGGACCTCATGGAAGCCATTGACTCACTGTATCTGAGCACTGTATAAAATGTTAATTTGTCATGTCCGCTTCTCTCAAGGCAAAGTGGGTTTAGAGTGGCAGAGCTGTGTTAGCAAAGATAAGAAAGAAGGGCAAATACATTTAATACCAGGTGGCAACCGAGTTATAGATTCTGGTGTGGTCCATCTGCAGGGCAACCTCTCATCGCTCATATCGCATTTGGAACCAGACCATGACCTTTTGGCATGGTTAAATCTAGGCCTGCCTTCATAATTATATATTGACTTATTGATATTAATTATTATTATCGATAATAATAAATATGTATTAAGAATATGCATTGTTTCAATTAATAATATTGTTTGTCACAATCATTTTCCAAAGCAATATATAAAATGATCTATTATGACAGGTCTAGTTCAATCACAAATCTGAAAATAGGAACACAATTCCTTCTTTTGCTTTGCTCGTTTTTTCTGCGGATTCTCTTTTGTAAGCTGACATTTCTTATTGACGTTATGAATAAGAGTTGAATACTTGAATTAGTATATCTTGCCAAATCAAAAATAATTGTGCATAAGAAAGGGCTGTTATGTTTAACTTTCAATCATAAATTATACATACAAATGTCTATATGGGAGGAAAAGGGTGTTTTTATGCATGGTATGATAACAAAACTGTTGGAGACATGTAATGAATGCAATCAGTGTCAGCCAAGAAAAAAAATATATCTGACCTCAATATTTTCTTTTGCCTTTGTCTAGTGTATGGGCCTATAGGGATCTACTCCTGAGCAGGCTGCATGACTGGACTTTCCCACCAGCCTTTGCTTCAGGCTCACTGTTGGTGATGTCATCTTATTCAATTGCACTTGTCAAAACTGCAAAAGGGAAAAATGTTTTCCAACTCTTACTTTTATACAAGTTTTGTGACATAAATTAAAGCGGAGTCTGTGATCTTAAACTTCCAACAGTCTCCAAACACTTTCCAATGAAGTGTTCCATAAAGCCCATGCAACATTTCCACTTCTGTACAAAAACACTATTCATTGACAGCATATATAGAAGCACAGCTCTCTTTTGGTGCGACTCTTTGGCATTAAACGTCTACTGTACCTAAACGTTTAGTGCCAGTTTGTGGTCAGACTATTATTTGGAAAAGTCAATCCTCCATATGCTGCAAGGATGTGGGGGCAGTGCACATGTTTTTTGGCCCTTTTTGTGGCTTTTTATGTTTGGCGGCCAATAAAGCACTTCTGGTAAACATCTTTTCAAACGCCACATATGGATGTGACATTGCAACATGACCCCTGAAGCCATGAATAGGGTTGCTTTCAACTAAAAAGATGGCTTTTACCCACAGCCACAAAAAGTCTATATGTGTGGCGGAATAAAAAACATACCAACTGTAGTGATAGTAGTATTTGTATGATTTCTATTTTTAAAAAGCGTTAAAGTGATGTAGCTTTGATACAGTGCACCTTTACCTTTACATGATTGGTGCGTACACATTGCTTCGGAATTTTGCCTGGAATAAAACAAAACAAATTGATTTGCTCTTGTAAAAACCAAATCACTCCAATCAAATCACTTAATTTGAAAAAAAAAGGAAAAAGTTTGAGGTGTGAATATCCAGTCCGTGACGTGAGTCAAAAGCAGGAAACGTGGTGCGTTTAATTGCGCATGCAGAAATAAAATGACTTTTGCTGCAGCTGTTGAGCATGTTTGAAAGGTCAAAAACTTAAGGTAAACAATGTGCTTTTATATGATGGCTATTTTATTTTCAATTACTCTTTAAATGTTTGAGCGCAAAGATAAAGTTACTGAACGAATTTGAAAGCATCACAAGGCTTGATCAGATCAGTGGGACCAGAGTGGTCAGACTGGTTTGGGAACAATGCTAAATGTTTTTTTAAGCATAATCCATTTTCTTATGCTTTGTAAATGTGTACGTTTACAAAAACACTATTCAAACAAATCCTACAATGAACCAAGTGTGTCATTGATTATAGATACAGTATCGTAAAGCAGAGTGGGTTCTCTGTTATAAATGACCCCTTTCTCTATATCTTTGCATTAACTTTCTATGGCAAGAAAACAAGAAAATCTCCCAGCCTCTAAAACATTTTTAGCTTGAAAGGGATAACGATGGACATGCATCTTGCCCTATAACACTTTCTGTGGTTCTAACAAGTGTGAATATGTAAAACAGTCGTTTGATTGCTGAATCCACTCTCCATTCGCTTCTTCTCCCATATTTGTGTAACTTTAAAGTTTAGTCGTATATCCTTGATCTCTTATGAAAGATGCGCATGCTCTCAATAGTTGTAATTTTCCTATTCCCTCTTAAATCAGATCGAGCTCTCGTGGTTGCGCGGGCTTGATTCTGGCCTGAGCTAATTAGACACACCTTAGAGCATGATCTCAGCGGCTGGCTCTGCTCAAACTCAATGTGGAGCTGGTTAAAGGTATTGAGAATCCCCACAGCTGTTTCCCTGCATGCAGGCAGTCCAAGGGCACAGCTGCTCCTCCAAATCCACCGCTGAGAATCATGGGTAAGAAAGAATTACAGGCCCTGTTACTTTGATACCAGTGCTTAAACTAAGTGGTGAGTCGAAGCGCATTGACAGCCGCGTGTTTTCTAAGTGACTGTATCGCATGTGACCCAAGCTCTGAAGGCATTACAAGCTGCTTTTTCTTCCTTCAAGATGCAACAAGTACATTCTTTAGGTAGACGTTAATCAGGTTGTATAATAGAGGGTAAACCGGATAGCAAGATGGAGATGGTGTCCTTTTGTCAAATGTATAACAGCACACGGGAATTTTGAGCATAGACCAACTCAAGCAGAAAATAATAATCTTCAGCTTAATAAAGATGCAAAGTATACACAAAGTCAATAAATATATACTTGTATGTATACATCTAGTACGCTACAGTGCAAGAAATCAAAGCTGGGATACCTACTGTAACTTTCTGATAACAACAAATGGATCTGTGTAATAAAATCCATGTCACTAGTTGCTTGCTCTCATAACAGATGGGTTCTAACACTAGTTTTCACATGCATCCATGTATTGGCCTCTTCCAGCATATTTAGATCATCTTGTTCCTACAGAAAAGTGAGGGCTGAGTGAGAGAACCCCTCACTCAGCCCAAAGCGTCATATTGTGACTCACAGGGCTCTCTCTTCCAAGTTTGAAGAGACGAGATGAAGGCAGCGTGTTGAGGTTGGTTTTGTTCACAACATTTTACTTTTACTAGCCTCTTGTTGACAAAAACATTCATCATTTTAAGCTTTAAACAAAGTCATTTTGCAAGAATAGTGTTAATCTTTGACACCTGCGCATAGCGATAACACATTATATTTGCCCCCAGAAAACCTTCTTGAATTCTCG